CATCGGCAACCTGCTTGGAGTGAGACTCCATGATCTCGTTACGAGGAATCCAGGCGTTGTCGGCAGTCATCATGGGGGTCCACTTCTCACTCTTCATGCCAATGTTTTCACCAAGAGAGAACGAACACTCGTATTCGTAGGTGTTCTTGAACTTGCGACGGGCGTGGACACCAATGACGCGACGGTCGGTGCCTTCGATCTTGTAGATCTTAAGCATAGCCTTCTCGTCATCGTCGGTAACGATCTTGTTGGCACGGTCCATGGTTTCACGGTCCTCACCAGTCTGGAAACGCCATTGGATGTACTCTGAGGGAGTCTTGTCGAGGTGGTTGTCAATGTGAGCGAAGGCGTGCTGCTTGATGTAGGCAATACGGATGTTCTCGTGCTGGTAGACTTCACCAGTGGTAGGGAGCAATTCACCAGTCAGAACGTTGACCAGAGTGGATTTACCGGCACCGTTGGGACCAATAACAGCAATACGAGAGCCAAGAGAGACCTGGAAGCTGATGTCGCTGATCTGGGGCTTGGAGGTACCAGGGTACTGGAAAGACATGTCTGAGACACGAATGATGGCCTTGGCCTTAGTCTTGACACCCTCGAGGAAACCGGGCTCGGGGAACTTGAACTCAAGGTCTCCGGCGCCAAGCTCGTAGTAAGAGCGGGCAGAGGGGACTCTCTTGACGAATTCACTAAGGGTACCACGGTAACGCTTAAGCTTGAAGCGCTCGTAGTGGATGACGTGCTGAAGAACGTTGTCCAAGAACTTGCTGTCGTGGGAAACGATGATGGAAGTGCAAGGAGAGGTGCGGAGGTAGTTCTCCAACCAGGCAACGTTCTTGACGTCCAAGTGGTTGGTGGGCTCATCAAGGAGGAGAATATCAGGGTTCTCGAAGACAGCACGGCAAAGGGCCAGCTTCATCTTCCAACCACCAGACAGGGCAGTGATGGGACCTTCGAACTGCTCACGGAGGAAACCGAACTCCTCGAGCTTAGACTCGACCTCAGCCTGGACAGGCTCAAGGCCAACCTCGCGAAGCTTCTTGAGGGTCCAGCCAATGACAGTCTGCTCAGTGTCGGCAGAGTCCAAGTCGTGCTCGACGTAGACAGTCTTGACTTCATCCTTCTTGGGGAAACCTTCCAGCTGCTCGTTGTTGATGGCGCGCATGAGAGTGGTCTTTCCAGAACCGTTAGGTCCGAGCAGACCATAGCGGTGGCCACGCTTGAGACGGAGGGCAGTCTGGTTGAGAAGAATCTTGGCACCATAGGCAAGAGAGAAAGTGCAGTTGCAAAGATCCTCACCCTCCTCCTCATCAGAAGCAACTTCATCCGCGGCAGCAGCATCAGGCGAAGCGCGCTTGCGGAGAGTCTCAGCAATAGGCTTGGCCTCCTCTTCACCGACAATAGCGCCGATGTAAGGAAGAGCGTTCTGGGTCCAGCTAGTGACCTCAGCATCCTTCTCGTCAACAAGCTGACCGGCGATAGCAGCGACGTAGTCAATGACGGCCTCAGACTTCTCGGCCTGGGCCTTGAACTTGGGGGCGAGGATTTCCTTCAGGATGGCGCTAACAGTGGAAATGTCACCGGCAGTGGAAATTTCGGGGATCTTTCCATCCTTAACGTCACCGACACGAGTGAGAGTCTCCAAAGCCTGCTTAGACTTTCCAGCAGCCTCAGGGTCGGCAATGTTCTGAACGTTGTTTTGAAGCTTGGGCATCAACCTGGGCAGGAAGGGAGCGACAATCTGGGGATCCTCGACAAGCTTACACATGTTGTCGACGATGACAGCGGACTTACGCTTGATGGCAGTCTCACGCTCATCAAGACCACGGTCAAGCAGGGGGGTCATGATAGCGAGGGTAGGGCCGGTAACATCGGAAACGAAAGTGGTGGCACCGAGCAAGTGAACAGTCTCGGGAACGTTCTCGGGGTAGGCAATACAGCGGACAAGTTCAGGAATGAACTTCTCAATATCCTTGTTGACAATAAGACCGCAAACAGTCTCGAGATCACCGACACGAGGCTCCTTCTTGTCCTTGTTACCCTCCTGGATACCTCTGATCTGCTCAGTAACCTTCTCATCGGCGTGCCACATGGCGGCCGAAAGAACAGGGATCAGGTCGGGAACACGGAAAGCAAGCTGGGCCGGGGCTGACCGGACGAGCTCGGTGATGCAGTCAAGCGCAGCTAGCTTTTCACCAGTGTTCTTCCTCATATCAAGGGACTCGAGGATAGTGGGAAGGACAGCCTTCACAGCATTTCCGTTGATACCCTTAACGATGGCAATAGCGGCAGCTTGGGCGGTCTCAACCTCGTTGGGGACAGCCTTGGCCTTCTTCTTTCCAGCGGTTTCAAGGACAGGGGCAAGGAGGGTAACGAGGTGGGGCTCAACACCAGGGGCGATAGTAGAGTGGGAGGCAATGGCGCGAATGGCATCAAGGGCACGGACGCGAGCGTTGCCATCCTTCTTGTTGGCAAGCTGCTTCTGCAGAGTCTCGACAGCCCTGAGTGATCAAGTTAGCCGACTATCGTTGGCGGGGTAGAGAATGAAAAATCTGCTTACTTCAGGGGAAGGGTCTGCTCGGGAATAGGACCAGACAGAAGGTGTGCGAGGTTGCCAGTGGCAGCATTCACCTCATCGGGGCTGGAGGAGACGTTGAGGTTCTTGAAGAGGTCCTCGAGAACAGCGACGGACTGAGCAGTCTCCTTGCCGGAGACGGCGGGAACGGAAGCAATATCAACGGCAGGCATTTTGTATGTTGCTGAAATCGTAAAATCCGAACTTTTAAGAGAAATGGAAGAGTGTGTTAAAAGAAAAAAGATTCAAAGAACCAAGAACGAGAAAAGTGTTCTATGAGGGGGTATCTTGAGGGTGACGGTTAGAAAACTGCGCCTGAACAAGACGCAGACAACGACCTAAACCGACCAAATATATCTATGATCCCTTTTTGTCTAACAAGAGGAGACAAGGAAATAGAGAAAATGTAAAGAGGGGACCAGTCCTCTATCGAAGAGATAAGGAAGATGGGAGGGAGGAGGAGGAGGGAGAGAGGGAGAGAGGGGCGAGGGGAGGGACATATTTATCTCGATTCTGTGTGGGTGGGTTGCAGACTTTTTTTTTGCCAGCGTCTTGCCGCCCAAAAAAACTCTGGAACTGATAAAAATTAATTAAAATTTTAAAAAAAAGACCTGAAAGAGTAAAAACCGGCTTCGATTTTCGCGCACTAACCGGATATGGGGCGATAACCACAGGATGTTGCTGGATTTTTAAGCCACTGGAACCTCAGGCTGATCCGGGCGGTTGCTGCATGTGTTGCGCCCATTGGCCTGCACTTCGCTGCGGACTGATTCCTCCGATTCTCAATTTCTATCTATGGCTCGGGCAACCCGACCGTGTCTGCTTCCTATACTTCGCCGATGAGGTTCGTTCAGGATATTAAGGAGAAGAGCACCAGCAAATCCCAGCACAAGCTTCGATATATGATGAGTTTCATATCGCCGACAAAATTATGCTTTTATTTGCTGTTCCAGCCACCCCTCCCTTATCGAGCGAGCCCTAACTGACAGCAAATGCGGAGATGTAACGATTCTCTCTAAAAATGGCACTGCAACAAGCCAGCCCTTTGAACCCCAAATATGAACTGTTACTGTCTCGATTCTGTTATCGCAGTATGGTACTATTTCTGTCGCCACCCTCGGATCGCTTCTGAAAATGGGTGGCGCAGCCAAATTAATGGTTTCTATATTTTGCAGACGCAGCTAATTTGTCAAATATCCAGGGCCAAAGTGAAGTTCCGGGGGTCATGCTAGTCTACTAGGTAGGCTGCGCAATACGGTAATTTTTGCTCTTATTTCTCGCCTTGGAGGCTTACCTCGTCCGAGGCTTACTAGGACTCGTACCTTTCATAATCTCGCTTTGATTAACTATTTATCCCTTCTTTGTCCCTCACTAGTGTCAAGTCATCCGTCCCTCCATGTGAGATCGGCTTTCCGTCCAACTGCCTGCCCGTGACGAACTGACTCGAGGATGATATCCCCCGTTGGGCGAGAGAAGGGAGAAGGGAGATCATCATCATCATGCCATACATGCGGGATGCCATACATGCGGGATGCCATACATGCGGGCGTACCCGCAGGCCACATAATAAATACGTATGTCGTCTACACCGTGCTAAGGTAGAATTCGCGTCGCCACCATTTACGTCTGCACGGTGTAATTCCAGCCTATGAGGGTGGTACCCATGTATCCACCCAGTCAACACAGTACCAAATTATGACGGCTCCATTAAGTACAACTCCCGTTCGTCCTGAGCTATTGGGCTTAGGTTATAGATAGGACCGTAGGAGTAATCTGATCCAGTTCACAGTTGGAATGGATCCACGTTCCAGTCCCATTCCTCGGCCTTGGAGGTTATTGTTAAAGGTTGTCTCGGGCCGTCGTTATCGCGAATTTCCTGGGTTGGCAAACCTGTTTACTTGTTTGGGCTGTGAATATATTTCTCCGCACGATGTTGCCACTCGCATCATAGAATAGACGCGCTTGGTTGCGGGTGTGATTTGAGGATTGTCGGATGGTTAAGCCGCCTTCCATTCCGTAATTGTTCATTGCATGGGTGGTTTATGGAGTAATGTGATGACCTGGACGTTAACCATCTACATGAAGGTGCGCCTTTGCATTGAGGATCGAACTTTCTTTGTAGATACTGTCCAGTAGAGAGTGCTTTAGCTTTCAATACGTTCATTCGTCTAGAGATATAAAAATATGCGACAGAAGAATCGCCACCAAAACAAACAACATGGTATTCAGCAATCGCAATCACAAGTTATGAGGGCCCGCCTTCAGAGATAACATCTAGTCGCTGCTAGAACTGGAGCTAGATGAACTCGAGCTGCCGCCACGTTTGTGGCCGTGACTGTGGTGCTTCTTCTTCTTCTTCTTGTGCTTCTTGTGCCTGTTCGGTTGGGTCAGTGTTTTGGTCGTGTAGAACGGATACACGATGGACCTACATCTTGTTGGCTGCATTAGCTCCCACTGCCCCTACAACGGCACCCCCGACAGTTCCCAGGGCCCCGCCGGCCATCTTGTGGCCAAGGAAACCTCCAGCGGTGCCGCCGAGCAGCGTCGATCCTAGACCTCTTTCTCCTTCAGCACCTGCCGGCACTGGACCGTGTCCCTGCTGCGGCGCATATCCTCCTTGGTGGCCACCATAATAAGAGGAGTTCTCGCCGCCATGGGGCTGGTTATACTGATGCTGCTGGGGAGGGTACGGCGAATGTCCGCGGTCGTGCGCGTAATTCATATTAGGGTCTTGCCCATAGGGTCCAGAGTGTTGCCCATGTTGGGGTTGTCCATATGGTCCCTGTGGAGGATACTGCTGGTGTCCTTGTTGATACGGGGGAGGCCCGGCAGAGTACGGATCGTGCGGTGGCTGGCCATAGGGCTGCTGTTGCTGTGTTGCGTCGTCAAGTTAGCATACGCCGTACACTACTAGCGCGGATGAGGGCGGGGAAAGGTAAATGATGTGTGGGATTTACCTGAGGTGGATAGTATCCTTGCTGTGGTTGTCCACCGTATTGCTGCGGAGGGGGATAGTTGCCATGCTGGCCTCCGTATCCCGGGGCCCCTCCTCCATAGTGGCCCTGATCGTGCCCAGGTGGGCCGCCGTACTGATTATACGACATGGCAGGTTGGGATGCGCTTTGCGAATATGGAGGGAAAGTGAAACAACTCGCGACAGTGCTTCAAAAATAGACTCCCAGAAAACGTGGAGAGATGATGTGAAAGCATCCGCGTAAGCAGAGGAAGAAGCGAGATATTTAAAGGGAACCGTCATCGGGAAAGCGCCATCAACGGCTCAGGCGGGGGGCCGGGAAATAATGAGAGGCGCAGTTGTACCCGCTAGCAGAAAGCACAGGGTCTTTTATCCATTCACAAGACATTATTCAGGTGGCTTGGCTAGAAGATTTTCAGCTCCCATCTTCGTGATTTGCACGAAGTTTACGTTGAGATCATGGATGGTCGCTGAGGCAAGTGACGCTCCAGCTGGTGAGGGGTAATTTCAGGGTCCTCCGTCAGGCCTCAGCTACCTCCTCCATCTGGGCACAGTCTGTTTTTAACCGCCAAACGCTCATTACTTGACTATTTCCAGCGACTATTTGCGCCATACATATCTGGAGATAGCTCTGGAAACTTGCAGGAGATAAGCTCGTGCCGAGGGGGCTGCTTCGTGCAGGATTGTTTCCTGTGGGTACGGAGTTGAGGCTACATGACCAGTCATATTTTGACTCTTTAACCCCTGCGTTGGAGATCATCATCTTGCTCCAAGAAAAAGGTTGCGCAGAATAAACCGTTTCTCTGACTTTGACTGACTGCTCACCTGTCCTGGATCCTGACAGCATTGGGCGCGCACCGACACTGTCCCTTGTGGCTCTTCGACTGTGCCTGAGGCCGGACGGACTGGGCCTTGCTGACTCAGAATCCGCAGTAACTCGTATTCAAGACTCTGGCTTAGGGCCTTTGTTTAATCGCATCATGCATCATCGATCTCAAGTAAATGAATATATTATCTAGGAGATGGTCCAGCGGAGCACCGGCTGTTCCATTTGTGTAAAGCGCCGGGTCAAGGTTAGTAGCTACTAGACCGAGTCGCGCTTCGTCACTCACAGTAACAGTGCGATGAGAGACGTCCTGGGTGCCTAAGATGCGAGACACACGGAACATCCTGTCCAGGATACAACCGAGTCTTCGAATTTGTCACCGCAAAGCCGCATCGTTCCCGACGTCAGCCCAAAGCGTCTAGCTCTGAAGACGAACAGAGTCTGGCAGCGATAGACTACGAAAATGTTGCTTTCAAAAACATAGTCACATCACAAACACTGGGAGTTGCCGCTCTCAATGTCACTCACTGCCTTGACAGGCTTACCGACGAAATCTCCCAGCCGTTTCCATCGAACTCGGGATATGTGATCTCCCGGTGGTTCCTGCTCCTGCCGGGTTCTTATGGGAGAAATAAGACTCTAGACCTTGCCATCAAAGCATTTACTGCCCACCACGTTGGCAGCATGACCATGAACAATCAAGCTATGCGATATGCCAGGTCCGCTTATCTTGAAGCGTTAAGAAGGCTCCGAAAATCTCTAAACAATCCGTCTGAGGCACTTTCCTCCGAGATTAACTGCTGTGTGTTACTTTTGTGTATATACGAGGTGAGTTATTAGTATCCCATTAAGATAAACGGCAGCTAACAAATATCTAGCTCTTCGCAGATACGCACCGCGGCGATGTTTGGATGAGCCATGCAAAGGGCCTTACTCAACTGACAAAGGCTAGGGGATTGTCGCGGTACCAGACCGAGTTTGACGGCATACTGCTAAAGGCCTCCCGTGGGTTGATTGTGCGTTATTCCAACCTAATAAAGGGAAATTATACTAATGTACTAGGTTATGCACTCTCTCTTCGGTGGAGAAAAATGCTTACTGGCTTCTGATGGCTGGCTTCGCGTGATGCGGGGACAGAATAACAGCGATCTGTCAGTTGATTTCGGCGATCTCGTGGAGGAATTCTTTGCGCACTTCACCCTTTGCCCGGGTCTCATCCATAAATTATACGAGCTTAAGGAAGCAGACTTCACCGAACCTTCAACATTAGTAGAGATGTCAGACTTGCAAAATAAAGCTCTCGACCTACAGGAAAAGCTCGTTCTATGGTACGATAGGTTTACATATACGACTCCTGTTCCCCGTGACGTTTTATCGTCCACAGCAGACGCCATGTACCCAACTATCCTTTGGTATTCCGACATCAATAGCGCCACAATATACTGCAGCTACTACTCTTATATGGTCCTCATCCATGAGATACTGAGGACCTCCGGATATCCCGGCGATCATGGAGCTATGGTTGCTAATTTTCGCGATCAGATTTGCAAATCAGTTCAATATACAGCACAGGGATTCCTGGGTCCATATCGAATGGGGTTTCCTTTGAGAGTAGCCTGGGAAGTCGCTGATTCAGCCGTCAAAGAATGGATTGCAGGGTGCACGAAGAAATTTTCCGAGTTCTATGCCGTTCTTCGAGCAGAAAACTTTTAATCCCGCAAATTGGTTTCCAGATTTCTGGAACACAAAGAATTGATTCTCATCACTAGCTCCTCCTTCAACGCGTCGCGAACTACCTTTAACACAAGGACGTCTCAGGAAGTGGGGACCACAAGGGCTCTGCAACCATGCGAGCGGCTATCAACAAAGTGGAGACAATAACTTCCATCAGCAGCCCCATCCCAATCATGACATCGACGTCGCCGGTAATGGCACCAAACATACGTGATCCATGCTCCAAGAGCAGAAAATAGACCGCTCTCACCGTCAGAAACGGCAGCGACACCAAAACTAAGAGCACAGTCCTATATCCCGCCGCGGAGAGGACCCTGCACGATCTCCCTGCCATTCCAAGCAAGATACACCATACGAGCAGGAATGTAAGAACAAAGACCACCGTTCCCACAATTTCACAGGCAAGGATATCAAGCAAACCTCCAACCAAAACCAACACGATGGAAATTATGACGGGAAAGCGAAAGAAATGGAGTGTGAACCGTAAATGGCCCGGGAGTCGAGAGTTCCCGGGCCCTGTCCGGCCTGCCTGTCCGCTATAACCGATCAGCATCACTCGATATAAGTTTCCTAATATACGATTACATACCTTCGGAGGAGAACGAGGCTGACTTCGAAAAGAAGAGGCGAGAGGCCGATCCCCTGCAGGACAGTCTCAGCAATCAGCATTGGCTTGCTGGGCTTCTGGTTTGAAATCATCATGGCTGAAGCGGCAATTCGAACTATGAATTTTTTTTCAGTAACAGCCCTGTATATCCAGTGTACTGGAAGGTATTCATACGCTGGGCCAGAATTCCTACCATTCCCCACCAGGAGTATAGAAAGCATCGAGCATTGCCTCGGCGTTTTGTATGATGCCAGTACCGGCGCTCCTGAATGAATCGCGAGACGAACTGGACAATTTGAATGGCTGAGAATATAACGAGCTCTGCGATAGCGAAGCTTCGCTTCTGGTCAGACATAGTAACCTGGGACATGTCTTGAGGCAGATTTGCCATGATGTATGCCTGGCTTGGGTACCAAGTATTTAGATGAAGGTGGTTCCAATTGGAGTATGAATATTTCCAGCTGTAGCAAGACCCAGCAACATATTTATACCCGTCTACTGTCGTATTCTGGTCACTATCAAAATTCTATCGTCGGTCTACTTTACAGTCTATGGCCCCACCTCGTGGTTGTTGACCATTCTGGGTTTAGCGTCACGCCTGAATGGCTACAGATTTGCTCGATTTGGTCAATAATCTCGAGCTGAGGACCAGACTGACAAGAATTTCAGTAGCTAAGACATCTCTACAGCCAAGACTGACTGCTATGTGATGCACATGGTCTGTGTTGGAGATCGATTTAATCCTTCTACCTAGGATCTGCAGATATATATAGCTACCGATCTTGTTTCAGACAAATGGATCTCAGTGACTCAGATCTGTGCCATTTCAGACTCGATGCTAAAAGACCCGAGCGACTACAGAATTGTCAGAATGGTCGTAATTGCACACTGAGCAGATACTAGTAGGCCTGCAGCGTAGATATATTTTTGTCTCTGTAGATAGCGCCAAGCAACGGTGCGGAGTGGTTCGTCCAACTTTGGCCAAAGATGTCGGTTGATTATTGCTCAAGATTGTGGCCGAATTACGACGACTTCAACGCGGACGCCGACCGGCCTAAACTGCTCCTCCGTGCTTCATCTCGACATTCCCACCCTCTACGACGCTCCTTGCGCTGCTGCGATACCAATTTCCCTCCCTATCCTCGCTTGCCCCATCCATTCCGTCGTGCGATCGTCGCTTGTCTTCGGTCGGCCCGCCGCTCGTTACCACGTTTGGAAGACGCCTTAGGGGCTATCGTGATTTTTTCCATCATCAACAACAGCTCTGAGGACAATACTGCAGTCTGGGGTTTGGCCTGCTATCTTGGCATCGTCCAATCGTCCTGTGAGATCGGCCTGGCCGTTACGAGTCAACCCCCAGATCCAGTGCGCAAGCGCATTCCTGCCCTCCGCCCCTGATCCCCTTGCCGCTTTCGTCAGGAACACCAACCACCACGGAATCGGCCTCCAGTCTCCTCGATCGGCCCCCCTGCGTGCTGGATGAGTACAGGTTCTGTCTCTTCCAATGCACAGACGCTCGTCTGGCTCGCCTTCCCTGGACGACGCCGAAGACCCCTTGGTTTCCCGCACCACTGAACCCAACCATGGCCCTGACCTTCCAGAGAAGCCGCGCCCTGAGGTAGCTAGAACCGGGACCAGTATCGACCTACGTCGAGACGCCAACGGCCATTCTACCCCCCGTTCGAGAAATTCAAGCACGTGGAGGACCCTATCTTCTTCGTCCACCGCGACGTGGACATCCCACGACCCCCGATACTCGCCAGCGATGCCACTAACGCCGCAGCGCCTCTCTATCGAGGCGTCGCCCGACTCACCCCATCGGTCACGCCTTTCGCGCCTTCGCAGCCCTTGGACATGCTCTATTCTGACGGCATTTACTACGATCCTCGCCTGCTTCTTCCTCTTCTCGATATTCCGTTCCTTCTCTGCGCTTCAGACTGGCAGCGATGGCTGTGGGGTACCAGTGATGAGTCCGACCTTTCTCCGCATGGTGGGATTTGACACCGAGCACACGCGGTTCGCCAGCAAATATAATCTCTTTCTATATAGGGAGGAAGGCGTGGATGCATACAACCAGGAGAACTTGGGGGTAAGCTATCTACATGCAGATGTTTTGCGGCTTTCATGATTTAGTGACTGACTATGATTGTGCTATTAGTTGAAAGGCGCACCTGTTCTGTTCTTACCCGGAAACGCAGGAAGCTACCGCCAGGTCCGATCGCTTGCCGCGGAAGCCTCGAGACACTATGCCCAAGTGATCCAGCACGACCAGGAACGATTGAAGACCGGAACGCGGAGCTTGGACTTCTTCATGATCGACTTCAATGAGGATATGGCAGCTTTTCATGGACAGACGCTACTTGATCAGGCGGAATACGTGAACGAAGCGGTGTCTTATATACTGTCATTATACCATGACCCCCGGCGAACACGACGAGATTCGGATCTCCCGGACCCCAGCTCCGTAATACTTATTGGACACTCGATGGGTGGGATTGTCGCGCGGACGTCGTTGACAATGGCAAACTACCAGGAGAATTCGGTAAATACGATCATCACCATGTCGGCACCCCACGCCAAGGCACCAGTCTCGTTTGATTCCGACATTGTCCACACCTACAAGCAAATAAACGATTACTGGCGCGAGGCGTACTCACAAACTTGGGCCAACAACAACCCTTTGTGGCACGTAACACTGATCTCCATCGCCGGTGGTTCTCGGGATACCGTTGTCCCCTCAGATTATGCCAGTATTTCGTCCCTGGTTCCGGACACACACGGCTTCACCGTATTCTCATCGACAATCCCTAATGTATGGATCGGAGTGGATCATCTTTCTATCACATGGTGTGACCAGTTCCGGAAGGCCATTATAAAGTCTCTGTTTGAGGTTGTGGACGTTCGGAGAGCCAGTCAGACTAAGCCCAGAGCGGAGCGGATGCGAGTTTTCAAGAAATGGTACCTAACTGGATTAGAGCAGGTATCAGAGAGGATGCTCGCACGAAATGGTAATACTTTTCAACTTGATCTTGGTATTATCTGAGTTTTGCTAACTATATTGCAGAGCCGAGTACATTGTTAACACTGGAAGATCACACGAATATGATCTTAGCGCAAGGCCAGCGGCTTGTACTTCGCGAACTTGGCCATCACACGGGCCCTAATGTACACATGCTGCCTGTACCCCCGCAAGGAGTTTCTGGCAAGAAGTTCACTCTACTCACCGATCAGCGCTTGGACAGAATAGGGGAGCAAGGCAGTCTGGAGGTTCTGTTCTGCAGCGTGTTTCCTCTACACAATGGGAAAGCCTCGACTGTGTTTGCAATGAACATGGAACTGCCAGACAGCAGCGGCTCAACGCGTCTTGCATGTAAGAACGCCGCAGTTGACGAAATCCACCTTCCTGCGTCGACTCGCACCTCCAAGAATGCCTATGACCGCGTCAGGCCGTTTTCTTACCTACAATATGACCTAGAAGACCTTTCAGAGCATCAATTTGTGGCAGTCGTCGATAAGGCCCGTGCACCCACGAAAGGTTGGGTAATTGCGGAGTTTTCAGATAGCTCTGATGCCCTGATCAAAGCTCGAATAGGCCTAGGTGGACTTCTGAGTGCCGGATTGAAAGTTCGCTTACCAGCAAACCAACCGATGCTCACGGAGGTGAAGATTCCAGCTCTATACTCGAGCTTGTTGGACTATAAACTTCGTGTCGTCCGTCACCGCACCACGGACGACTCGCAAGAACTCTTTTCTCCCTTCCTGCGCCAGTCGATTCCGGATCCGCACGAGTCGAAGTTTTTCGTGAACGTTGACCAGGTTAACGTAAACTTGCACGGGCTCGCGCCGTACATGCCCCCTGCCCTCCGGCAAACAAGTCAAAATGGGGTTTCGTTTCAGCTATGGACCGATCCGACATCCGATTCTACGGTTGACATTACTTTGACGGTTGATGTCCTGAGCAGCTTGGGCGAGCTGGTGATGCGGTATAGGACGGTGTTTGCTGCATTTCCTCTACTTGTAGTTGCTCTTGCGTTACGCAAACAGTTCCAAGTATACGATGAAAGTGGCTTCTTCATTACCTTTGCCGAGGGTCTAGACAGTGCCTTGCGTTCGTCCATGCCGGTTTTGTTACTGGCCATGTCACTACTCGCATCTTCTCTCGCCACTTCTACCGCCCTTCCGACTGGAGACGACCCTTTCCATTGGGCGACAAATGCAACTGAGACACCTATCGATTTCACGAAGAACGATCTTCTCCTTGGATCCCAGGATGCGTTTTTCTGGTTTCTAGTGCCGCTATTTGGTCTTATCTCTGTTGGGGTTTGTGTTATTCTCAACTACGTTTCTCTCTTCCTACTCCAAATATTCTCCTTCGTATATGGCATCTGGAATAGCAAATATGGCTATATCAAACGTGATGACAAAGGGTAAGTTTCATAATCCGGCTGGTCGTGAAACATCGCTAATTTTCTAGATATCTTCCCGTCTTTCCTGCGCCGAGTCCTAGACGACGGTTGATTAAGATGGGCGTTCTATTGGTTCTCGTATCCACAGCGATACCATACCAGTTCGCCTATCTGGTGGCTTGCATCGTGCAACTGGCTACTTGCGTGCGTGCTCAGTGGCATGCCAAGGAGACCGTAAGTTGTCCACACACACTCTCTCATGGGCTGTACTAATAATAAGCAGAGATCGACGGCTCACTATAACTTCGCGAATTACGCACACTCAATATTCATTCTAATGCTTTGGGTTCTCCCAATTAATATACTTGTTCTTCTTGTTTGGGCGCATAACCTGGTTGTACACTGGTTTATGCCGTTTTCGTCGCATCACAATGTGTTGTCCATAATGCCCTTTATCATCCTCGTGGAGACTATGACTACTGGCTCAATGGTCCCCAGAGTCAGCGCACGGTATGTTTTTCAAGCGTTTCCGGTAGACACCTCGACTGACTCGATGCAGCTTAAAACACATCACCTCCTTTCTCTTTTTCAGCATTGCGGTCTACTCAGCGGTATATGGAGTCTCTTACGCCTACCTATTACACCATCTAGTCAATGTGCTTGCTGCCTGGCTCGTCAGCATCTACCTCTTCCGTAGTGGCTTCTCGCTTGGGCGGTTTTGGAAGATGGTGGAAGGAGACGAGACATCCTCCACGCCTGAACCAGGAAGCTACACGAAGAAAAAGCCATGACTATGATGCCGCTTGCATCTCTTCTCCAAAGCATTTGCAGCTTTCCAGCACCTACATGGAGTTATCGGGAGCGTGTTTTTCTGCCATTGCATTGCACTGTCTTTTTGTTGCGCCGCTGTACATTTGTGACTGATGTTCACCACGCTGAAGTGCATAGACTTTTTTTTTCTGAGGCAGTGGGTAATAGGGTTGTATATAATGTTGGATCTGGATATAGATGGCTGTATCAATGCTAGAGAGCGTGCATGAATACATAAGATAACGATGCAGGTTGCTTTTGCGCCAGACTCGCACTTGTTGGGAAACAACGGGACGATGTAACCCCCAGCTGGACTAGGCCAGAACAGGCAGGTAAGTCTGAGCGTCAAGCCCGAGATTGGTCGCGATTTCGGCAGCTGTCACGGCTTGTGAGCTCGGGATTTGCATTTCATCATCAGCAGATGCAGCAAGAATCCTCCAAAATTCACCTTGCACGGTTTCTGTTTCAACACATCCAGATATCGTTTCACTGCTCTGGGTGTCTGTTCTGGCTGATCTGGTGGGCGAAGCTTTGGGTGGTTCTTGGCCCGGGAGCCAAGATGGAATAAGGCGTCTGGGCATACAGCCAACCGTTTGGAGAACCATGAAGTGAAGCTTAGGATGAGCTCAGTTACTTCAATATAGTCCGGACTAAAGGTCACCCGCGATATGCTATTACCCGCATCCACGGTATATTACTCCTATTAACCGCTGGTCAGCAGTTTATCACAGGATAGGCTATCGTCCGAGACTCCGAGTAGGTTGGAACAGACCCTTCTCCACCCCCGGCTGACAGTGGACGGTGTGTGTGGGGAGAGTGCGGAGACTGGACACTGGAGAGAAATAACGAAGACAACTTAGACTTTAATCTCCCATGGATATCTCCCCTTGCTTCGACCTGAGTCGCTGGCTCAACAACCTCCGACGGGACCTGTTCCACTGTCCGGCCACCATGGTCAGACCTGGAGGGAATCGATAATTTAAAGCGCCGGTCAGCAGCGCCCTCTCTTCTGGCAATCGATCGACAACCAAGACCGCCAGGGTGCCACTCACGTCCTGCTTGCTGTCTGTTTCCTCCGCGGGGCTGCATTTCGTGCTATTGCGCCACACCTATAAAACTCTGCTGCTCTCGCTCCTCAGGGATTTTGTTTCCCAAAGCCACCTCGTACCGCTTCCTTTCCTCGTGTTCCCTCACAGTTGACCGCAATGGCCGAGGCGCTCGACAAGATCCCCGCGGGCCATCTTGAAGTGTCTGCTCCTCAGCAGCCGAGCGGCAGGTCTCTTGGCCTGGTCGGGACCTGCATCCAGTACCTGAAGGATCGAGTGCCGACCCTGAAGCCGCCGATGCGCAAGGCCCCGAATCCGTTCAAAGCTTTGTTACTCTTGAACCGACAGCAATGGCTTTTCTTCTCGGTATGTTCTGATCAATTCTCGTATTATTACTACCCGTGTACTAACGAGCTGTACCAGGTCGCGTTCTTGGGATGGACCCTTGACGCGCTGGACTTCTTCACGGTCTCCCTGACTACGTCACAGCTCGCAGCAGAATTCGACAAAGAGATCAGCGACATCACCTGGGGAATAACCTTAGTTCTTATGCTCCGCAGTGTCGGCGCGATCACCTTTGGAATCGCCTCTGACCGCTGGGGTCGCAAGTGGCCCTTCGTTGTGAACAACCTGCTTTTCATTGCACTCGAAATCGGGACCGGTTTCACAAAGACCTACAAGCAGTTCCTTGCTGTCCGCGCACTCTTCGGTATTGCTATGGGTGGTCTCTACGGGAACGCTGCTGCGACAGCACTCGAAGATTGCCCTAGGGAGGCGCGCGGTATTATTTCAGGACTGCTTCAACAGGGTTATGCCTTTGGATACCTCCTGGCGACTGCATTTGCGCGCGCGCTGGTTGACACCACTTCCCACGGCTGGAGACCGTTCTACTGGTTCGCTGGTTGTCTGCCTGTGTTGGCTATCGCATTCCGTCTTTGTCTTCCCGAGACGAATACCTATCGCGAGCGCCAGGCGCTTCGAGCTGAACTGCCTGGAAATGTAACCTCCACGTTCCTTTCTGAGGGAAAGGTCGCCTTGAAGAAACACTGGTTACTTCTTGTTTACATGGTTCTTCTCATGGCTGGTTTCAACTTCATGGTGCGTACTCTAATCCAAATTACTTTCTAGGAAGCAAATACTTACGCGCAAAACCAAAATAGTCCCACGGTTCCCAAGATCTCTATCCAACCCTGATCGAGCGCCAGTTTGGCTTCTCCCGCGACGCTGTCACAGTAACCCAAGTCGTTGCGAATCTCGGCGCCCTAACAGGTGGCACAATCTGCGGCTGGGCTTCCCAAATCTTCGGCCGTCGCTTCTCGATTATAATAATTAGCATCGTCGGCGGTGCCCTTCTCTACCCCTACACATTTATCACAACCCACCGCATCATGGCACCCGCCTACTTCGAGCAATTCTGCGTCCAGGGCGCCTGGGGCGTCATCCCCATCCACCTGATGGAGCTTTCACCGGGCTCAATCCGCACATTCACCGTCGGAACGGCGTACCAGCTCGGTAATCTCGTTAGTTCGGCGAGTTCGACTATCCAGTCGACTATCGGCGAGCGGTTCCCGCTCCCGCCGACGGAAGAAGGCGAGGAGAGGTTTGATTATGGTAAGGTGATCTGTATCTTCATGGGCTGTGTCTTTGCGTACACGATTATTATTACCTTTTTGGGACCGGAGAACCTCGGGAGAGATTTCAATATTGAGCATGATGAGGATGTTGGCGAGGTAATTGCTGATAGGGATGTTGAGAAGGCTGCTGTTGCTGGTGGGCCGGTTCAGACTGCGGGTTCTGGTAGGGAGTGAGCTCTTTTTGAATTGAAACTACTTTCATTTATGTTGTATAACGATGTGTATGGATCTGGATGGCGAGTCTTCTATTTATGGTTATGGATGGGAAGTTATCATGGTAGGGTATCAGAATGACATGACACAACCCTTGATTCACGTCGAAGTTCATATGGATTAAACACCGTAGTCAGCATTAATTAAGGCATATAGTAAAGTAGTATTGATTCGATTGTTGTGGAGCCTTGAGAACACTAATGGCTGTCTGTATCAAGCAGCATCTCTCCATACGGAGTATAACTAACAAGGTGACGATCAACATTCCTTAGGTTTGTTCCCCAGGATTAACTCACATTAGCTAAGACTGATAGCTGCATTAGGGTGCCTTGGTAATTAAGCAGCAATCTCTTATTATGAAACAATGTATATCGTGCAGCATTAGATCGTAAACCTCTGGTTTAGTAGGGCAAACTAGAATGACGTCACACCATCCCGTTTTTCCTTCAGCTCAATACCACAACTTAATCTTCTACTACAATAATTTTCATTCTCGGAGCAGAGTCAATAATACCTGACTACACTCTGGATTATACAGAGCTGCTGTACAAACATGGATCAAAAAGGCCCAAAAGGCCGTGACAACCGCGACGGAGATGACAACGACGATGGCAAAAGTTCAACCCCAGAGACCCCCGAGGAGGTCCAACGCCGCATAGCGGGGCTCTCAATATCGCAAGAAACCCACAACACGAATGATTCCACATCATCACGCTCAGATCACTCGAATAAACCCCAGGAAGATAAATATGAACAGGGCCAGCGACAAGCACGCGTTGATGACGAGTTAGGTACCGAAGACGAAAGCTCAAGAACCTTTAGGATAAACACACTCAGGGGGGATGCTGATGAACAAGACAATGATGAAGAACAGGAAGAGACCAGGAAAATCGAGCCCGATGAATTGAAGAATATTCTGTTTAGTTTTGAAACGCCGCGCGAGGTTGATCTGCGTGTCAAAATTTCGGGAGACTTAAATGTTACTATATTGTATGTTCCCTGCCTGAAAGTTTTCTTACATGGGTCTGGGCTAACTAGAGAACAGGGCGTGAACACTCTTCGAGGAGCCTTGATGTTCGAGAGCTCGATCAGAGGCGTATTCGGACATTACCTCTGCTGAATGTGCCGATACAATGCTTGGAATTGAACCACTCAAGTTGGCACGACGTGGAAACAGGGAACCACAGATCTAAAATCAACGGAAACCACAAGAACTATCTGGATATTCCATCCCTTCCAGCCAGGTGGCATAGAATCCCATCCTAGGTGGCTTGGGGTGGAGATGGTCATATGTTATGCACAGTACAAATTATACAGCAATATTTATGCCTCAGGCATACAGAGATAGAAGCGGTTAGCGTATCACTAGCTTATATAAGCATCAAATTAGGTTAGAGGTCTTGGCGCGAAGTCGCGACGAAGCGATCAAAGTCTCAACGCCATCAGGTCCAAGTAGATCTCGCTCCAGCAATCCCCCAGCGAGTCGATACCCGCTTGTTCTTGTCTTCAATTTCTCCGCCCTCTATCGCATTAGACGTATTTACCCAGCGCTGCATGCGATCCAGCTCCCCACGCCCGTCGACTTTCTGAGCATAGCGAAGAAAGACCCTTGCTCGCATCGTGCCCGCGACGTGAACCATCGCGAATTTCATCAATCGCCCACCATGGATGAGAACACGGCCATTTCGGGCGGCGCTGCTGACGATGTCCAAGTGACTTCTGCTCAGGATGCTCCGGGTGATGTCGTCAATGCCTCTGGTGAGTACTCCTCTTTGACACCTCCGTCCCCTGAGAAGAAGCAATACCGTTGCGCATGTTTCTCCCCTCGCAATCATGAAACGATTCCGAGCCCGTGATCGCATCGAATATTTTCTGAGACACGTATAGAGAATACCCCGGGGACTGATAATCCGTTAGATGCCCCCGCGTCGCCTAAGCCTGGGAACACCGGAGAGGAAGACGAGGAGATGGGCGGCACAGAGAACGAGACCAAGAAGGAAAACGAGGGTAGCGAGGAATTGGCAGATGTTGCTGCACAGTCGGGCGCTGAAGGCGGTTCTGAGGAACAGTCCGCGCAGGCCAAGTCATCGCTCGAAGCTTCAGCACGCTCTCACCTTGTTTCCCAAACACACGCCATTATCCTCCCTAGTTATTCGACGTGGTTCGATATGCACACCATCCACCCGATTGAAAAGAAGGCTTTGGCAGAGTTCTTCAACGGAAGGAACCGAAGCAAGACACCCGCTGTCTACAAGGATTATAGAGATTTCATGATCAACACCTACCGACTGAACCCAATCGAGTACCTTACTGTCACAGCTTGCCGCCGTAACCTTGCTGGAGATGTGTGCGCTATCATGCGCGTTCATTCTTTCCTCGAGCAGTGGGGTTTGATTAACTACCAGGTAAGTTTCAATTCGCTCTTGTGGCTGGTCGATGATGGTTACTGATGTTTTATCTGCAGGTGGATCCCCAAACACGACCTTCGAACATCGGACCCCCTTTTACCGGCCACTTCAGAGTTGTTGCCGACACGCCGCGAGGCCTCCAGCCGTTCCAGCCTGGTCCGAACCATTTCGTCAAGCCTGGGAAGCCCTTGGCAGCCACGGAGCGCGCCGCTTCCGCAACCCCCGCAACCAAGGCTGATTTGAATCTCGAGATTCGCCGCAATATTTACGATGACAAGGGCAAGGAAGTGACACCAGCTGGTGAGGATAAAGAAAAGCAGGCCAACGGCGAACCGGGTGCCAATGGTGCCGGAGACGCCTCGAAGGCTCTGGAAACTGCGTCGCAAGAACCTCGGAAGAAGTTCCAATGCTTCTCCTGTGGTATCGACTGCACACGCCTTCGTTTCCACTATGCGAAGTCGACTCCGGCCACTGGTGGTGCCAATGCTTCAGACTCCAAATACGACCTTTGCCCCAACTGCTTCTTACAGGGTAGGATGCCATCCACCCACAACGCTTCAGACTTCGTCAAACTTGAAGACACCTCATACTCGCGGGTTGCTGATCGGGATGCTCCTTGGTCTGACTCTGAGCTCGTGCTCCTTCTGGAGGGTCTCGAAAACTTTGATGACAACTGGGAGCAAATTGCCTCTCATGTCGGCACAAGAACAAGGGAAGAGTGTGTCATGAAATTCCTTCAGCTTGAAATTGAAGACCAGTACCTCGAGGAAGGCCCTGAAGTTCGAGCCGGCCCCGGACGTGAGCCCATCAGCCACGTCGAGAACCCAGTTTTGTCTGTGGTGGCTTTCCTAGCTCAAATGGCCGAGCCATCAGTAGCTGCCGCCGCCGCTGGTCGATCTGTAGATGAGATCCGAAAGGAGCTCAAGAAGCAGCTCGATAAGGCCCCCACTGCAGAAAAGACCCAAGACAAGGGCAAGGAGAAGGAAGGCGCCGCTGTGAAGAGCGAAGATTCCATGGACGTCGATGCTGCTCGCGAGGAGCAATCGACAGAAACATCCGAGAAGCAGCCCAAAGCTTCACTCTCCACCGTTGCCCTCGGCGCTGCTGCGGCGCGCGCGGGAGCTCTTGCATCCCACGAAGAACGCGAAATGACCCGCCTTGTATCCGCCGCGGTTAACGTCAGCCTGCAAAAGTTCGAAATCAAGCTCCAGCAATTCAACGAGATGGAAGAAATCATTGAGGCCGAGCGCCGAGAACTCGAGCTCGCCCGCCAGCAGCTTTTCCTAGACCGTCTAGCCTTCAAAAAGCGGGTGAAGGAGGTCCAAGATACTCTTCAGAACGTTAGCCTGAATAGTGCCAACGGAGGGCCCGCTGCGGATGCTGCGACAGCCGGAATCAACAACCGGTATAATTTCCAACCTGGTGGCAATGCTGTTGGAGCCCCGCAGCCTTTGAGCGCCACAGGAGGCACAGATTTCAAGACTTTAGATCTGTGAATACATCCGTTCTAAATACTGTTCATGGAGTTGTTGATCTTCAGTGGTCGTGGAGCAATGAAATACCTTTCTGGATTTGCTATCCATAATCTATAAGCTTGTTTTTGTACAACAATTTGGGTAGGTGAAGTGGCATGAGGGGAAGACCGAAAGAAAGTTAAGGTAGTGAACGACTGAAGTTGAATCTTTTCTTATTATCCTCCGGGCGCTGGGACCGGTTGTCGATGCGATTCAATATCATACGAGTGTTAGGAAAAGGGCGCTTTTATTTTTTATTTTTTTTTTTTCTCTTGTATTTTGGAGTTTTATGTGTTTTGTTTTCTTATGCTACACAATAAAGTCACATGAATTATAGGTTTATGTTATTTTCTCCCATTTTTTTCGTAGACGATACTTTGCCTTGTAGTCCAGGACACTCTGTATCAGTACTCTTGTTTAGTGAATAAAATTACACTTCTTTTGATGCACCTATATTATATCCCTAATATACCGATATCGACCGCATCCAAAATTCCGGGTGGAAAAAGAAACCCCACTGTATGCTATTGAGACAAAACAGGATACTACAAAAACCCATATAATGCTGAAAGATACACTTCAATCCGACTGCGAGTCGAATGGGCTTGGCCGGGTAGATAGGAAAAGACGCCCATCCTGGTCGTCGCTGCTGTCTCCTGCCTCTGATGAAATATTTCTTTCCCGAGGGCTGGGGAGATTATCATCCGAGTCGGAAAACATACGCTCTTCTTCATGATCTTCATCCTCAGATCCCTTTGGCTGGATGACTGGCTCGTCACCTTGTTGGTTGTCTGGGCTTGAGTATTCATCATTCGATTCCGAGTCTACTTCCATCTCCATATTAAAGTCAAGCAGCGGTGGTGGCGCATACGAAACAGGTGTGCGTTTGCGAGAGCTTGTCCGCGAGATAAATGTCGACTTGGTCTTTTGTCCACGGTCTCGGGATCCTGGTCGGAACTCAGGATCGGTGGCATCTGATTGATATCCTAGTTGAGCATTTGCTGCTGCTGCTGCTTCCTCCTCTTCCCCTTGTCCGTCTCCTCCCCGACCTGAAGATTCCCGGTTGATGACCTGAGAATGGACTTCGGAAAGTGGGCGAAAATGGACCGTTAACCGGCGCCTCTTGTGCTGGTTTTTGAACTCGCTGTCTATCTCTTCGGTCTCATAACCGTACTCTTCCCATTCGCTCCGATATAGAGTTCGGTCGCGCCAGTCGGCTAGCTCTTCTGTTGTTTTACGCTTGCCTGATGGCCTCGCAGGGATTTGATTGCTTGGGAACTCGCTTTTTGGGATTGCCGGAGGTGATTGATCCATTGTGGTCCAGCACAGTAGCTCTTCGGCTGAATTGCATTGTTGATCGAGTGCTTCGGCATGCTCATCTTCGGGATCACTTGAGTCCTCCTCGACGAACTCCGATGAAGGATCGTTGGCGATATTAGCAAAGTCCTTCTCTGAGGTTTGACTTGAATTTGGTGAGATCCTTCCGTAAGGTTCTTGGGGCAGCGCCTTCTGGGAGAGTAGAGATTCGACTTCATCATGATCCAAAGGGATAGGATTCCAGCCCTTCCTATGACGTCTATCCTCGACATCAAGAGTGCAACGCCGCGCTAATCCCACCCAAAACTCGGAACTGTCAGTCTTCATATTGAGCGTGCGGGCCGCCCTTTTGACGTCGAACGATCTCACGACTGTTGCTGAAGGACGGCTCGCCTTCCCGCTCTGAAGTATCCTTGACGAGGCAAAGAAATGCGTTGCATGGATCAGACGGCGAGTTACAGCGAGGGCGATTTCATAAAAATCGGTTAAAACATCAGCCGTCATCGACGGGGTCTCGCCTTTGAAGGCTATATTGACCCAATTGTCTTCGAACCTCTCGCCACCAAAATTCATAAAAAAGCGTTCTGAAAGTAGAATCCATCTTGTCATTTTGAAAAATGCAGCAGCGGAGTCGACGTTGAGGTTAGAAGTGAACTTTTCATCCGGCATCTTGTTCACGTTAACTGCGAGATCCTGATCCATCTCTGATAGATTCGTACTACTCTCCTTATCGGCATTATCTGCCTCTAGAGTTTTTGCAACTTCCTCGTTGATGATCCACAAATCTTTGTGCCTTTCTTTACCAGCACTATCTTCCTCGTTCTGTTCTTCCAAGCAAAGCAATTCAGCATACCCATCAAGTGAGTCACAACATTCTTCACCAATCTCAGCTGCAGCTGGAATTTCGCCTAGGATAGCGGTTCTGGAATGGGTGTCGTTAAAATGTTGCCGTCGCACACCTTTCTGGAGAAGCCTAATATACTCCAGGATTTCAGGCTCCGATTTGGACCTGATTGATGCGGCAATTTCCCGGATACCATCTCGCCCTTTCTTGTCCAAGATATCGAAGAGCACTCGTTTCTCCTGTGGAGTCCAGACCACAACCCCATCCTGCGTTGTATTGAACTTGTCTTCTTTGCTGTCAGGCTTGTCCTTGAATGTCTGGTCTAGAAGTTGCCTGTACGACTCGATTGAGGAATCTGAAAGTGATGCTCGGAAGAATTTCAACGCCTGAGCACGTGTACATCTCGCTGCTCGTGGTGTTATAGAAGGAGAATCCCATAGCCCGTCACTGTCCTCCAACTCGTAGAGGTCAGAGCTGCTCATGGTCGAGCTATCGGAGGTCGAGAATGTAATGGCGGCTGAGACATGGATGGGTTTCGTTGGGACGTGCAAAGCATGACCTATAGATCCATGGGAATATTCAAATGTTGAATGGTCTCCCCTTGGGAGCTTCCAGCGAGTGTCCTGAGGGGAAAGAAAAGTTGGTTATCGCTGTTCACTGATAAGACTATGTTTGCACTGTTTGTCTTCATCACCGTAGGTTATTCCGCCGCTCGCTTTTGCGCGAAGCTGCGCCCGTAGTTTGCTGCAGATATGCAGTCCATGGCTTCCGGATGGAACATATTTATCGGAGAGTCAGACTGGGGCTGGCGTTCAGGTTTCTTTCTCGGACCGCCAGACTCCCCCGGACGCAGCCGCACAGGGCCTTGCGGTGTCCACAGCGATGGAATTCCGCGCTTGCAACAGCTACACCACCTGCGGAAATACCAGCAATAAACCTCCGAGACTATCAGGAAGAATGCATTCAGTCGGTACTCGACCATGTTGGTCAAGGGCATAAACGTCTAGGCATATCTTTAGCCACAGGCTCTGGGAAAACGGTGAGTGATGGTCTTTTGTCTATCTCTATTTTTGATATACCACTAACGTCTGCCCGCCCTTTTTTCCGTTTTCTAGGTCATATTTACTCAGCTTATCGGGAGGATGCCCCCGCGAAATAAGAATGGAGATAAGACCCTGATTGTCGTTCATCGGAGGGAGCTGGTTGAGCAAGCGTACCGGCATTGTTGTCTCGCATACCCGGACTTCACCGTTGAGATTGAGATGGGTAATCGCGTTGCATCGGGGTTCGGCGATATTATCATTGCCTCTGTCAGGAGCCTCACATCAGGTGAGCGGCTTGCGAAGTTTGACCCCCGGCGCTTTAAGCTGGTCTTGGTGGATGAGGCGCATCATATCGTTGCCCCGACATATCGCACAACACTTGCGCACTTCGGACTCAACGAAAAGTCTCCTGATTCACCCGTCCTAGTAGGTGTATCCGCGACCTTCTCACGATTCGATGGTCTCAAGCTGGGCGCTGCCATTGATCATATTGTGTACCATAAGGACTACACGGACATGATCAATGAGAATTGGCTCGCCAACGCTATATTTACTACTGTCCACTCCAAGGCAAATCTGTCGCGGGTCCGAAAGGACAAATTTGGGGACTTTGCCGTGGGGCAACTATCCAAAGCTGTCAATACACTCCAAACCAATGAGATCACTGTCCGTGCGTGGCTGGCTAACGCAGCGGAGCGAAAATCTACATTGGTATTCTGCGTTGACATTGGACATACGAAACAATTAACCGACACTTTCCGACAGTCGGGAATTGATGCTCGGTACATCACAGGCACCACTCCAAAGGCAACAAGAGATAAACAACTGGACAAGTTTAGAAATAGGGAGTTTCCGGTTCTGCTCAATTGCGGCCTCTTCACAGAAGGAACAGATATACCCAACATTGATTGCGTATTACTTGCGCGACCAACTCGGTCGCGCAACCTTCTCATCCAAATGATTGGAAGAGGCTTACGCTTATACCCAGGCAAGAAGGACTGCCATATAATCGATATGGTAGCCACACTGGATACGGGGGTCATATCTACTCCTACGCTTTTTGGGCTCCATCCTGATGAGGTTGTGGAAAAGGCAACTACGGAAGATATGAAAGCGAAGAAAACCAGCGCAGACGAAGTCAATAAAGAGTCAGGGGGTCTGCTATCTTCTGGAACCGAACCAGATATGCCCAACGACGTAAAACTCACGTTCACCAAATATGACACTATTTACGACCTAATCCATGACATGAAATCTGAAAAACACATTCGCTCCATCAGCCATAATGCTTGGGTTCGGGTCGGTGATAACCGATACCTTCTGTCGGGTGGAACGGGGTGGTTGAGTTTGGAACAACAAGACTCGGGGGACGAGCAATCCCCCCAGTACACGGTCCACCAGGTGATGACATTCAAATCTGCTGATGATACCAAGAAATACACCCGCCCACGACTAGTCGCCAGCTCAGAAGAATTTGAGTCTGCCGTTCGCGCCGCCGATACATTTGCAGCTTCTCACTATGACAACCACTACATATCCACCAGGCAGCAGTGGCGTAGTTACGCGGCGTCTCAGTCGCAAATACGGTTTCTTAATGCGTCCAACATCCGCGAGGGTAATATAAGGCATACTGACCTTACGCGGGGCCAAGCCGCTGATCTCATAACGAAGCTGAGGTTTGGCTCAAAAAGGAGATTCGCGGCGAAACGGAAGCAACGTGCGAAGCAGGATGAGAAAATTCGCAATATTGAAGAGTTACACAGACGAGGAGAGGTAAGGGTGGGCCCCGTTGAGGGTTAAGCTTTGCGATGTCAAGACGGAATGATATTCTGAACTTTTGGCATCTGTACAGGGCTAATCTGTAATTACATGGAGGATGTCTGTATCATACACATTGAATTATTGAAACGCCCCGATCACCGAACTGGAGAGGGGGCTTTGGGCTCTTTTGGCAGGTCCAGTTCAACATCAAATCCGCCAAAGATCTCCTGCGAATCTTCCCCCTTAACGGGAAGGGCAAGGCTCGAGTGGAATACAGTCGTATCCCATTCAAAAATGTGTCTCCCCGCCTCGGGATCCCAGTGGTGGCGTGGGACCATACATGAAATCCGCTGCCAATGTCGGATCATGAACCGTCTTGTGATCTCGTGGGGACGTCCGTTTGTATATAGACCGAATGTGTCTTCCTTTTGCGGACCATCAGTCAAAACCTTCCGTAGTACTTCGCCCCTCGAGTCTACATCGCTAGCTTCTACAGAGGACGTAATGTGTTGGCTTGATCTTCTTTTTGTCGGGGTCCACGGTATTTCGCCCGAAATCAAGCCATTTAGCACTCCTAACTCCGCGTCCGGCAAAGGAGGAAGCAGAACTCCAAATACAGTATTATACCACTCACGGCGGATGGTTTTCCGACGGACTAAAGGCATACTCCTGCCCCAGGAATTTTTCTCTGAAGTAGCAGGTCCTTGGAGGAACTTAGAAGGGAGGCGAGAGCGATTACCCAGCTGTGCGTTGCGGTTCTGGGATTTTAGCAAGTCCATTAAGACTTGCGGCGGTTCCCATCCCTCTTCGAATAGCGCTGGGCTTGAAACAAGGGCTTTAAGCGCTTCTGTGTCGGATGGAGCATCAACGGCAAGCAGATCATTGAGCATTTGGACCCTCCGCTTCCCTGTGCGTCCATAGGCCAATTTCAGCACTTTTTCTAGCGTTCGCGGGTATCCGTCATTGGCCCGTTGTAGAACCGATAGGAATGCGCGCGCTTCTCTGTGTAATTTCATCAATCTGTCGATATTATCTCGAATGCGATCTCTTCGTTCATCATGGTATCGGCGAAATCGTTGTAGGACTTTGTTGTGGCATGTGGTTCGGGCGATGGGGTCAGGGAGATAAGAGCACTCACGGAGGAGGCTGCGGAGGAGGCATCGCCATTCCTCTCGTGGAAATAACGATGTCAACTGGTGCCGTAGGGGTTTCATGAGGGGTTATCTCGAAAGACAAAGACACCGCAGCTTTGGCCTTATGAATTGCAGTGGTTGAAGCTCGTCGGAATAACTGACGGGCAGCGGGCCCAAAACGGAATAATTTGCCGGGACGCGAAAATGGCGCCAAAACGCGACTTCCGCTGCAGCACGGGTGCGATTCTCCAGGAGCCTCGCCTTTCTTTCCCTGTGGCTTTCCCTGCATGAAATAGACATCAAGTACCCGAAACTGTAATACATGAGCTGATTATTTTGGTTACCAATTCGCTTTTATTATCTGGGTGGTTTCGTCTAGCTGTTCTATCCACCTGTGTTCATACGCGCGCCACTTTCGCGAGTTGATTCAATTAATATCGGCCGGCCGCTGGGCGGTTGATCCCAAGGTGCATTTCCCCACACGCCCTTCGCTCTCTGCTATCCATCTCTTTTTCCCTGCCCAGTGTTCCCTTCTTCTATACTCTGCCCTATTTGTTGTATTTCAGAACGGGTCATGCCATTGTTGGCCCTCAATATTGTCAAGTCCGCTAATCCCTAGACAGATTCCCAACTTCATAGGTGGACGATCACGGTTGGGAACTCTCGACAGGATGGCTACCAACAATCACCATCAAGCACGCCCGAGTCTCTCTATGTCCTATTCCCAAGGTAGCATAGGGTCGGCAAATGGTATGTCTTTCTCACAATCGCAACTGGGCTCCTTCAACGCTTCACAGTCCGTCGCTTCAACACCTCGCGCTACTCCTCCCCCGAAGAGCTCTCAGCAGCCGGCCATGTCGTTCAATTATCCTAACGGCATTTCGAACGGTACGCGGGCTAGTTTCAATGGGTTTGAAGATATGAATGGTTATGGAACAATAATGTATCACGAGGAATTTAAGCCTCAGATTTACAGGGTCTGTTCACCCCTGCGCTTGTTTACTGTTTCTTTCGGCTTGATGTACTGACGTTGATGTTACCTGGCTTGTAGGCTGTTTATTCCAATGTCTCAGTATATGAGATGGAAGTGAATGGAGTTGCTGTGATGAAGCGACGCTCTGATTCTTGGCTGAATGCTACCCAAATTCTCAAAGTTGCTGGCGTCGTCAAGGCGCGAAGGACAAAGACCTTAGAAAAGGAAATCGCAGCCGGAGAACATGAAAAGGTTCAAGGAGGCTATGGTAAATACCAGGGAACATGGGTGAATTACCAAAGGGGCGTGGAGCTGTGTCGCGAATACCACGTTGAAGAGTTGCTGAGGCCCCTTTTGGAATATGATATGAACCCTAACGGTACTACCGCTTCTGGACTTGATTCTTTGGACACCCCAACGAAGGAGCAAGCAATGGCAGCGCAAAGGAAACGGCTGTATAGCGGCATGGACAACCGGAGCGGGCCCCAGCCCCAGCAGGGAACTTTCTTTCAGAATATTTCGCGTACCGCTGCTACGGCAGTCAATGCCATTAGCAAGGCCCGATTTGAGTCTCCCGCCGGGAAAGGCGGCGATAGCAGACGGTCTAGTGTTATACGGAAACCGTCACAGCAGATGGGCAGTCAAGAGGCACAACCACCTTTCGGAAGCCAACAAAGCACGTACAGTATTGCATCCGACAGCGGCTTCGGGAGTAATATTCCTGCAAATGGCCGCTATATAGCGCAAGACGCCATGAGCTTCGATCAGGATGAAGCAATGGAGCCGCCGCGCAAGCGCATTCGTTCTTCGCAGCCGTTCAGTTTTCCTGTTGATGTTGCGTCTATGTCAATGAATGAACCCACCCCTACCGAGCCAAATGATTCATTCTACCAGGACATGGAGCCATTAAATCCTATTGTGGATGATAGCGGAAATGGCCTTGATCCTCTCCCCCCAGCCACCACGCCCGAAAGGTTCCAGAAAATGAAGTTGATCATGACCTTGTTTCTGGATAAGATGACCAAGGATTTCTCAACTCATCCGGCGTTGGTTCAGCTATCAGGTGAAGATTTGGAAGTCCCACTCGACGAGTATAGGAACAATGCATTGCACTGGGCGGCTATGCTTGCTCGTATGCCACTCGTTCATGCGCTTGTCAAAAAGGGTGTTAGCATCTCCCGGCTTAATGGGGCAGGTGAGACGGCTCTGCAGAAAGCTGTCGGCACCCGGAACAATCTTGACTACCGAAGCTTTCCTCGTCTGCTACAAGTTCTAGCCCCTACGATTGACGTGGTTGACCGAAGTGGGCGGACGATTTTGCACCACATTGCAGTGATGGCGGCTACGGGGCATGGGGGCCATGTGTCAGCAAAACACTATCTCGAGGCATTGCTTGAATTTATCGTTCGCCATGGTGGTGCATCGCTCAATCAACAAGGACTGAATGGCACTACAAGTCAGCCAAGCACACCACTTCCTACCGAGGTCATTACCTTGGGACGATTTATCTCAGAAATTGTGAATCTTCGCGATGACCAAGGGGATACGGCACTCAATCTGGCGGGCCGTGCGCGATCTGTCCTTGTCCCACAGCTGTTAGAAGTTGGTGCAGATCCTCACATTCCTAACCACACAGGTCTTCGTCCAGCTGATTATGGCGTTGGCGTGGATATGGTGGATGGCAGTTCCCAACAAGCTGGGAGTCGAAATGATACATTTGCCGACCAGTTAGCAAAGACACGGAAAGATATTCTTGATGGTAAATATTGCCACTATCTCACACGTTCCAGCTTACTAACTACCTTTTTAGCTACAACGGCACAAGTCACTGCTATTATCCAGGAAACATTGGGGTCGTTCGATAAAGACTTGGCGTCAAACTTAACCACGAAGCAAGAGAGATTCGACCACTGGCATGCAAAGATTCGGGAGTCAGCAAAGGCTCGACAAATAGAGCAGAAACAGCTGGATGAATTGAAACGCATGTCTATTGATAAGACAGAAACGAGCAGACGGTTAAAGAATTTGGAGAAGTCCTCGGCGGAGCTTCTTGTGGTCCTCAAAGGGATGTCCGCGGATGCAGTCGACCTATCGAAGCCAGTATCACTCGGTGATGCGGATAAAGAATCCGGGGTTGAAATTGTTGAGTTCGAAACTCTCTTTCCAGAAACATTTGACGCTACGTCTGGCTTCTCTGAAGCCCAGGTTGCGTACCTTGGCAAATTGCCATCTCCCGAGCTTCTCCAGCAAGGGGTAGATTGTTATCGGGCGTTCAATAAGGAAATTGTGGACGAAGTTGAGGGTCTTAAATCTAAGAATGTCGTCCTCGGTCAAAACTACCGTCGAATGGTCATGGCTTGCACAGGCTGGTCGGCCGAGCAGGTGGATGAAGCTGCTGAAGGGCTAACGCAATGTGTCAAGGAGATTAACGACAATCCAGTCCCCGAGGACGAGGCCATCGAGATCTTAATGAGAGATCGCGGCCAGGACTGGTGATATCCTTGTACATTCTAACGAAGCGTGCAAGTGTTTACGCAGTTAGATACGATCCGCCCTAGACAGGCTATCGGCCTTTCCAGCCGGTGGCATCAGCACATCCCTATTCTACTCACATATACGATCACTTTGATATGAAGCGTTGTTCAACTCGGATCGGGTGTTTTGGTTTGTTTAATTGTTTTTACATTCATGTTCATGTACGTACTTATGTCGGTATTTACTGGATACCCTGGCGGCACTTAATGAATTCTAATTATTGGACCACACTACTGGCCTGCGATCATTGTTCGTCCTCGCTAATTTACTCTCCGGGTCGGGCTCTCCTGAGGTTTTATGTGGCTAGGGTTATAGCCATAGCGCAACCCTGGTACCAAGTGATCAGGTGTTACTGTGCCCGAAGTCTAAGTGAGCCCATTTGTAGTCACTTCTCTATATGGAACCTTGAACGGGAAGCTGAGCTGTTAACCTTATCAGACGGCTCCTGGCAAACGAGGGGCAATTGAAAGAACATCTCCGTTTGTATCGGCTACCAGATGAGGCTTGGATGTCACACAACTACTCGTCACTAGCATCACCACCAAAACCCTAGGCGTCGGACCTATTTAGACAGCCGATCTGTTCTTGTATTGTTGTCTCGTGAGTTAATTGAGCAATCCTGTCCTCGTCTTCGCCATTCGGAATTGACAGTAACTCTGGAAGCGAAGCAACTATCACGTCCGCACTGAAATATGGAAAAAGTACGACACGCCATTAAAGAAGTATTCTACTTCATCATCTTTCTGCTGCTCCTCCCGCCTCTCCTTGTCATAACGTGGACCGATTGGGGCATCCGTCAAGGTTATAAGTTTATGCGCCCGCAAAACCTCAAAGCCCGGCATCGTGAACGCCCTTCTAGACCGCCCGTTCCAATTTCAAGACGTCGTGCATTAACACTACCTTTGCCTTTGGTAAACACTCACAAGCACCATGGGCCATTCACGAACGCCCAAGAACAGTCTGTGTTCTTCAAACTGCCCCTGGAACTTCGCGAGATGGTTTACCAGGAGGTTCTTATATCACCTTTTCGGCTACATGTTCGGCGCACCCATCGAAGGCTGTGTAGTAAACCTTGCAACGAGCTAAAGGAAGGACCTTGGACGTTCTCTACTAGGTTTTCGCATGGCTACTGCCAGCTTCCCCCTATGGCAAGAGATGGCAGCGTTCAGCGGCGCTCTCACAAGGACCCTCCACGTAAGGATAAATTTCTACCCTTACTCTCCAGCTGTCGTAGAGTGTCGGTTCTCCCTTGTCGTGACGAAAAGAGCAAAATTGACCAGAGCCTAGGTATTCCGAGAGCGTCGCTCTACTATACACCATGAATACGCTGCTTCTGGAGGACCATCGCACGTTCCTCCTTTTACCAAAAGCTATCGCCCCTCATCGGTTGAGGTCGCTCCGCTTCTTGTCTCTTCAGATGAACGTCTTCCGGGGCGACACTATAGATTGCGATATTCAGTCATCGTGGTTGGAAATATGCACAACACTAGCTGGAATGGACCGCTTAGAAGATCTGCGCATTGCGTTGGGTGCGCACACCCAAGAGGCCAACACGCCCATGCCGCACCGTCCAGTACTCACTTTACTCACGCCCCTGAGAGAAGTGAGAGCCACAAGGTTTCGTGTTTTGATACCGCCAGGATGCAGATTGAACCAAACCATTGGTGGTGATGAACAGCCTTTTTCCATTGAGGTGAGGGCGAGTCTGTATGACAATTGCCGTTGTTGTCGAGCTATTCGCAGTCCTTCTTCTTTTCCGTTTCCACCCTCTTGGAGTGATATGTGATGAATGCTATTGGGTTGTTGGGAAATTGCAGACGCAAGATAAGGTTATTCATGTACATAGTAGTACTAGGTATCATCGGGCAACTACGTAAGGACTTAATGCCACGGCGACGGCGACGTACCTGGGAACTTTGCCTTATCGATAAGGCCGCAAGAAAAGTTGCGGCCGAAAAAAAAAGACGGCGGGGTTGATTATGATTCAATTCCCCTCCATCCAGTCACTCTTTCTTCTGGCTTCTAGCCAGTCTCTGTATTGCAGGAATTTCTTTATCTATCCGTGTTCTTCAGCTTTTCCCGGTATCCCAGTATGAGCCGCTGAATCATTCCGTGCTGATAAAACAGTTCGAGATTCATCACAACCCCTCTCTGCACCGGTAGGTACTGTGCTCCGTCGAATTGCGATGTCCACCATCTCGCTTGATTTCCCCTTGCTGACCCAAGAAACCTCGCTTTAGGCCGGCATACTTCACAACATGGCTGATTCCTCGACCCCGAACTACCCCGCATCGTTGGATACTCTGTTCAGCGAGGCATCGCTTAAAAACCAATATGACCCGGTACGCCTAGAAGATGGGCAAATAGTACCAGTCCTCGAGCTGCCACTTGCAAAAGCGGTATTCGGACACGCCTCTACAGACGACGGGACTCTCCAGCGCGTATCCCAAGGAGAGATATCATACACCGAGTTTGTGTCGGCAAAAACAAAAGCAGTGATTGCCGCACCTCTTGATGGCCTGGCCCCTGAGCAGCAGAGGTCCCAATTGTTGCACATCGGCCTCGCCGCCCTTTTCGCGTTCCTTCAAACCAACGTTACTGGTCCGCCGCTCGAATTCAAATCCGCAGATATTATCGTGCCCTCAATTTTACGGTCAAACCCCACCACGCTCCGCGCAGTTCGCGATAGAGTCATTCGGGATCTCTCTGTCGATGGAGAGGCGGCATATAAGCTCACTCCATGTGTGGAGCTCTTCGCTGTTGCGAAGTCTATTTTGGTCGATGCGGATGTTCTTATTGGGGATGGCCCGTTAGTGGCCCATACTATCCGGATGCGTGTAAATTTCCTCCACCAGAAGATGCTATCTGAGGTTACGAGCACGCTGCAGGAAGCTATTCACAAGGATTTGGATGTCATTAGTGAGAGTTTGTTGGATGAGAAGTCTTCTTCTTTGGATAAGGGCAAGTTTTTGTTGGAACGTGCCACTGTCCTCATTCACCACGGCTTCGATGCTCAGGCAAGAACCGATCTCGAGAACGCTGCTACGGAGCGAAAGTTCGAGTTCGCGCTCACCGGCAGACTGGGGAAGCGGACGAAGTTCCAGGACAGGGATATCAGTCAGCTTGTCATCTTGGGGAAGAGTGCGGGCGATGAAAGCAACACAGATAAGATTGAGGGCTCCGAGAATGCTGACGGCGACGTACCTGCCCCAAAGAAGTTGGACCTCAACGATGATACACTTTTGGAGTCTATCTCTTTCACTAAATCCGATAAGAAGGAGTCTCAGGAGAAGGCTATGACTGTACAAGAGGAGTCTACGCTTCCGCCTGCGTTGGCGTCTCTTGACCCCGGAGAGCAACCAATGCTTGACCCAATTGACTCCGCCATCCTTCTCTCATTCGCTGCCGCAATCACTAATACTAGACCCGAGGATGGACTTACTCGAGAAGAGACCGCTCCCTATGCTACACGGGTTCTTGATGGTGGCAGTTCAAACTGGCAAATATACACACAGGGTTTGCTGCTGCGAAGCCGGATTGAAGGGTACAGATCCAGAACAGTGGAGAGAGCTGTTTTACAGATGCAAGCTGTCGTCGACCAGGTCCTGGCGGACACGGCTACTCTGGATACTCAAACGACCGAATCTCAGCAACAGCCATCAACTTTCCTACCAAGGCCCGAGAGAGATGAGTCTGCATCGGCTGCAGATCGACTCAAATACATCTGGCTACTGAGCTTCTCCACGCGTTGGGACCTCGAATCTGAGCTGGCCAACCGATGGGTCAATCTTGGAGGTCTTCGAACCGCTCTCGAAATCTACGAACGCTTGCAGTTGTGGGCCGAAGTCGCGCTCTGTTACGCTGCGACGGATAAAGAAGACAAGGCCAGGATCACCGTCCGTAGGCAACTCTACGAGCCAACGGGTCAAAACCCAGACGATGAGAATGAACAGTTCGAAGGGCAAGAACTATCTCCTCTTCCCGCCGACGCTCCCCGCCTCTTCTGCATTCTCGGTGACCTCCAAAGTGACCCAACCCTGTACGACCGCGCTTGGGAAGTTTCGAACCACCGATATGCACGCGCTCAGCGCTCTCTAGCCCGCCACTTCCTCACTTTGCAGCCTCCTGCTCTCGAAAATGCCGCCGAAGCCTACAAAAAGAGTCTGCACATCAACCGCCTCAACCACGGCGCCTGGTTCGCCCTCGGCTGCGTCCAACTCGAGCTTCAGCGCTGGGACGAAGCAATCGAATCCTTCACAAGAACCGTCCAACTTGAAGATACCGATGCAGAAGCATGGAGTAACCTCGCCGCAGCCATGCTCCGAACCTCCAGGCCCTCTGAATCCGATGATATCCAAGAACGACCACATCAAGAACCACCGCGCGAGCTAGCCGAGGACGAGGAAGAATCCGAAGAACCTCAAAGGGCACCCCAAGACCCCCATAAGCGCAAACGCGAAGCCATTGCAGCCCTTCACCGTGCCGCACAATTCAAAAACACCGACGTCCGCATCTGGGATAACCTCCTCACCGTCGCAGCTTCCATACCTCCCCCATTCACTCCTTACCGCGATGTCATCGCCGCCCAGCGCAAAGTCATTGAACTGCTAGGCCCAAAAACTGGCGAAAAGTCAATCGACATTCCAATCCTCGGAATGCTAGTCGACCACCTTGTTACCGCATACAATTACAACGACCTTCTCATCCAGCCCAATCCTGATTCGACGCCAACGGAGGGCCAGGTATCAGACACAAAGCCAGAGCCCGTCATCCGCAGTGGTACAATCGCCGGTTCGATCCTCTCGCTAATCGAAAACTCTGTCATCCCCCTAATAACCCACTCTGCGCCGCTCTGGCTCCTCGTCTCGAGCGTCGAGCGCTTCCGCGAACGTCCGTCTAAGGCTTTGGAGGCGCATGAAAAGGCCTGGCGTGCGACTGTTGCTTCAGCGTCGCAAGGTGCGTTCCAGATGGGCGATGAGAAGAGGTGGACGAATATTGTTACTGCAACGGAGAGGCTGGTGCGCAATGGGTATGCAAAATATGGCCCACTGGATAGGGAGGATGCAGTCCCTGGCGATGAAGCGGAACTCGTTGCTAAAGATTGGAGATTTAAGGCGAGGAGTGCGGTTCGAGGGATCATGGGCAAGGGGAAGGAGTATTGGGAGGATACGGAAGGGTGGGAAAGGTTGAAGGAGTTGCAGAGTGAGGTCGGGGGAAGGTAAAGAAACGCCTAAAGAACTTGAGGTTGAAATGATGAGACATGGTGAGCGTTTGATTTAGCTGGCCAGCCTGCTGCTGTTGTTTTTTGGCCCATATATGGTTTCGTTTTTCTTTTCCCATTTTTGGTATGTGTCTGTATTAGGAAAAAAAAAAAAGCCTTGATATGTTACCCTACCGAGTATTACCCCCATGGAGCATGGCCATCCTGGCCTGTTGATTTGTCTGCTTGATGTCCTAGCTATCGCCCCTCCAATTTCCTCTTAATCATCCCACAGAAGCTCTCAAATAGCACGGAATCTGTCCCCTTGAGCCATCGAACTACGACTCGGACAAGCTTATCCTCAACCGGATCCATCCTCAATTGAATCTTGAATCCAAGCGCCGCCTTACCCTCATCAACCTCTGGCTTTTCCTCCGAGTTGGAAATCTTCATCTTCCGCCTGTATTGGCGAGACCAGACGTTTTCTGGAGCGAACCCGACGCCCATTGCTAGGTTTTTGCGCCACACCCAGTGGACATGAAGGGATGATAGTTCCGTATCTGCAATTCTGCCTACATTGTCGATGGAGCTATCGGGCAGCTCAAAGGTGTATTCTGATGGGAAAGGGAGAAGATGTTTAGGAAAACCGGGTATGCCGCGCGCGACGCTCTGTAGTGATGTTAGGGCTCTCTTAGTCGACAAGGGGATTAAGCTAATCCATACCACAGTGGGGCGGAGATCTGTCCATGACCAAGCGATTGCCCACCGCTTGGTTTTATTTCCCTGAACAAATTCCGTCACGGCGTAGTTATGGTTCCCCAATTCTATGAGTTTTTCAACTATCATGGAAACGCTGCTAAGCTTCCCAAGCATTGATGTATACCAGAGGACTCGTTCTTTGAGCTGGATACTCTCCGTGATCATTCGGATTACATGAGATATTTCCCCTCCAGGGGTTACCATTTCGATCTCCGCGCCGGTGCATGCCTGATTCTGTTTATTAACAATTGTTCATTCGTGTTCAAGCTGGACACCATACTGAGAATGGAGGCCTCTCTTTCTCCTCAGCAGAAGCTAGCATCTCGTCTTGAGAAGAGTAGAATGGGGGGTTGCACATCGTAAAGTCGAGCCTTCGAGCCGTTAGTCTGAGATGGGAGCAAGAATGAATCGCAATACCTTTCAACACCAACGGTGTCCAGTGGAACAAGATCATCACTGGAGCTTGTCTTAACGGCCCGAATTCGCGATTCCAGCTTGTTAGCTTTGATTGTATGTTTGGAGGTTCTGATATTTTCATTGTCAATATCTTATTCGGTTAGCCATGCGCAGAACTATGTAGTGGATACACCATCTCACCAGACGCAATGAAATTCCAGCGAGGTCTCATTGTAACCCCTAGAAGAGGGTATATGCTGCAACATCCTGTTCCACTGCTCATATTAGACGCTTCTTAGAGGAAGCGCGTGGGACATACATATCAAGGCCTGTGACAACCCTGTCGGGGTCATAGCCATCTCGATATTCATCTCCTGTTGTGTCTAAGAGATCCTGCAACCATAGGACATAGTTCAATCTGATATTGTGAGCACAGGCACGATTCAGATATTCGTGGGCTTAGTTCACCTGTTCGGAACCTGGTGTAGTGACTGCGTTAGTCGCCATAACTGTAGAGGGTCAAGTTTGAACGTACTGGTGGGCACAGTCGGTCCTCTGGGACTTCGACCTTCAAACCAAAGTCTCGTTTGAGAAGGCTCACGGTCAGTTGTCTGGGAACCAAGAGTCAGTCGAGGAGCCGACCCGAAACCATGCACCATCGTCATTTACCTAACAGCGTCGGGGTCTGTGAAATCCAATTGGTTATTTGGTTTCAGGCTATTCTAATTTTAGTTACGGAATTCCTGGGCCGGGTCTCAGGTTGTACGGACAACTTAGCGAAATCAGGGGATTGGAGTGCGAGAGATGCGAAGTTCACGCCGTCTTTGTAAATATTGCGAGCTGTGGCCATGGTGCCATATACAAGCGGCCAAGGGTTAGGCTTTTTCGAGAACGAGGGGCAGGATTGTCGCTCGGAAAAGAGCAGGATCTCATCTGTGACTCTGGATTGTAAGGTGGTGTCCGGATGCGCGTCTCATTAGCCAGGAGTTCCTTGACGTGGAGAATCAGTCTTGTGCTGGTTGGGGCTTCCTCCGGGCTTTCAGGCACAAGTTGCCTCGGACTCACCAATTGGGGTTTCACCATCAGCAGCAGCCCTACGAGGGACCGCGTCAACCCAGGAAAAAAATGCCAAGATGGAGAAAGACAAGTTGTTTCCGGTCGTCGAATGAACGAAGAGCACGAGCTGTTTCGTTGACCAGGGGGCGTGAGGAGCTGCCTAGAGTGGAGAGATTGGCCATGACGCGGGGCGGCAAGACGTCATTCCCAGCGCCCCTCGCGATGATCAAGAGCCAGACTCGACAAGGCGGTAGGACAGCCTTTTTACCGTACCACTCCCGCCCCTCGCTCACGCTCCCTTTATCCAAGTCTGCTCGGCTGGGTGTGCTCCTCGTCGGAATTGGGTTATTTCGTCAATTGATCAACAACATAGCACCCGAGCGCTGCATTCCCCTGCCGCCAGTGTCACCATGGATAATTTCAAGGATAAGATCTCTAACCTTGGGGATCACTTCAAAGGTCAATCAATAACCCTAGAATTGCTATTGCCAGGATATTAGATTGCTAACGTCGAGCACCACACAGACACCCATATCGATGAAAAGGCACATCACCTAAAACACAGAGTCGGCAAGTTCTTCAACATTGTAAACCCAAACCACCGTCACGATGAAGAGCATGAGCAGGAAACCGACAAGAAGAGAACTGCAGTGAGCGAGTCTCACCGTTTTGGATCCTTTGCTCCAATTCGAGAGGGAAACAAAGTCAAATGGTATGTCGATGCACTCGACTACCTCTGGGCTGTTTCCATAGCCTTGGAGCAAGCAAAGGAGGTCATCTATATCGAGGACTGGTGGCTTTCGCCAGAACTATTCCTTCGCAGGCCCGCTGTCACGACGCAAGAATGGCGACTAGATCACATTCTTAAGCGTAAGGCAGAGTCTGGCGTGAAGATCTATGTGATCGTATACAAGGAGGTTGGTTGTCCCTGGAGTAACATATTACCGTCAACTACTAACTTCGAGTAGGTGAACCAAGCATTGACGTGTAACTCTGCTCATACAAAGCATGCTCTCCGGGCACTTTGCCCCGAGGGAAGCCCTGGGTACGGGAACATCAAAGTTCTTCGCCACCCAGATCATAATATTTTCGAAAACGCGGCCGACATGACATTATACTGGGTAGGTTGTGTCTGGTCGTGCAAGGCTCCGTCAGGACCGGAGCTAACATTTACAGGCCCATCACGAGAAATTTATCGTCATCGACTACAACGTGGCTTTCATTGGAGGTATTGACCTATGCTTCGGTAGGTGGGACGCACACCAGCATCCACTAGCGGACGTGCACCCCTCAAATCTAAGGGCAGAGGTCTTCCCCGGGCAAGAATTCAACAACAACCGGATCATGGACTTCCAAAGTGTAGGGGACTGGCAGTCAAATGAGATCAGTAAAGCAGAGTACGGCCGGATGCCATGGCATGATGTCGCTATGGGATTGATTGGTGACTCTGTCTATGACATTGCTGAACACTTTGTCCTCCGGTGGAATTTCATCAAGCGTGACAAGTATAAACGAGACGCAGGCGTTGATTGGCTTCTTCTCGAAGGTCGCACTGGAGATGATGAAGATCTTGTTGCCGTTCAACGCCCCAAGTACCCAGTTGGTGACTACGTGCAGCACCCTTATTCGCCTCTGAACACCAAGCTCCGTGGCAAGCAGGGATCCGTTGGAGCACAAATTGTTCGAAGTAGTGCTGATTGGAGCAGCGGTATCCTGGTCGAACACAGCATCCAGAACGCTTACAAGGAGATTATCAGCAAAGCTGAGCATTATGTCTACATCGAGAATCAGTTTTTCAGTAAGCATTTTGTGGTTGTCCTATGTCTCAATGCGGCCATGCTAACGAATCCTAGTCACTGCAACTGGCGACCAGCAGCAGCCCATTCTCAACACAATTGGACGTTCTATCGTCGATGCTTGCGTCCGAGCGGGCAAAGAAGGAAGGAAGTTTAGAGTGATTATTGTCATCCCCGCAATTCCCGGGTTTGCCGGAGACCTTCGACAGGCCGAAGCGACTGGGACTCGGGCTATAATGGACTACCAGTATAAGTCGATCAACCGAGGAGAGCACTCCATCTATGGCCAGATATCGGCGCAGGGAGTTGACCCTACACGTAAGTTACAGATAGAACTCGGTGCAACCAGTACTTAGCTGATAAACTACAGAGCACATCTTCGTCTTCAATTTGCGGGCGTATGATCGAATCAACAAAACCCCTGCCCTTGTGGAATTGGAAAATGAGGCCGGAGTAACATATCATGATATCCAGCGTGGAGTGGCAGAAACTCTTACGAGCGAAAGTATCCATCCGGCCATCGGTAAGGAAGGCGATAAGCACGAAGTCAACTACGGAGATGCGGAGAAGGAGAAAGAAGAGCGAATCGCCAGACTACAGAAATACGAGGAACGGAATGAAGCTCGCAAAGGGCAGTCCACCGCCAACAAAGACAATGTCTCCCACGTAACAATGCTTAACGGCGGCAAAATGTCTGATGAGGTCTGGGAGGGTGATCCTGAAGCAGAGAAGGAGAACTTCGTTCAGGAAGAGCTTTACGTACACGGCAAGGTGTGTATTGTGGATGATAGGGTGGCAATCTGCGGCAGTGCCAATATCAACGATCGAGTAAGCGGCCCCCTCTGACCACTTCAAACAAAAAAAAAAAAAAAAAAAAAAAATTGCAAGCTAATGTTCTCAGTCCCAACTCGGATACCACGACAGCGAGATCGCCATCGTTGTTGAGGATCAAGATTTCATCAACAGCACAATGGACGGGAAACCTTATAAGGCAGCGCGCCTTGCAGCGACTCTTCGACGACAATTGTGGAGAGAGCATCTTGGACTGCTCCCGGCACAGGAATATGATGCATCCGAACATCCGAATGCCCAGCCGCCCACAGTCTGCATGAATGAGATTCTCGAGGGCCCGGAGAATGACTTCGTCGCCGACCCGTTGAACGATGAACTCTGGAAGACATGGACAGGTCAGGCTAGCGTCAACACCGACATCTACCGACAGCTCTTCCGTACAGACCCTGATGACAATATAAAAACCTTCGAAGAATATGACTCGTATAGGCCCAAGGACGGATGTAAGCTTGGCCACCTATTCGATCCCTACATGCCGGCCAAGGAAGTCCGAGAGAAGCTCGATAAAATCAAAGGGCATCTCGTCTGGATGCCTTTAGACTTCCTAAAGGATGCAGAAATGGCGGAACCAGGTCTGCAGGTTAACCAAATTACGGAGGTACGTTCTCCACGCATCTTCGATCTTCTGTTCTTCCTTCGCGTACTGACAATCCCCACTAACAGAGTATTTACACCTGATATCTCACGCAACATAACTCCATAAATCCGGATTCATTTTCCGCTTCATTCATATTTTACCTATTTTCGCCCTCTTTGGATTGCTTCAGTTCGATTAATCTCCAAATATTCCTCTACTTAAAGGATATTTTACCCAGAAATTTTGGAATTTAGTTATAATTGGAGCGTAGCAATACAGCCTCTCATGAAAATCTTCCCTCATGCCTCATAAGATGGAGTTATACCAACATACCGCGGCCGATCCCTCGCTCAACAACAAACCTCGTATAATCAATCTCATTACTTGGGACTTGGAACCCAACTAAACCTTACCCCCACGCACCAAAAAGGTCCAGGCAAGTCCAGCCAGCCTCCAATTCGAACACGATTCAAGGATCAAAGAATTACACTTTAGTATACATACCCTACCACGATAAACTCTTACTCCTCCCAAAAATGTAATTTTGTATTATTGGTCAAAAGTAAGAAAAGCGTCGTGGGTATCACACGCACTCTGCATGGTGCAACCATGTCCAACCATGGTTATACCATAGGCAGCATACCTAGTCTATTTCGGTAGCTCGGAACCAAAGCGCGGACACAGTCGGTGAAGCACAATGGCATTCATTTTTGGCACCATGCGCTAGGAAGCTTCTAGAATCTATTAGAGAAATTCGTATGTGGGAAGTCTACCTAGTGCTGGCCCTTATCTAGCTTAGCCTCGCGTAAGCGAGCACAGGTTTCTATGAGTATGTTAAATTCATCGATACGGTGAAAATCCTCGCGTTGTGTTTCGGAGTGATTCGATCTCTTGAATTGAGAGTTTATAGCGGACGAATGGAGAATGCGCTGCGCAGGATAGGGTGGCTAGAGAGACGAGATAGGGCGAGGTGAAGTTCAATTGGAACTTGTTTGAGTAAGGTTTCTCGTCCTCGCGTTAGGGCAGTGACTGTGCAGTGTGCAGCTTGGTAAGGTCGTACAGTGGAACTGGTCAGGTGCGCAATCATACCATGCCGCCCATGCCATATCAGTGGCACAGACGGATTGAACTGAAGAAATAGTTGAAGCGGAATTCGAGCATGGCCTGCAGTGCTGGAGCGGCATCGGAACATCGCTGCTTCTGGATGAACTGTGGAACGTGGGGATTAATTTTGTACCGGGAGTGGTTGGTTGATCTCGGCTGCGTCGCCGCAGTAAGGTTGAATTTTTTTCTATCGAAAACGAAAAGAGGGATTACAATTAATCTATGGATAGGTATCACAATCCACGCTTGATAATAAGATGCAAGAAAGAGCACAATTGATCCACCAATCATACATGCAAAGTAAGCTGGACGCAGAGTGGCAGGAGACAAGGATACTCGACGACAGAATCAAATGAGACATCAAGATCAAACAGAAAAACGAAATAAACTTTGCTTTTGCTCCCGATCCTTGAACACCATCGCAATGCGTCGTTCACAACAGAAAACGAGTTTCATGGGCATAGCATCGGTTCGGCCGTTAGTGCTCCATTAAAATGATTAATAAGCGCTCAAGAAAAGAAATAGTGAAGTGAATAGTTAGATCAAGTGCCATCGAAAGCAGACAGGCCATTGGAAAGGCCAATTTTGGTCGAGGCCAGCCAAGGTACCGATTTGGAGATCGTTATGATATTGGCTAGGGCCAAGGGAAGCCTTGAACCTCAAATGGGTTGCGATCTTCGATCCGATTGGATGGTTGGCCATGGATGGCAGCATCTATGAAAGCTGATTCGTCCAAAGGCCAGAAAATATGAGGTGGGATTCAGGGAACATTTTTGAAACTGAGTTTTGAACGAAGAAAGAAAAGCAAATCCACGTATCGCGAGCTGATGCTGTGGGAATCGTGGCTGGTGTTGCCGTGACTAGAGCGGTTTGTGGAAACTGTCGAATTCTAGACAATAAAACAGGTCAGCTCGTGGGTTGGAAAGTACACAAGAGCGCTGTGCCGAAACTGAAAGAGGACAAGGCATATTGTTTCTCATACCAAGTCGTAAGGGACATTAAACCGGGTAACAGCCGAAATGTAACTGTTACTTATGCTTTAGCGGTGTGGCAAGCATTGCAGCGGCAGTGGCCACAGATCTTGCAGCGCCAGATAGCAACAAAAGGCCCGGAGTTGCAGTCAGAGCACCGCCAGGTAAGGATATTGCCGTTCGTGGCCTGCACAATGGCAAAGACATGGCCAGAGCACTGATTGGCCATTGTTGACGCTATTCTAAATCAGGTACCTAGTACAGTTAGCATCCAGTTTGCGGCCCTGTTTTGACTGGTTTCCAATGTCTAAATACCTCGTGCAGATATAGAGTTCAAAGAAGCTTCGTGATTACCAGAAGTTTCGGCAGAGTGTTGCAAGTGCGGATGATCACCTCGATCCGAGAACTTTGGGCAAAGCAGCCGGCCAGGACTTCTAGAACCTGGAGTAAGGGGATGTGAAACACGGTGGATGAGATTGGTCTTGCGGGAAGATTTCGAAAAAGAGAGGCAAAGGAGGTAAACGTTCCCGGATACTGTGTCAATAAGTAGTTGGTTCAGAGAATTTGAGCGAAGGAGAAATTGTCGTGGAAGATGAGAGTGTTGGACTGGGGCTCCATAGTAGGTATAAATAGGGCGAGCTTCAGACGTGACTGGAGAACGAAGACATCAAGGATTAACGGGTACATTCACTCAGAGCAGCTGTTAAACAACAGGTAACCCGGCAACTGTACGAGTCCAGGCCAGGAGCAGGGCCGGCTGCATGGAAATTGTCTTTATCGGATAGCAACTGACGATGCAAGTACCCGATTATTCTCGGTCCATTGGTGAGTGGAGCCACGAGAGAAAATTCAATTATAATTTGAAAATCACCGGAGGAAATAATCGTCAGGATGTGTACTTGACTTGCAAGGTTGTGGGCGTCGTTTCCAAAAGTCCTACTAGAGTTGTGTGTAGATTCGGGAGGCTGAGGTAGCGACGGTGTAATAATAGGAATCAAAAACCGATCGCAGCCATTCGGAATGAAATTTAGAGGGCCCCAGGCTCAACTATAAATGATATATCTCTAGTGGGCCATCCAGGTGGGTAAAAGCTTTCGGGGACGGAGAAAGGCATGCAATAGTGTCGTCGTTAACTTTGGGCGAGCACTGCTCCATTAGCAACCGCCAACAAGGTGCCGGGTCTGGACAGGAGCTCCCTTCCCAATTGAGGGCGCGCCGACGAAACAAGAATATGCATGATTTTACCGGATCGACAAAGGATCGGTTGATCGCACAATTTCACAGGCAGATCTTCAAACCTGGTGCGCAGTGCCTTCCCAGGGCTGTGGTGCTGGATCCCTTCTGGCGTGCAGATCGTGAGGGTCTGTGTGGGAAATAAAGCTGGTCCTGCATCAAACTGGGTTCTGGAGCCAGAAGACAAAAAAAAGTACGCGCTAGTGAGAAAACAAGGTACGAAGCTGAGTTTGCTGAGACTTTAGACTCGAGAAAGTGGGAGGGAGAGAGAGCCGATCTCCAGTCTGTCAGTTACTTTTGACTTTTCCGTCGTTTTCCCAATCCAGCGGAACCAAAATCTAGCTTCATCTTCCCAACTTTCCTTCCATCGTTCTTCCTGCAGCTCCAGTTTCCTCCATTCCATTCTCGGGTTCTCCACTTCTTCAGCCCCCACGATCAGCCGGAGTCTCATCATCATGACACTTATCTACTGGCTAGCTTCAAAGTCCGGTCAAAAGCTCGTTATCGCAAGCAACTCCCCCCTCGCCTCATCCTGTGGCCGACCGCCGTGAACGAATCCTCCCACAATGTATGCTCATAGGAACAATCTTCCTTAAAAGTGGGTATGATCCACCGCCTAAAGCAGGGGTGTCCCAGCTTCCCAGCCCTGCAGAAAGCCAGGCCTAGAGTGCTCTTGACTTGAAGCAATTGAGGCTGTCCAGATCCTCACCACATACCATATGACCATTCTCATTCTCTCCACACATGTCGCATCCATAATAGACCCGACTCAAGCGGAGCTCAACAAGGTCTGTGACTTCAATCTTAGTCGAGTTTTGGTCAGGCGATCCCGGGATCCTGGTCAAAACTGCTCCCCGGTCTCGCTCCTTTCTTTCAACTTTTCGTTGATCACGGCCGATCCTGGCGGAGATTTGTACACTTTCCGCGGACCCGTCAACCGGGTTCGCAGCCAAAAGCACCAAAACGAGCCCCTCAGTAAATTAATTTAGGCCAGCCCCCAAGCTAGCTCCTTCAGCCACCAGTTGGAAGACGGAACTCAACCTGTGTTCACTCGGGAAGGATCTGCAAAGACAGGTTGAACATGACCCTCGCTTGGTCGAGACTATGAGCAAGGTTAGCCCGTTTTCTTTGCCTTTCCTGCGTCCGTTTATTATCTAATGATTGGATAGCGGTCACCAACAGAAGCATTCCATAAAATTCCCTTCCTTCAGCTCACCCTGGTCATTGCCTCGAAATCATGAGGATGATTGTTGACCGGGGGGTTTGCGTTGGCTCCACCGAAGTCGACCTAGACCAAAAATGGCTTGAGGCTTGATCTAATATAAAAAGAGGCGACGCTAAAAAGAAGATCGAGATATCAACCGCAAATCATCGCCCAGATCACACACCTTTTTGACATCTCTCGGACGTTGAGCGGATTCTGCAATATCCTGTCCTGGCTGTAAAATGTTAGGATTGGACATTGGACAATATGAACACGCGCTGTCATTCTTGGCCTAGAATCCAGAGGCCCAGGGCGTCCATGATGGACTTTCAGGTGTTCCAGAATTCCATTATTGCATATTTCAGCAACCCCCGATACCGGCTTGGCAGGCTCGCCCGCGACTTGCTTTGGATTTCCAAACATGATCAATCCAACATTGATCGTTTGTCGCGAGTCGTCGGCCACCGGAATAGAGCTCAAACATAATACCTGTAAGAACCGTGGTCTTCTTTATTTGTACACACCAAATTGCGTGCGGGAAGACAACTCTGCCTAGAATAAACCTGAGGTTTCAAACCATCAAATTGATTTCTCGGTAGGAACTTGCCTAATTCTACGACATGTTTTGGGAGTCAGAGCTCGGAATTCAGAACTCGTTCTCGTCATGAAAGCTCATCTTCAACATCAGGCAGGGATGACAAGTCGGACTTCGACCTTTTCCCCAGCCCAGTTGACCTACCGGAAACGATTCCGCGACAGATTCAATCATATTTCTGACTGGTTTGAGTCACAGCTCGTCATGATGTGCGATGTGGCTGGTGAGAGATATGCGCTCAAAACCCCGCTCTGAGTTCAAAGCTTCCAATTTGTTTTCTTTTCCTATTCCTCTTTTGTATTTTTTGTTTTCCAAGATTTGGTACTTTTGATTTTCGACTGGTCTTTTTGTTGTCACCCCGATTCCAGGACTGCGTGTTGACCAACAAATAATAACGAACTGTATATTTAATTGATCTCCACAAGCTTTCTTATTTCCCGAAAAGCCATATCGTCGGGTGGGGAGGCTGTGCAACCTATGGCGTTTCGTCGACGGCTGGATTCTGGTGAGTGGTGTCGAATGTCAAAATCCTTCCATCAGTATGGCTCCCCATGGCGAAAGAAAAAACAATAATGGTTCACCCTTTTCATAGCGCCTCGTGGAGGTGTCAAAGCCTCAAGCGGCCTGCACCAGCGGATTCCCGGCTTCCGCGATGATCTCGAAACGAAAGTACCATCTGGCCATATACGTAGTACTCTGGGGTTGTACCTTGTACAGGTCCTTAGTCTGATGTCATATTGTTCCGTACCACGTACTCGGTACGGTTTTACTACATAACAAGGACTTCGTCAGAAGAATGTTCCTAGAGCGCAACCTCATTGTCATGCTCACACCGCTACAAACTTTTACCATTATTAGAATTTAATTTCCTATGCACGCTCCCTTTCACGGGCACGGAACACCGATCATTGTGTCACGCAGTTAAACCGGGTCTCTTTCAGTTGGACAACATGGGCTGCATGATTCGATTCGGCTCTCTTCTGCCTCCTCTCGTCGAGTCCGCGGCGGTCAACGTAATTTGCACATCATATTCGTAAACGAACTCCGAGGTCTCCAACGTCGTCTGCTCACGCGACTTCTAATCCTTTCTTTCTGGTATTCGAGGTGGACCCGGTTGCAGGTCGACGCCGTAGCTGCAGATACTCGAACTAACCCTAGTTGAGACTACATGAAATTGAAATTCCCAGGGGGGCAAACAAGCAAACAATAATGAAGAATGAAAAAAACGGTGTATCATTCTCAAGGTAAGGGATCTCTGGAGGCTAGCGTAGCCAATAGATTGTCGAGATCTCACTATACAAACAAAGTGGGTTACGAAATGTTCGAGATGTTCTCTTGCATCAGCTCCACGGGCCAGAAATGGCCAGAAGACGAACTTCAGAAGCTGATGCCTTCATTCCTCGAAAAGCTTATCTCCCGAGCCTAACTTTCCACAGCAATGCCATGAAAGGGATAGGAACGCTAAATAAACTTTCATTTGCTCTTCCAACGCTCCGTTAAGAACGATCTTGTGGATTTGAAACAAGACGCTCCTGCAGTACCCAGAGTGGACTGCACCGCTGGTGATGCTGAGGCAATGCCTTCAGCTTGGCCTCTAAGAAATAGACAGGCTACGAGTGGGAGAAGAGGGATAAAAAAGGTAATACGTGGCCGAGCCAAGTGCGAGACTGGTTGGTAGAAGATCACATTTGCAACCACCAAACCTGTACACAAGGACTGTGACCAAGTATGCATGAGATAAATTCAGCTTCCTCATATAGGGCTTACCCCTGAAGGAATGTGGTTAACCACCCTTAAAACGCCCTGCAAAAATTGAGTAAAAGAAGAGCCCAATTTCTATACAGATTTGAGACATCGTCATAAATTTTTGTCATTATCGTCTTTTCGTTATCTTACCAGCGTACTACTCAGTAGTGGTATCATGAACGCTTCATCAATAGGTGTATATGCAAATGAAAGGCATGGAACTTGCGCACGATTCAGTCACTTTTGAAGTCAGTCATTAAGGTGGAACAAGGCCGAGACACTTTAATTATATTAGCACATTTGTCATTAATTTGACTCGGGGGTTGACTGACCTTTCACCATAGTGATGGCGTCTTATGCTCTCAGCTAGAAGGCTTGAGATGTCAATGACAATCAATTTCTTAGACTTTTGAGCCACTTGCGGGGATATTGGGAAAGTATTAGTGACGACAATGTAGTTAATAGACGCACACGCCTCCATTTGTTCAAGGGATGAGTCCCCGAAGAGTCCGTGGGTAGCGATGCAGTAGACCTTTTTGGCCCCGCCGCGTTTGACTACAGTTTCTGCTGCCGCAATCCATGATCCAGACTTGTCGATCATGTCATCAACGAGGAACACAGTTCTATCTCGAACATCTCCGACCAATGTGATTGTCTTCTCTTTTTCGGGGGCACGGCCGATGCTGCCTTCTTCTTCCTCGTCGGAAGAGTCGGCGGCGTCGAATGATCCACCCAGAGCATGATCACCAGGTAAGGACGACGTAGTCGATAGGATAGAGTCCATCATTGAATCTTGCATTGCTTCACCATTATCTCCACTGGTAGGCTGTCCTGGAGTTGCATCCCCGGATGGCGGCATCGAAGTAGGCCCGGACGGCGGATAATCATCGTCTACAAGGTGCCCTTGTACAAGTCGCCCGGTGATCACATCCCGAACCCGAACGTCAGTGTATTCATTTACAGCTTCCAGCTCCGAGGGCCGTCGGGCACCTGATGGGGTTTCTGGGCGCAAGGTGCTGAAGGTGTCAACTTCATTCATGTCAGGCTGTGATTCTCCTGATTGTGAAGCGCCAATGCTTTCACTGTGAGTCCGAGCGACGAACGGGTCTTGTATTTTGGGTAGTGGTGTAGATTCCTGGTCCAAAGCTTCAAAGAAAACCGTGCTATCAGCCAGAGTCGTCCCAGGCTTGGGGCGACGTCTGTCTGTGGTGACAATGCCAAAGTTCAGTTTCAGTGTATCTGCCAATGACGTTACACGCTTAGTTCCCCCGGCGTTTTTGCTCACGACGACCGCCTCTCTCCAGCTGGCAACATTGTTACGGATCCAACGTGCAATAAAAGGTTCGGCAAAGAGGTTGTCGACTGGCTTAGCGAAAAATCCTTGCATTTGGGATGCCTTGAACAGAGAAGCCGATTAGAATATTATCCAATCACATAACGGCGATTCCACCGCATTTAATCGACCTTTCCAGCACTCACATGGAGATCCAAAGTAATCACATGGTCAACCCCAGCGACTGTCAGGAGATTTGCCAGCATACGCGCGGTGATGGAGCCACGATGGCTCTTCTTCTTGGATTGGCGGGAATATGGGAAGTACCTCGTCTGCGTCAGCATCATGTGTAGCAATCAGCCCAGCTAGGATCCATACGGCATAACCGCTAGAAGAAATATATGTTAATCTCTGCAGCCACACTAAGTGCACATTAAAAAACAGATATAGGCAGCCATACCTGTGATAGATTTTGCAGAGCCTCCCTTGCAAGCTGAGATCATAATCAACAGCTCCATTACGCTGTCATTGATCTTCTCGCTGCCACTCTGGATGATGTACACATCTTGATTTCGCACTGAGACACCAACATTTACATTTGTCTCCCCATTGCTGAATTTTCCAAGGTCTACTTTGGCAGGTGAAGTACCTAACCTCTCGCAGACTGTCTCGGTTAGGAGGGGATGTGAACCCCCTGCGAAGACCTGCACTCCCCGCATCCTTGGATAGTGAAAAGTTAGGCTAAGGTAGGCATCAAGCTGAAGAAATTGAAGAGAGTCAAGGAATCAACGTCATCTCAGGTGGACGACGAAATTATGGAGGGAGGTTGGATGCGAAAAAGAGAAAGGAAAAAAAAAAGATGAAAATGAGTGGAGAAAAAAAAGAAAAGAAATCGGCGCCGAAGGAAGAACTGACGCTTTGGGTGTCTACGGCCGCCGTAACCTGCCCGCCGTCACGGAGAACCCCCACCGTCTGGTTGCTTTCACCATAGTCAAATAATGGCCTCGAAATTTCCAAAGGTCCAGGGAGGCGGCTCCTTGATTATTGCTTGGCAAGTAAAACAGAAGAATGTCTTGGTAGTTGGTGGTGGTGAGGTCAGCTTTACTCCTTACCGCAATATATATCATACGCCAGCAACACTCTTTAACCATGTACAACAGGTAGCTGCCGGACGGATTCTCCACGCCCTCAATGCGGATGCCAATGTTACGGTTGTTTGTCCATCTTCAGGGCTAAATGAGGAAGTTGCCTATCGAGTCTCGGAAGGTCAAGTAGTCCATATCGATCGGAATTTCGAGCACTCCGATCTAGAAGGGGCCGACATGGTCCTATGTGCTATAGACGACCCAGAAGCCTCAACCCGCGTTTGGAAACTTTGCAAAGAAAAGCGAATACCGGCGAACATAGCCGATGTGCCTCCAGAGTGTGACTTCTACTTTGGCAGCGTGCACCGGGATGGTCCGCTACAAGTTATGGTCAGTACAAATGGGAACGGACCGAAGCTTGCAAGTATTGTTCGAAAGAAAATTGCAGATACCTTACCCGATAACATGGGTGTTGCCATTCAGAACGTCGGAAAACTGCGGCAGAAGCTAAGGGAGGTGGCCCCTAGCCCACAGGAAGGTCCTAAACGGATGAAATGGTACGTTCAGGTTTTGGTTGTTGTCCAGCTATAATCAAACTGATTGTACTTACGATAGGATGTCCGGTGTTTGTGAATCATGGGATCTCGAGGACTTGGTTCAAATGAATGAGGGAGAGATGACTGCTCTACTTACTCATTATAAGTCTGGCGGTATTCCAACTCTTGCCGAGGTCCGATCTAGCCTTCCAGCTTGAAGGTTGGCTGTTGGCTTCAATGTTGTATTGGAAATTCTAAAGGTTCGGAAGATTGTGTATATGCCTAAGTCCTATTACTGGAGAACACAGGGGTCGATTCAAGGAAAATAAATAGACAACGTTCCGGTATGGCTAATTTTACACTCAATAGTCTTGAGACGTAGGAAGAAAACCTCTCTCAGAGAGGGACAAGGATATCCAAAAAGAAACGATATAGAACAACGACGAAGAAAGCCAGGTACAAAAACCGTCTAGAGTGAGAATGCGAGACTTAAAAATATTCAGCGTCGGCCGACACTATGCTTGCGGGACGACTTCTCTGATACTGACTGCCTTGGACTGACAGGCGCCAGCGGTCGGGCAGGCAAACCTAATCTTGCCTCTCCGATTCGCTGCAACAAGGACTGAATAGCAAGTCGAATCTCAGGGTTCAGGTCGCGGCCGAGTAGCTCGACAGCCAGGGGGTAGAATGTCTCGATGTGTTTGTCGAATCCTTCAAGTGGGAAGTTTGTGTAACCTTCAATGACATCCACAACAACTGGTCGCCAAGCTACTATGTTTCGGTGCTGCGAATCCTCATCAAGTCGAACAAAGCCGCTGATAATATCCGCGCAAAGACTGAAGCAAATATTAGCAAATGGTACAATTTTCGGAGGTCCTCAAATCTTTGTTGGAATACTAACGGGATCAATGCCGCCTCTGTTTCCGCACGGCTGCTCTTCCTCTCATCTCGCTCGTCGTGGTACATCCTGAACAAGATGTGAACGTAAGTGGCGGCACTCCCACTTTCTTGCTTGAGGAGATTGGGTGGGGACTTCATAAATCCCTGGCGCCAAAGTTGCATTCGTAGATCTTTATCCTCGTTGAACTTCTTGGCGAATTGGTAACTCTTCTTCAGTAGACCCATAAGCCGCAGGAGCTCATGACTAGGTATTTGCGCGTAGACTTTGTCGTTGGAGAATAGCTCATGGACCGTCTCAATCATGAGCAGTTGGAGCACACAATTTGTTATGATACGGTTGAAGTAGCGACGTCTTGCCACAGTAACTGCCGCAGGTTGTTGCTGAGCATCCGTTTGAGGCCTGTAGTCTTCCAACTCGGTACCTGAAGCTGCAGGCATATCTCCATCCTCGTGCTCGGGAGTCATATCTGACGCCCCGTTGGAGTTGGAAGGTTCGACAGGAGTTTCTTGAGTTGGCGATGGCTCATCCAACTTCTGCGCCGTCTCCTCCTCAATGTCTGCTGTCTGTCCATTTACTGCTTGAGCCAAGGGCGTTTTAGGCGTCATAGTTGTAGCAGTTGTTGCGGCTGTGAATAGTTCATATGCGGTAGTCTTACTGAAAAGTTCGATGAAGGCACCAACTGTCTTGCTCCAGTGATCTTTCTGAAACTTCTCAACATTTTGCAGAATCAGTTGCTGCAGGCAATTGCTGCCGATTCGCGCGATGGTGTCGTTCTCTTGACATATGCATAGCGTCAGAAGTTCAAGGACGCGGCCAAGCATATATTCAAGCGCATCGAAGTAATGTGTGAATAAGGTTATCATGTGCCGTAGCGCTTGGATCATTGTGGTTGAGAGCCAGACCGAAAGTTCTTCATGGTTTGGCACCTTGGACATCTCTGATTTCGATTGCAACACAACAAAAATGGGATACAGGAGTTGTCTCCAGAGGACATCCCAGAACTCTTGAGGGAAGTTACCACCGTATCGTATCAAAGTGTCAAAAAGGTATGTCAACGCCCTGGGATCCCGGGTTAGCAGGGCTCTTTCCGACGGTTATAGCTGAATAACTTACCGTGACCGAGCTTCAAGGTCATCGCCAGTCATGAGTATGTCTTGGAACGCAATTAGGATAGGATACCAGAACTGCTCTTCTTTTGACTGTCGAGTGAGCTGTTGAGTAAGGTTTGTAGCATCCTCATGGAAGCCCTCCGATGACGCGCCACGGTTGGACAAAGGACATTCTGGGGTTCTCAACATCTTTGTAACTGTGGATTTCAGAAGCTCAATCGCTTGCAATGACTTCTTTTGGAACCTCATATTCTTAGAGAATTCCGTAAGGCAGACAATAAGGTCAGGGAAGGCTCCTTGTGTGATGACGACGCCAAAGCGGGTGTTGTAGATCTGAGTAACGTGTTCGAAAGCCATGTTGACAATTCCCTCTTTGATCGCAGTTAGCTGATGGCGCCCTATAAACACTAAAGATCCGTATCACTTACCATATGGCTCTCGAGCCGCGAACGAAAACACGCCAAACATCGTTTTCCAGCCAGAACGAATGTTGTCGCCGCGAGCCTGGATCATTTGTATGAGGCACCGGAGAATCATGTCCTTTACGGTAACAGCGTTGCTGTTAGCCATGACATGTTCGAATGGCTTGAGGAAATCTTTCTGAAACTTGAATCCTGGTAGCTCTTCAATTTCCATAAAGCGCATTGAGAGTTGACGAAGCGAGTCTAGGGCAAAGAAAACCACCGTTGTGTTCGAATGACATCCAACCTGATTGAAGTGTTGTCCAAGCACTTCCCATATCTTGGACCATTCAATTCTGACTCTAGTCATGTTGTAATAACTGATTTCGACCAACTTTTGGAGACTGTAGGTGCGAGGAGAGTCGGTTTGCCCGGAGGATTGGATTTCTTGCCAACTCACTTCACTGAGCGCCCGAACAAAATCGATTATCGCTTCATGAGATAGATTAGCAGTATTGGTAAAGATCCGGTCTACTCCCTTAACCATCTCGGTTGAACGGCTCTCCATGGCTATCTCCGCACGGAAAGGCGTGGTCCCGGTAATGGACTTTGGGCGCGGGCGCCTCTGTGTTTGCATTGATCTTCTTGCCCCATCGGATGGAGATTGAGGCACAACACGGGCTCGCGAAACATCCGGAAGGGAGCCCTCGTCAACCCCGTCACTCAGCAGCTGGAGTCTATCCAGTTGGCTGACACAAGTGAGGATTTCCCTCCAAGAACTTTTCAGGTGGTTCCCCTCTGAAAGCGCGACATCGAGAAGTATCTTCAGTGCCTCGACGTTCTTCGCGACCATCTCCCTAACATTGCCCAAATTTGTGAATTTTGCCAAAGCAGTGACAAATGCAACGCGAGGGGTTTCGAGGTCGAACGCACAGCTAATCCGTATAGCCAGTTTCATGCCTTCCATGCAAAGCTTGATGGTCTTCAGATTTTGTGTATCTTGCATGGGGGCGGACAAGCCCGAGAGAAAAGACATCCAAGTGACATTAAACATGGAGCCAACATGTTGAACAGAAGTTGCTGGGATGAATCGTGAAAGTGCCTCCTTCACAGCCGTTTTGCGCTGGGCTCGAATCAGGCTTCGATAGAGTTGCTCAGTCTTGTTAGCCATTTCTTCCGAGGCCTGTGCATATTTCTCGCCCTGTATGTCCCGCCCGACTGTTGCAAAGACTTGCCCAGCCCTGGACGCGAGGCCGCTCGGGACGGCCGCAGGAAGGCCGGAGTTTGCTGCTTGCTCTCTTTCCGTGTCCAGAACAATCTCGTTGCTGGCAATTTCCTCGAATATTGACACTAGATACTCATCGGGTAGGTCCTGGTTATCATTGATACCACGGTTATTCTTGATAAAGTCTTCTTTGGTCATGCGGCGGCCCTTCATCTTGGAGCTATGCTGGTCGGTGTTGAGCAGAATAACAGAGTATGCAAGCACATATGCTGTGTCCGCGTTAGCAAAAGCATTTGGGTTTTGCGTCACATAGCGTTCCGAGAACTTGAGCATAAACCGATCGATTTTCTGGGCCTCTCCTGGTAAACGGAAGTGCTGCAGAAAGGAGCGGAGAGCATCCACAAAACGTCGCTTAGCAAAGTCCATCATGTCGACAAAGGCATGCATAATAGCAATATTTTCGGCGTCGCCCTCCCCAAGGTATTCTCCGATCATGGCTTTATCTAGGCGGTCGTTGTGTAGTATGAAAGATGCAATCTCCTCGGGAGTGTCGGACCGTATAAAGCCTTCCTGGAGGGAAAGTTTGATACCTCGTTTGGGCTTAAAATTGAATTGTTGAATCGCGTTCGTAAGCGCAATCTTCCTCTGTTTTACCTTTTCTACCTGACTCGGATCGTCATCCGGAACGGGGGTGGATCTGCCAGTACTACCATCGGTGCCATCGACCCTTGGTGAGGCGAGGAAAGTAGGAGCACTGCTATCCAGAGAGTCTCGAGGGTTGTCGACTGACTTTTGCGAAAAAGCTCGGGGCGCAGTCTGCTCAACGTTACGCTGCGATGCCCAGTTGTCCAGTGACTCCAGTATCTCAACTAAACACTCAACAGCCTGGTGCTTCAAAATGTACTCCGGCGGCACGTTGTGAACTATTGGCTGCTGACTGTTTCCTATGCTAGCGCTTGTGAGGTTTGGAGGAAGGGTACCACGCTGGTGCCATTCATTTCCAACGCTAGAGGCCTTCATATGCTGTTCATGGTATTGTTGTTGCTGGGCCGGGCTCACGGCCGTTGGAACACTAGCATATCGTGATAACTGTTCAATAATACTGCGAAATGCTGTTAGAATGATGAAAATGGCCGAATTTGGAGTTCAGGATACAAACTTTTGGAAAATATTCTCCAATGCCGTGCGATCACAGTCATAGTTGAGATACATCTCGACCAAGGCGCGGGGCTCATCTGCCAATCGCTCTAATACCTCCATGAAATACTGTTTCTGGAAGGCTGGCGCGTTTCGTTTCTCGAGAATGGCCAGATATATTTCCTTCATGAAAACCTCTAGTTCTTTCTGGTCCAAAGTTAGACATATAAGTAAATAACAAACAGCAACAACCAGAGATCACTAACCTTCATCATTACTCTCATGTGCTTTAGCATGAGCCAAAAGATTTCACAGCAGACCTCAAATACTTTAGGTACTGAGCTAGAGCCATTCCGACTAAGACTCAAACAGAGATGAGGCCTTATGGCTTGGAGAAAAGTCATCGGTTCTGAGCTCCCGGAGCTGTTCCTGATCGTGAGGAGGGGGGAGGTGAAAATGGTGACGTGGTTATTGATGAGGTAGTGGATGAGGTGCAGGGACAGCAGCTTGGATCTCATGTTCTGGGATTTGAGGTCTTGTTGCTGCTCATGACTGAGGATCTTATGGCTCAATTTGCAAAGAGCTCTGAAAACCAAGAAGGCATCTTTGACGTAAATTTCATCGACATCATCCTCGTCATTGGCTGCTTCCTCGCCCTCTTTCCCCTCTCCGGAAGCTCCAGATAAAGACTGTGCCCTTTTCTTATTGATGCTGGCGCGAGTGACCATAGTCGGCACGTTATCATTAACGGCCGTAACGTCTTTATTTGATTCGAAACTCTCCAGAGTGAGCTTCTCAGTTGGCTCCTTAGACACCGGCTGATCTGTTGCAACAGAAGCAACGTCGGATATCTGATCATCTTCAGCGGTTGAAGGAGCATCAGAGGCCTCGATTGCTACAATATCCGAAGAGCCAGACTGCACCTTTTCACCTTCCCGAATGCGGAGTTCCCTCAGATCCAGTCTCACACGAAGTCTGTCAAACACTGTGCTGACCATTTGTGTGAGGGACCCTTGAGCAATTTGCTGGTTTTGACTGGACTTAGAATATATAAACATGTTGTAAATCTGCCGAACAGCCTTCAAAAGACCTGCTCCATGCACCACAATTTTGTCATTCAAGACCGCAGCCAAAAGTGACTTTATAATTTGTTGTTGAATCTCAATCGCGGTGGCTTCATTTTCAAAGCAGTCGCAAATGGCATCGATGGCTCGTTCTATAAGAGGAGTTTGTTCGGTAGGTGTTTCTGACTCTGATGCTTTGGCTTCTTGGGTAGATGGGAATGCAAAGTAGGAATAAGTAATCAGCTTGCCAATGCAATCAAGAGCGGTTACTTGTAGAGGAATGCTGAAAGTCCTACTTGCAAGAAGCAGAGGTCGGAATAATACTTCAGGGTCGATCGGATGGCGATCGGATTGTTTGATATTGGCGAGCGCATTCTTCACAGCATCCTCCAATTCCTTGCTTTTCCGAGCTTCCCGCGACGCACCAATTGTATCCAATGCTGTCACAATGAAGACAGTAGAGCTGACTGTTGATGACCGGTGTGTTGCGAACGTCGCGGTGGTCGACCGCGAGTCTGAACGTAGTCGCATATCTTGCGCGGGCGCTTCATCTTGGGTTGAGTGAATACCAGGACTTTCGTCGGGCTGTTCTTCAGAAGTGGAAGGTCGCTCTTCGCGTGGACTATCTGTTTGGTCATCTCTCGTATCCGATTGACCTTGCTCGCCTTCATGCTCGAGAGGTTCGGTAGTAGTTTTCGGGGATGCCGGAGACGGCTCCTGCGGTAGGTCATGTTCGTCGCCTTCCAAACCTTCTTGCGGTAATTCGCGCTTTTCTGATTCGCTTAATTGAATGTCCTGGCGCTCCGACTCGTCTGGTAAGGTTGGTTTTGACTCCGCGACCTCATCCGGGGTCTGCGGTTGTTCGGTAATAACATCAACACCATTCTGCTTGTCTGCCTGGGGAGCGGAGGGTTGATTAATAGAGCCGTTCTCAGCTTCCGCCATTATGCGAGACTCCGTCTGGAGTATTCGGGAGCAGAAAGGCAGAAGTCCCACATGGAATGGAGTACTTAATTGGAAAGATCGAGGCTTGGGGAAAGATGATTTGGATACGGAGTATGCCTTGGTAGCTGATGCGTGTCCAAAGGTCCACTCTACCGCCCGCGGCCGCTGGTGTGCCTGACTAACAAGGCATAGCGCCCGGCGACCGAAAATTCCGACCCGGCCAGCTTCCCGGTGAGTGTCGGGTCAACGAAATTGAAGCTCACCCCAGCGTTCTTCTTCCAGATACAATTTCTCGGCTCCTCTCCGCCATTCATCTTTTTCCTTTCCTATAGCGCCGCGGGCCTATATCTGTATCACTTCACAGAATCTAGGCACCATGGTCGCCTCTGCTATCAGAATGCGCACTCCAAGCGCTTCATTCCTCTCAAAAGGCGCCTGCTCCTTGAGGCGACCGCAGGCCTCCTACAAATTCACGGCCTCAATTCAGTACGTTCTCTATCACCCACAAACGTTCAGGCTGCGTTCTGTGTACTGACTCGACATTCTTGTGATTTAGACACCAATTGCCCGCCATCTCTGCTCTTTCCCGCTTCTATGCTTCCAAGTGTATGCTTATTCCAAATCTCCCTTCTTGGCCACGGACTTTTCCTGACATGCGGAAAACCCACAGCTTTCCCTCCCCACACTATCATCAGCATGCCTGCCTTGTCGCCAACAATGACTGCTGGAAATATCGGAGCCTGGCAGAAGAAGGCTGGCGATGGCCTCCAACCGGGTGATGTTCTGGTCGAGATCGAAACCGATAAGGCGCAGATGGACTTTGAGTTCCAGGAAGAAGGTGTTTTGGCCAAGGTGCTGAAAGAGTCTGGCGAAAAGGATATTTCCGTTGGCTCTGTAGGTGTTCCCTTTATTCGAATTGCGCGAAGTCATGTCTGCTAACCACACAATCTTAGCCTATCGCTGTCTTAGTCGAAGAAGGTACCGATGTTGCGGCATTCGAATCATTCGGTTTGGAGGATGCCGGTGAGGGTGCTGCCCCCGCTAAGCAAAGCGAAGAAGCGCCCAAGGAAGCTCCCAAGGCTTCGGAACCGTCCACACCTCAACCAGAGGCTGGTGGTTATGAGCCCGAAACTTCCGGTGAGAAGCTTCAGCCTAGTCTGGACCGAGAACCTGCGATTAGCCCCGCCGCTAAGGCATTGGCTCTTGAGAAGGGCGTTCCCGTCAAGGCCCTGAAGGGCACTGGACGAGGTGGCCAGATCACCAAGGAGGATGTGGAGAAGTACAAGCCTAGCGCCTCAGCTGCCGGCCCTGTCTCCGAAGACATTCCTCTTACATCGATGCGCAAGGTTATCGCTAGCCGTCTCCAGCAGTCTTGGGGCCAAAACCCTCACTTCTTCGTCTCCACCACCTTGTCCGTCACCAAGCTTCTCAAGCTTCGCCAGGCCCTTAACGCCTCTGCTGATGGCAAATACAAGCTCTCCGTCAATGACTTCCTCGTTAAGGCTTGCGCCACCGCCCTCCTTAAGGTTCCTCAGGTCAACTCCAGCTGGGTTGAGGAGAATGGCCAGGTTGTCATTCGTCAGCACAACTCTGCTGATATCAGTGTTGCAGTCGCTACCCCTGCTGGATTGATCACTCCTATTGTGAGGAACGCCCAGGGTCTTGGGCTGTCTAGCATCTCCAACCAGGTCAAGGATCTCGGCAAGCGCGCTCGGGACAACAAGCTTAAGCCCGAAGAGTTCCAGGGTGGCACTTTCACCATCAGCAACATGGGTATGAACCCCGCTGTTGAGCGATTCACTGCCGTCATCAACCCTCCTCAGGCCGGTATTCTTGCTGTTGGCACTACGCGCAAGGTTGCTGTTCCTGTCGAGACTGAAGAGGGTACTTCGGTTGAGTGGGATGACCAGATTATTGTGACTGGTAGCTTCGACCACAGAGTTGTCGATGGTGCCGTTGGTGCTGAATGGATCAAGGAGCTCAAGAAGGTTGTCGAGAACCCTCTAGAATTCCTTCTATGAGTTTCAAATCCGGACTTTTGGTAATCGTGTGTGCTAGCGCATTGGCTCAGACCCTCAACCGGGCCTTGTCTCATTATGTATTAAAATCCTCATATTTTTTGACCATCTTGGTCGTTAGGTACAGCTTATAAATTCTAGCATCTTTTCTGTGTCCTGACGGCACCTTGTAGTGTCTTGATCTTCGACATAGTAAACTACTCGTCTTATCTATCATCTTGGTTCCTTGAAGCTCCTAATCCTAATATATTTTATCTGCCTATAGGGAGTGATGGGTTTACATTTCATTCCATCACTCACATTCCACGCTATTGTGAGGCGCACAACCATTTCGCCGTCTCCAGATCACTCTTTGAGATATATACTGCTCTATTTACATTGGGAATAGGATAATCTATACTGCAAAGAACGTAGCGATAAACCCTACATATCGCAAGGCCAGGCATGCGGAAAAGTTTGTTACAACGTAGCGCAAACGCCTTGGTGCAATTCAAACCATGGTCCTAAACAATCGCCTAGCTTCATTCTTCCCTTGGCCAGTGGAAACTCATACGAACGGGTATGAGGAGGGAGCAGATTTTCCGGCTTTGTCCCAAGAGCCCTTAGAGAAATTCCAGAGATTATGCTTCGCTGGAGCTCGATGGAAGCCAATAATACTACTATTATCACGCAAGCACGCTAAAAGCAAACCAAACCGGATCATGTACTAAATTGGGGGTTTCCGAGGACACCGTGGACGGTGGCCGAGCCCAAAAATTACCGATCATCATTTGATATCTCACTAGTATTGTTGAAAGGACCGGCGGAATTTCCCCTAGACCATGTCAAGGCGATTTCTTGTCGTATGACACTCCAGTCTTGCTCCGCATCCTTAGGTATGTGCAATACTACATACCGATCTTTATCCTAATTGACCAGAAGTTAAGAGCCTCGGTGTGAACTACAGGAATATCTGTCCCGAATTCTAAATGCGCTACAATTCGTATGACTCGTAGGAGTAAATGTTCCAAGGATGCGCTCACGCCCCAAAGTTGGTGGATAACGAACGTTTACCATGCCAAGTCCAAGGCACGATCATGACATCATCCGCGCCAACCACAGGTATAAAAACGTCATTTCTCAATGCGGGTCGTGATGGCTACTTCCCGCGCTTAAATTCCTGTCTCTGCTCATACCCCCTTGAAGCCATTTTTCATAATCTACAGAATACACGCCCTCCAAAAATAATAACCATGAGTTACGCCGAAGCTGCTGCAAAGGGTCCCAAGCAATCCGCTGAAGAGGTATGTAACCACCCACCGGTCGAATTCTTTGACCTCACTGACTCTAACCGCAGGCGTAAGTGAAGCTCCTGTATTGCGATTTTTGATGCCGAGAAAACTAATTAAACTGGGTTTGATCAGCCGTGCCCCCGAAATCAACCGCGTTTACAAAGACGAAGGCGAGAGCACAGCATCCCTAATCGACGTTGACAGCCCTCACGTGCAGTCGGTAGACTCTGATTTCCTGCAACAAAATGTGCAGACCAGCACTCAGGCGGAGCGGATAGAGCGTGAGGAAGAGGAGGCACGAGAAGCCCGTGAGAAGAAGGCGAAGGCTAAGGCCTCGCGTGGCCATGGCAATGAGACCAACCCAGTATACCTTGGCAATGCCGCCATTCTCGCCCTCGTCAGCGCAGGTCTTGGATTCGGAGCTTACCACAAGCACGCACAAGGCAAGCTTTCGTGGGAGCTTGTTGGGCTGTGGACGGGTGCTGTGGGTGCTTTTGGCGCCGTCGATTACTTCGTCAGCAAGTAGGTTTCCCACGTTCCATCACTAAAGTTTCCGATTACTAACTTGCCTCTTTTCCAGATGGTTCCTCCAAAACAAGTATCCTCCTAAGAACTAAGCAGCGAGGGCCGTTATCCTTTTGTTTTCATACATAATCTATACCAGATTTTGCCAGTTGCGTTTGTGGGGTAGTGTTTTGATCTTGGGGGCATCTTGATGTAGCTCTAGGCTTGTAACGAATACATTTCCGCTCTTAACAATTCGAAATTAAATTCTCACAAAACTGATAGAGACAGTAATAATTCTTGCGATGGAGTTACCTTCGTTAGTCTAGTTATGCTTTGCGCAGGGCGCAGTTGCTTGCCGTCGAAGTGAGGTTAGAATCATAAAAACCAACTTTCTCGATCTATTGAGATTTCAAGTTTTTATTCCCGGTACAAACTATATTTGGTAGCAGAGTGTCTGGAATCTGGATGGACAGGCTGGATCTTGCGGAGAGCGCGTTACCCCATTAACTACAAGGCGATTGTCCAAAGGCGGTGACGCCGAATATCAAAGGTTATGTGGCATCAAGCATCAAAGAGATTCAGTATATTATTGATTTATAACACGCCGATTCGACTGGGAAGACGACAAATATACCCGACACATTGTTTATCCTTCCAAGTCGGAACTGGAAACTTCTCCTGCACCCCCACTCCTGATTGATATACCCTCTGTGGACGCCAACAACATTAGGGACACCACCCACACAGAATATGGTATGAATTTCCAACCGCCTGCGATTCCGTTGATATATGTCTGATTGAGCATCTAATGCTTCGATATAGAACTCACTATTCAATTCTGCTCTCAAGCAGTCATCTGCGATTCGTCGCGACTTAGACACGTTCGCACAATCCCCTGCCACAACACCTGCAGCGTTACAAGGTAATAACCCGACGTTTATATCAGCGGCTGTTTCGCGTATTTAACGGCCGAGTGCGCACATTAAGATTAGTTATCCATACTGACGTCTATCCATAGGCCAAGTTGCAGCGTCCTTAGCGTCGCTATCCCGGACAATTGATGACTACTCTGCTTTATCGAAGAGGGAATTGATACCAGAGAAGCAGGAAAAGGCGTTCGAAAGAGTCAAGAACTTCAGGGCAGAGCTACAAGATTATCGACAACATTTTGACCAACTACGGAAAGAGAGGGAGGATGCTGTAAGTGTTCACTCTCAAGACCTGGATGATGCGATTCTGTATCGCGTGTAGCTAATTTTTTTGGTTGATAGCAATCTGTAACCAACCGCCATGAGCTTCTCGGTCGTCGTCCGCATAACACAGCTACACCTGAGAACCCTTACGCCCAACCCTCGGTGGCCCATAATTCACCATTTGCGCCTTCTTCGTCGCGATCGGGCACTGGTTTTGGAGGGTCGGACTATACTCGGGAAACGCATGCGCTAAGGGAGCAATCCTTCCTGTCAAGCACAAGCTCCCAGCTTGATGATTACCTTGACCGGGGCCGTGCTGTGCTTGCCGACCTTGGGCAGCAGCGAGAAGTACTAAAGGGCACACAACGGCGTCTTTACAGCGTCGCAAACACCCTCGGCGTCAGCGGAGAAACAATTCGAAAGGTTGAGCGGCGAGCGAAGCAGGATAAATGGATTTTTTGGGCAGGCGTGATACTATTCCTCTTGTTCTGTTGGGCGGTGGTGCATTTTCTGAGATGATGCCGGGTTGCTCGCTTCCTAGTCTTGCTTAATCTCTTGTAAATACAGCAGTTGCTGGCCTCATAGTTTCTCTAGCGTCGGCGTTGTTTGGGCTTCTTGGATTGCAATATGGAATCTATTAGCTAAAAATCGAGCGGATACGTGTCTTTGTAGTTTATATTTCAATTGATTACGCTGGCTCACAGTTCGCTCCCGTATATGGTATAGTTTATGGTGTTTTCCTTCCGACCTCGGGACAAGGATGCCGTGCACGTTACTCCGTCGACTACAGTTGGGGCAGCTCCATGCGTCGGAACGGGATCGAGCGAGAAAAGGGCCCACTTCTTTCCAACCTCGTCACCCGGAGTGATCTCGGACAGCTTTTCGCTTCTTTCTTTCTTTTCTTCCCTCCGTCTCCTCTCATCGCGATAGAATCCCCCCACCTCATTGTCACTTTGTGGTATATCATATCCTCCATTTAACCGTCACAATGTTCGCTGCTCGTCAGTCTTTCGGTTTCCTCCAGAAGCGGGCCTTCTCCGCCTCTGCTAGCCAAGTATGTCGTTATTTGCGCGCTTTTGTTTTCGGAGTACCTCGGAGATACCATTCCAAACAATATACTGACTGTCTTGCGAAATCTCTAGGCCTCCAAGGTCGCTGTCCTCGGTGCCGGTGGCGGTATCGGACAGCCCCTGTCGCTTCTCCTCAAGCTCAACCCTCGTGTCTCTGAGCTTTCTCTTTACGATATCCGCGGTGGTCCAGGTGCGTCGCACGGCATCCCAATCGAATCCATCATATCCTTAGCGCACTGGGCTAATTGGAAACCTTTTAGGTGTCGCTGCTGATCTCAGCCACATCAACACCAACAGCACTGTCAGCGGTTATGAGCCCAATGAGAGCGGCCTTGAGAAGGCTCTCAAGGGCTCCGAGATCGTCCTTATCCCTGCCGGTGTCCCCCGTAAGCCCGGCATGACCCGTGACGGTATGGATAGCATCCTAGAACAACTAGCCTTATAAACGAACAGGAACTGATGGTTTGACGATAGATCTCTTCAACACCAACGCGTCGATCGTCCGTGACCTTGCTAAGGCCGCTGCCAAGGCTTCTCCAGAGGCCAACATCCTTGTCATCTCCAACCCCGTATGCATCATCACCACCTGAGGCTTGTTGTGGCAAGTCATGCTGATTATCCTAGGTTAACTCCACTGTCCCCATCGTCTCCGAGGTCTTCAAGGCCGCTGGCGTCTACAACCCCAAGCGTCTCTTCGGTGTCACGACCCTTGATGTTGTCCGTGCCTCTCGCTTCATCTCCCAGGTCCAGGGAACCAACCCCTCCCAGGAGGCTGTTCCCGTCGTTGGTGGACACTCCGGTGTGACCATTGTTCCTCTGCTCTCTCAGTCCAACCACGCCAGCATCCAGGGCACTACTCGTGACGAGCTTGTCAACCGCATCCAGTTCGGTGGCGATGAGGTCGTCAAGGCCAAGGATGGTGCTGGTTCCGCCACTCTCTCCATGGCTATGGCTGGCGCTCGCTTCGCCGAGTCTCTGCTCCGTGCCGCCCAGGGCGAGAAGGGTGTTGTTGAACCCACTTTCGTTGACAGCCCTCTATACAAGGACCAGGGCGTCGAGTTCTTCGCCTCCAAGGTTGAGCTCGGCCCCAACGGTGCCGAGAAGATCAACCCCGTCGGCCAGGTCAACGAGTACGAGCAGAAGCTCCTCGAAGCCTGCCTCGGCGACCTCAAGAAGAACATCCAGAAGGGTATTGACTTCGTCAAGGCCAACCCTTAAATGTCTTACACTTGAAAGTTCTGCAGCGGCGTTCCTCCCTGTATAACAGTCCTGTCATTTTATCCACCCACATCTCTTCCACATCGACTAGTAGTACTGCATTGGAGGAACGCAGCTGCTGATGGAGTACTCTCTTCACGGGGAACGGTGAGGGGAGACAAATGACTTGTATTTTCCTATTAAATATAAATCAAATTCGTAATTACGTCTGAAGAGTTTCTGTATGTCCAGTTTCCTGCCTTTCTATCCCTTCTCTCCCCATCTAGGATTAATCCCAGTAGCCTTTAACATTATTTGTGAGTCTTGGAAAGCACAGCTAGGAAGCAAGAATTTATAGTAGCTTTAGAGTAAGATTCCAAATACCTAAAAGACTCTAGGAGTGTGTTTCCAAAACAGCGTAAAAAGAGGGAAAAACAGAGCAAAAAGGAAAAAGTCAACCCCATAATCTTTCGATCCCAAATCCAGAGTAGAGCAGAGTAGAGTATCAGTCATCAGTCGTCATTCGTTCATTCGAAAACCTTCAAAAGCAGGGAAAGACAGGACAGGAGAGATGGGTCTGGGATACCAGTTAACGAATAAAAAAAAAAAAAAAAATAGATAGATGGGGACAGAAAACGTATTTAGAGCACCAAGTCCAAAACAAAGTCAAACTAAGTGTAGCTTCGCATGGCATCCATATAACCCGTGCCTCCGCGTAGATCGTGGTCGAAAGTTTCCGCCACGTCCAGAACACGTTTGATATGTTCCATGGATAGAGGTGCTTTTTCATTGACGGCAAGGGCTTGCGCTGTCCGCACGGAGTTTTTGATCTGGGGAACTCTGTTAGCTCATATACTAGAAAACCGCTGGAGAGACAAAAAAAGCTAACCTGTCGTCCATTGAGATTATGCCGCGCAAGTGTGTCGTAGTCCTTGTCTGTGAAGTTCGACGTCTGTACACCCTCCATCGCTTGGACTTTTTCGAGGAACATCTTCCATACACTTCGCTTAGCTTTGGTAGTGAGGTCACCGTAGCGCAAGGCAACGTGGATTCGGGACTGGAAAGCGTCGTCAAAGGTCTCCACGCGGTTAGTGGTCAAGAACAGAATTCCCTGGAAGTACTCAAGCAGACGAAGGAAGATGCTGACGAGGGCGTTGCGGTGAATATCCTGAATTGTTCTCTTCTCTAAGAAGATATCGGCTTCGTCTAGAAGTAGCACGGCACCCCAAGAGTGGGCAATGTCCAAGATTTTGTTCAGCTCCGCCTCTAATGTGCGCGAGTCTGTTCCGAGCTCACCGGCGCTCACCATGTATAAGGGGCGCTTCAGAAGCTCTGCTATACCCTCGGCTGTCAGTGTCTTACCAGTACCCGGAGGTCCGTGTAGCACAGCCACGAGTCCTCTGCCCTTCCCTTGAATCACATCGTCGATGTTCTGTGCGGCGCAGAAAGTATGAGACTCTACTAGAGCTTTGACAATGGTCTTCTGGTTGCCTGGTAGAACCAGCGAGTCGAATGCATCCTCATTCCATTCGATATCACTGACTCCGGAGATGCTGAATTCGAGCCAGAGCTTCTCGCTAAACGCGAATCCCAGAACGACCGGGCTGGCGATGAGCAATTCTTCCTCGGTGAAATCTCGCTCAGAGGCATCGCCGACCTCGTCCATGTCCTCTTTTTGAATCTCGTTCCCATTCTCGTCAACTTCCACTGCGACAACTTGGGGGCGGCCATCCTTGTTTCGAACCACCTTGAACTTCATCTTGGGCGAGTCCGAATCACGACGTTCTCCATGGGATTGGTCAGATTCAGATCCTGACACACAGCAGCATCCACCCTCACTTTCATCATCGGAATCATCTAGCAAGTCCGGGTCTTTGGGACGGACGGTGCTGATAGGGTAGTTAGGGTTGATGCGACGGTGGATTGCCGGGTCAATCATCACTCGTCCATTGATATTGACCTTGATGACAGTGCGCTTCTTTTTGAAGAACGCCATGCCCTTGTGAAATCGGTAATTCATGCCTCTTAAGGCAACAAACTTCTTACCCCGTTCGATTAGCTTGGTTCGGACTTCATCCGCTTCACGATGGTATTTAAGCGGGTAGCATCCTAGGCTGGTGATCTTGCGGGCTCCTTTGAAAGATTCCACTTCGGCTGCCATTGTTCCCATGCCAAATGTCTTGCCATCATATTCCAGGTACCGTCCTTCAATACTGTACCACTGGCCCTTCATGAAAGATGACTCTTTAGTGGCGTATTCTATCTTGAAGGCACGAGGCTCGTCTTGATTACCATATGTGGGCGCATAGGCAATTGTATTTGGTTTGAACAGTGCCCACAAGAGATCAAAGGTTATGGTATTCGCCTCCAGTAGCGGATACAACGTCTTCTTCGTCTCGGCATAGTCCATGTCGAGGTACTTGATTAGAATTTTCAAGTGGTGTGCCTTCTGCCCCGCAAGTTTTCTTGCCTTTTTCTTTTTTTCTGTTTTAGCTTGTTGCTTAAGTTCCTTCATGTATTGGCGTGTTTCCTCGAGATATAGAAAGAGCATGTTTGGATCAACAACTGCGGTCTCCTGTACCAAACTGACGCCCTTCACTCCGTCCATGACTTTGCCCAAAGCCTCTCGGAGGTGCTTACTCTTGAGGTCAACGACCGTTTCGACATATTTGCCCTCCCAGTCAAATTTGCGACGTACGGTGAAAAGGTACTGATCCCACTCGTTCGCATCGGGGTCATCCATAGTTTCAGTGAGTTTAAACTTATGGATTGTGTTGTCCCATACTGTTTAGAGTTAGCTGATCTCTTGTCTTTTAATTTTTGTTTTGTCTAGATGGAATGGAAAGAAGTACGTTGATCAACTCTCTTGAAAGCCATTTTCGAGCCAGCTTTCTTCTTTGATCTCCTCTGCAGACCCTTTTGAGGCTCTCCTAAATTGTCGATTAGACCTCGCCTCCCGCGCAGCTTAACACGCTTCCCATCGGCCTGTTTCAATTTCAGTTTTTCTTTGGCCAAAGTGAGAGACATCTCAACCAAGTCTGCATCACCATCATCAAACTGCTGGTCCTCGGAAGAATCCTCGATGTGATCATGTATTCTGGCCTTCTTCACTTTCAGTTTCTTGACAAGCTTTCTCAGCTGTTTCTCGTCGAAGGAATCATCCTGCTCAGTATTCTCGATGTCAGATCCTGTGTCTGACGCATCGTCATAGCGTGACTTGAGCTTCTTCTTATTGCGCTTCAACCTATTTGTCTTAGTCTTCGTGCGCCTCCGTCGCGAGTATCGGTCGAACTCCAACTCAGAAGGCCCTGATGACGATTGATCATTCTCTGAGGCGGATTCACTGGAGCTTGTGCTCTCAGAAGATGAGTTTACCTCCGAAGAGCTATCATCACTAGGTGTGACTATCGACGAGTTCTTGCCTGCTTTCCGGGACTTTTTTTTGGATTCGCGATTTCTAGAATTGGGCTCTGACTCTTTCCCAGGGTGCTTCTTGCAAGACTTCTTAGCAGTATTTTCGGGGACGGAGACTGGTGGTTTCGTGTCGGCCTTTACCGCATTGTTCTCAACAGCCGGTTCGGCATCATGTTTGGTATCGCCCGTTGTGGTTGTAGGATTCGCGGAGTCGGCCATAGCTTCTGTGGATGATGGGACCCGCTGTGGAGCTTCCGGGAGCGGAGAGGAAGATGGGCTAGCGCTTGGATCTCTTTGCGCCTTAGGCTCTGGAATAGTTGATTGCTGGAGGCTGACTGAGTCGGAATCGGGAGAATCAGTACCAGCGGACATTATAGATGATTTATAGACATGAACTGGCGGTCGTATAAGGAGAAAATCGCAGAGCGTTGAAAGGGCGCAGATTGCTGAGTGAAGACGGTAGGTACCATAAGTGTGTGGGGAACGGAAGCAAGTGAAGCGATGAATAATGGAAAAGAAAGGTAGAACTGGAAGACAAACAGAGAAGACGAAGAAGAGAGTTCTCTGGAAGTGACGCACTTCAAATAGCTCCCGATCCGCCTTGCTTTATTATTACGTGTCTGGTCTATTGGCCGAAGGATAAGCGTATCTGGCGGTGTGTTAGCCTGCGCTCTTGGGGAGGAGGAAGGCTTCCACAAGACCTTGGATAGAAGTGGGATCGAGTGCATGTAATGATACTGAGGAAGTGGTGAATTTAAAAGAAAAGCAGAGGTTGGTACGGATGGATATCTCATAAAATGATGAGCCAGCTCGCCATAGCCAGCAGCCTGCTATAGGCAGATGACCCAGCCTAGACTTGTTGGCACAAGAATTAACTAATATCAGCGAGCGAGAGTCCGGAAATCGCCCGAAAAGATTTCGATGGCGGTTCTTCAGCTGGCTTATGGGTTGATGCCTGGGTGAGGCTGACGGTGTTTATTATGCAGGAAGTGTGATTGTTGACAGGTGACGCTCAGTCTGGATGCTTTTTCCTCTTCTCTGCAGCGTGTCTGCCTGCCTCGTCGCCCCATGATGCATGCGTGCCTTTCCGTGTTTTTCATCCAAACGATCATCAGCCTGCGCAAGGCGGATTTAGAATGGCTTTATCAGCTTCATCCTCCCCAACTGGGCTGATCATTCTTATGAACGGGGCAAGAATTTATTGCTACGCTTTGGTATAGTTCCCAGCCTATAGCTCAGGAACCCTCCCCACAAGAGAGTGTACGATGACCTAGTTTCTTGTTTCCCCTGATATCTTTGGGCATTTCCTTGCTTGGGTGACAAGTGATCAGACTTCCGTCTGGAATTCTGGAGCAAGGGCTCCGACCCCTAGCCCATGCCCTATCCAACACAAGTCTCAGCTCACGACCCGCTCTGCTCGTGCCGCGGACTCTCCTTCCCCCAGTTCGCATCCCCGGCGAGTTTCCTTACAGCTTCCACGATAGGAAGGAAGTACAAAGCTAGACCAGCAAACCCCCTCCGTTGTCAATGTTTTATAGCCGGTTCTGTTCACCGACACCAAGCGCCAAACACAGCAGCTGAATTCTTGTTCGACCGAGGTCAAGGACATGGATTCTCAGGGAAAAGAATTTGGGAGGATGGGCGTAATGGAGACGAGGCCGTCTGAAATTCTGGACCCCTGTTACACGAATCGCTGATCGCGAGGTTCAACGAAGCCAATGCAGCTGAAGGACGATGGGGCAGAAGCGACGAATAATAATGCCCACTAGTTTGTTCGTTGCATGCAGAGTTGTCGATGCTTTGGGCTCGTGCAGGTACTTTTTTCTATCTCGTTTTCATTGCTTTTTCCTGTAAATCAATTGATTGAACTTGGGCAAATATGGTGCGACAAACTGGGATGGATTATTCGGATTGTTAAGGTAGCCGGACCAGTGCCGCCAAGTCAACTTCGCGAACGGCTCGCCAGGTTGAAGGGCCCCGGCAAACAGTTCGAAATCCAACTGACGATCTGGATTGAGGATTGAGGATCAGCGTCCAGCGGTCACCCTCCAGTTTCTCGGCAGTGACAACTGGACTGGACACCGGCGTCGATAGCGCTGTATCCATGGGTTGCGGATTGGGCGGAAAGTCGAAGGAATGCCGCTTCACTTTCTTTTTTTAGTCAAGAATCGAATTGTTGAGCAGCCAACGAGACACGACGAAGCACGCAAGCATCATGGATCAATCCATGGACTGCCGTGTTAATCTGTCAAACCAATGCTCCAATCACCGACCTTCAAAATTGTTGACCGAAGTATAGAGAGATCGTTATTATACCACCAGAAGAGAATCAAAGATCCGCCCTGCTTTTAGATCTCTCTAGACAGCAACCTCCAATGTGAACTACATGATGACATGGAACCACTGCCAGTTTTCCCTACTTATTCCCTCCAATATATACGCCGATCCGAGGAACTGGAGCAGGGGTAGGCAGTAGGCGTGGAAAAGGAGCAGCAGTCCATATGAAAGATTCATCTATTTCTTTACAGTTAATCAAAAGCCATTGTTACTGCTTGAAGTAGATTCCACTCTCGCCTACTCTTTTGTCTGGCCCCCATGTCCGGGAACTGCTTGAACGGGGCAATGGTGTCCCTATTCAGAATGGCATCTGCCCCAAGTTCAACACAACTGTGAACACAGGCATTACCCGCCAAGTAGAAATATGTTATACCCCAGTAACAGAACTAAGTGAGAGTGCGACGTGAAACCATTTATGGCGGCTTTGGGTAAAATCCTGAAGCCTAAATACTTAGATATCCTCAATTCTCTCAACCTCCTCTGGTGAATAACACTACATCACCCCAGTGTGTTCATCACCTATTCTTCCAGGTAAGGACATAACACCCTATCGCCATTCCCCTTGACCGTTTGTATCGTCTCTTTTTGTCTTGATCTAGCTGGATTCTTAATTCTGGCAAGTCAAATGAGATACCAGCTCCTCGTGCACCGCGCTTGCTCTCATTGAATATGGACTACGACACTGACTCTGATATTACAGCCACCACCTCTCACTCCAACGAATTTACACCCATAAACTCGCCCAAGGGCAAAGAAATTGCAAAATCCAATAACGCAGCCATGAAGACCGAGGAAACTGACCAATATCCGCCCCGGATCAGAGCTGAAGAAACGATGGAAGTAAGTCACCCTGGACACTGGAACATACAACACAAACAGGAACATAACCAAAGAAGAGATACACCACGGCTAAACAGTTTAAAGGAAACCCCCACCCCAACCAAGGCATCAGTCTTAGAAGCCAACAAGGCAACAAACACCCCCACTGACAAGAGCGCAACTGTAACTCCGCGCAAGCGTGGCCGCAAACCAGCAGGTTCAGCCACCACAACTCCAAGCAAGAAGTCCAAGAAGGACAGCGGCAGCACTGACGATGGCGAGCCTTCTACCCCTGGTAATGCAGGTACACCTTCTCGCGCGACTCTCCCTCCTATCCCAGCTACTCTTGCCGCGGCGGGCCCAGAAGACACCATGATCTTGCGCCTCCGCGATGAGGAGAACCGTCCTTGGGCTGAAATAAACAAGATCTTCGTCGAGGCCACGAGCATCAAAGTTGGCGGGTCTACGCTTAGAATGAGATACACTACTATGAAGGCCAACTTTGTGGGGATCACTGAGGAGGATGTATGTCTCTCTACCTCTTTTCGTCCCTTCACGTATTTTTCCTTTACCATTATGTACAATGCTAATTGATATGATTGATACTGTAGGAGGGGCGGCTCCTGCGCATCAAGAAAGAAATTGAAGATAAATTCGAAAGCGAGAAGTGGCATCGCATCACTGAAGCGATTGTTCAAGACGGCGGCGCGAAGTATCCGGCTGCGGCGCTACAGAAGAAGTTTAAGGAGTTGAGCAAACAGCTTAATAGCCCTGCTCCTAATGGTGCTGCTGCTAATGGTGGTGATGAGAAGTGAGGTTGCATCTATTTATCTACACAACTGCCTATCTCGCGCGGCCCTTTTTGTCTTTCTGGCTTGGTGCGTTGTGTTTATTTGCTTAGGACCTTAGGGGAGTCGGGGTTGGCGTTTCTGGTGCTGCTGGGATCTGGAATACACGACATTGGCTTGAGGAGGAGTTAAGGGTTGATTGAATTCGTTAGGAGGCCAACTGGCTGAGCCGGTCCATGATTTGGAATGAATCTGCAACATTCAAGGGGCAACTTGATACATAAGGACTGCTGAACTTAAGACGCAGACTCCTCAATATTCGGTCAGTAGATTAGGAGAAACTGAACCAGAAATCGAATTTGATTGCAAATCAGTTTAATTGAAGAAAACAAGTAATGTCCCCTAGTAACACAACCATACACACAAAGAACACCAGCAATATTCCCGAGTCAGTACTTACTCCTGAATCCAAGAAACCTCCGTACCGACCCAAAAGAGTGAAACAAGAATGAAATAGGTAGAACCTGGAGCACATATCCATAGGAAAGAGTAAGAACCAGAACCTCGTTTTGTGCCAGACAACAACGAAGCAATCAACAAACCAAAAAGTGGTTATCATAAAACACTCAGTTCTTGACGAGGCAAGCTCAACTTGTCCCCGTTCATGGAGCTGGTGTCTTTATCTGTCGTTGAATCGTCACTTATGCGCGCAACGATAGGTGGGCGGGTTTTCGCTCCTACGAATCCGCGTCTGTCTCTTCCGGTTCGAGCACGTCCAAGCCAATTGTGTTTAAGGTCTTTGCTGAGGGTTTCGATTCTTTCCTGCGGGCCGTCGTTTGTTTGGACGCTTGCAAGGACGCTTACGCATTGGAGCATACGACCGACGGTTTCGGTGATGACGTGTGAAGTGTCTGTGTTATTCGTTCGGTGGATGATTGTTGGCCGTTGTGACGGAGAAGAGAAAGACTGGAAAATGAGCTGGTCTGGGTTGGATGAAGTGTTGGATGTAGCCCGACTACGGCTGTAGTCAGGTGAATCAGAAGAGAGGCTTCCTGCGGTGTTGAGGAAGGCAGATGACTGAGAACTGTAGCTTCCGAACCCACCATCGAGCGATGCGGCAGTACCAGGTCGGCCACTATTACTGCTGCTTTTAGTTGTAATGCTGAGGGCAGAGGTTCCGAGTTTAATGCTGTCTAAGCTCAGGCGAGAAAACGTAGCTTTGAGGCTGTCATACCGGTTGATGACAACCATGTCACGGAAAGCGATGAGGACGAGGTTGCGAACTTCCAGCTCGCAACCGGGGTACTCTCCGTCTAACACAATACTCCAGAACTCTCTTGCTTCTCGCGAGTTCATGACAGACCCACACCCTCTGAATTCAAGATCCAGGGGAAGGAAAACGGCCTGGATAAATGGAAGAATGGTGCCAAACACCAGCATCCAGATTTGTACGAGATGAGGTATCAATTTCTCATCAGGTACGCCGTTTAGGGTATGATTCAAGGTAGCAAATCCTGCCTCTAGAAGTTCACGTAGGTCATCAACGATAGCCGTGGGCATACGTCTTTGCACACAGCGCTGTATGTGGATGAGAACCAACTTATTTAGGTCCTCAATAGCAATTCGCACGTCTTCACCGTCAAATATCACTAGTAACTTCGCTTTTAAAAAGTCCCAGGCATCCTCGGGGCTCATGTTGTGGAGACCGAAGCCTTGTAATGTCTCTCGTAAAGCAGCCTCGGCGAGAGCCCCTCCTGTGCTTCCTAGCGATGACGGACCTGCAAACCCGCCAGAGGCTGCCCCAGCCATGGTTGAATTTGCTAGCCATTCAGGCGGCTCCGCCTCTGCCTGCAACGCCTTTTCTTCCTTTTTCTTGTCGCGGAGCGCCCGGCCGCCATGTAATAGATCCAACCCACCCACAGACTTGCTGAAAGAAGTTGTAGCAGCACTTGGTGAGGCTGGTGTAAAAGAATATAGCGACTGGGGAGCATTGGGATCTGATGGTTTAGAGTTACTCGCTGCAGACGAGAGCGGAAGGTTGAAATGGTCATCTCTATCCTTCAAATCTTTCAGCTTCAGCTTCTGCCGTGACAAGAAATGGTGTTTATGCGTTTTATCCTTTTCCTTCTCTTTTACCCCATCCTTTTCAGGAACCGGTGGCTTATCAGCAGGCACAACGGTACTCGCCGAGGCGTTCGACAGATTGTACATAGACGAGTTATTCGACGGGAAGGTATCCGCTAGATTTGTCGTAGATGAGCTGACAATCCGTGTTAAGCCGGCAATCTTGTTTGGGGATGGGAGCCCTTTGTCTTTCACATCCTTATCACGACTGATACCAATATGTTTCGGTTTCGAGAACAGCTTCATCTTGGACTTTTCGCTCTTGTGTTTATGCTCACGCTCATAAGTGTGCGCTTCCATCCCCGGCGGCGGTATTCGCGGAAACACATGGTTCGCTGCTGTCGTCGCAGCGGCCTGGCCTACGCCATGTCCAACGCTTTGTTGCTGTGGCTGGCCTGAAGCTGACCCTGGCCTGGGGGGTTGTGAAGCAGGAAGCGGGGGAGGGGGCGACACTGAGCCATCGTCCGTTGGTCGTTTTGGAGGAAGTTGAATTGTTGAGGACGAGTGCTGGCTGAGCATAGCAGCCTGAGCTGCTATCCTCGAGGCCGAAAGCGTCGCGTCTGACGAGGAGGCGGTGGGGAGAGATGGTTCGAAGAAGCCCTGCGAGTGGTGACGCGAACGCTTGTGCAGATCCGGCGGATGGGCTCGTCCTGACGGTTTTCTGCTCGACGGATCATGGTGTGGCATGAAGGAGGTGGGAAGACGCCCTGAGGCTCCGTTGTTGACGGCGGGTGGTGTCCGGAGGGCGGATCGAGGGGACGAGGTCCCGGTCTGGTGGTATGTGTTGGTCTGGGGCGCAGAGATGGCGGTCGCATTTGAAATTACCGACGAGGCATCACTTCCAGAGGAGCCTGGACGGTCCAGTTCGTCATCGACAGAACGGCGAGGTGGGAGCGGTGATCGAGAGGCAGAGCGCTCTGGGGAGACGGTGACGGGCGAGCGCAGCATTTCCGGGTCGGGGCGGGAGAGAAGGTGGCAGAGGTGAGGCTGTGTATGTAATCGAGGGGTGTCGACGGCTCGTTTACTCCGCAGTCATCGTCGCGCTGGACGCTCTCTTGGGATCTATTCAGTGCATTAGAGTAGTGAGATAAACGCAGTAGCCTGAGAAGCGTCCAAGAAAGACGATCATTATTCTTGTCGATCGTTCATCGCTCCGCAACGCACTTGGGCCTCAGTAGTCCCGCTGCTAGTTCGCTGTCCGCCCCGCCAGCAATTTCTCCCTCCGTCTTCTCTTCTCGCCAACGATACCTTTAAGATTACAGAGACGTCAATTAGCGACGCAAGGATTTCAGCATGGCACCATTCACGAACCCCCAGTCGAATCGCCTCCAGGCCGCGTATACCTCGCCGCAGCTTGACCGCACATTCGAGCACACCATCCACTCAGCCACCCCCAACCCCTCCGACGACAACGTGAAAGTCAAAGTCGCATACCTCGCAGAACTCAGAAAGCTCGCTCCTGTACTACAAAACGATATCAATGTGTTCCTGACGGAACGCATGGAGGAGGACAAGAAAGCTGCCGAGGCTCAAGGCCGTCAATTGTCCAAGGAAGAAGCCAAGGAGGAAGAAAATTATGGCGAGGAGGTCGTTGAGGATGATGCCTGAAAAGAGAACAACTACACCAGCAACACGGGCACAAGCTCCTGAGGAAGCCGTGGAATAGGCTACATCGTGCTAACTTAATCGAAACTGAATATATTTGAATCCTTGGATAATCTTATTATATCCCTGGGTATCAAGAACGAAACATCCGCCATCCCACTCCAAGGCCTATTCTGAATTGGACAACAAAGAAAATGCAAGGGGCGCTCTCAAATGAATCAACGCCACATATCAACAAAACTGGAATCTATTTACCGAAAATACGATACAATCACGAAGCGGACATGCGACTGGCACAGCCTAGATGTACAACAGTATTACTGAGGATCCGTTAGCAACTGACCGACTAATTCCAACAATAATCCAACGGGCGAGCACTTACTCAGGAAACACGTTTATCACACTACCGCCAATTCTCTTGTGACAAACACTGCAAACTCGTTCTTCGGTAACGGTAACATGTCTGGATCTTGATGATCGCCCGTCCGTGCCTTCACCAACTAGAAGCTGTGCGCGGGTCTTTATGGTTTGGACTTTGAGCAGGTTGGCCGTGATCCGACTCTCATTCAAAATCGTATTGGCAGCGCGCATTCGGCCCTTGAAATAAAATTCGAGCTCATTGACTGGAAGAGATTCGGGAATCAATTCCAGCGCGGAATTGGCGGGCAGTCGAGATCCGTGTTTGGCTAGAATATCAAGGGCTGGGCCATATTGTGGCTTGTATCCGTGAGGTGGAGATAGATACAAGGACAGCAATGTTAAGTATATAGAGGGTTCATCATCAGATGGAGCAAGCGTGGAATATTCCCCCGCTGCTCCGCTTGGCGCTGGCGTATCTTCTGTCTTGTGAAGGTGGTTACAGTATCTATCAATGTTAGTATTAGTCATACGATGCAGACAAAATACAACGTACTCTTCCGCTTTGTCATAATCTTCCAGCTTGAATACATAAATCTCTAGTGCTTGTCTGTGTTGGCCCATCTTGCTGAAGAGGATTGCGCGGGCCTCGAAAAACTCCGGGTCTATTTTCCTAGTTAGTATGGAGTCCTCGTGAAAAATAACGGATGAGCTTACCGTCACGATCCAGGCGGCCTAAAATCTTGGATGGCGAATACTGATCGCTTGTGCTCAGCATAGTAATGAATTTCTCCCTCCACTCAAGGTAGTTCTCCACGTTTGCAAATTCGCCCTGACTGTGTTGATGTTTCTGTAAACGATCCAAATACAGAACTACAAGCCTTTGATGTATGTCGGGAGTCAAGTCATTCAGTTCTCCAATGACATGTTCAATATACTGAACAGCCAATTTGACGTTTATTTCCTGCAGAAAATCAAGTACTTTCTGCCGAGGCAGTGTTTCGGCATTTTCAGTATCCGCAAGGAATATTTCCATGCCGAGTTCAGGATCCTCCTGGACAGGCCATTTCGCAAACTCAAGAATAAGGTCGATATGCTCTGGAGGGAGATGCTGTAGATAAGCAATCATCCTCTTAGGACCATGTAGCTGCGGCGCCATTTCTTCTTCAGCATCAGATTGGCCGAACTTCCTGAGGAGCTCAAGAGCTTGGCGGTGCATTTTCTTCCCGTATAAGAAGTCAATAAGGTCGTTGTGGCGGCCTGTCTCTTCAAGTTTCTCCATGACTACTTCCGGATCACAAAAGTTGGCAATCCGGAAGAGCGAGCCTGCAAGAGAAGGCGTGGCGTACATGTAAACCCTGAACAGGGTTGTATCGACAAGCTTTGCCTTCTCGCGAAGCTTGTCTCCGAAATCGTAATCTACATCATTCTTTGTCACGTCCAGTAACTTCATCACAGAATCCGTAAATTCATCATCTGCCGTAGTTGTTTGTGGGTCGATTTTCAGAGAGCCGTCTGGATTAAGGAATCGCTGGAACCGCCTTCGTACATCAGCAAGATATGCCTGTAGCTCACGAACCGCAAGTTTAAGGTCTTTTCCAGTTAGAGGCTTCTCATCGCGTGCCTCTTCCGCTGGTTTTCCACGGATACTGCCTGACTCACTACCACTTCCTTCATCCCGGTTTCGAAGGAACGACATCATTGATGGCGTATGGTTCAAAGCCTTGACGGGCGATTCTTCTGAATGGCTGCCGTCGGCGTGAGCGTGGCCGTCGGGTAGTTTAATCTGGCTTTCAGTCGTGCTTCCTTCTAACTCATCCTGATCTTCATTGATAGATGTGAGGTTGCCGGCAATAATCCGGGGATACAGTCGAATGACGGTCTCTGGGGACGCAGACACCTCTGTGAATAGCTCCATCGATTCGAGATACTTCCGTAGACCGAATAGACCTTGGGCCTTTTCAAGTTTGATCTCTCGTGTTCTGCCTTCCTTATCCTTAAGAAGCGCATCTTCGAGCATGCCAGCGAGGCTAATGGCTTCGTCAAGGTATCCTTTCTCCACAAGCGAGTCGATTTGGCTGTCATAACCCAGCGCCTCCATCCTCCATATAATCCTGTCACTCGCAACCAGAAATCCTTTGCCGGCATGCGCAAGACTTATTGTTGGTTGAGCGATATGCATTGTGTTTGCGGACGGCAATGAGATGGACTGAAGCAATGACAGTGTCTCCGTATTTCGAACCTCTAATATTCCCTTCGAAGGCTCATGCAGTGCTAGTAAGAACGGGTATGAATATCCGATATCAGTAGGCGCATTGCTCCACGGGATCTGTCGCCGGCCTAATGAGTTGCCATCGATGTCCGTAAAATGGGTGTTGATATCCTTCGCCAGCAATACCTGGCCCTCACTAAGCCGTGTGGCAAGTGGTCTGGGCGCAGCACCACCTAATCCCATGTAACTCATACTGGCGACTCCAACACCCGCAAGTCGCCCGGTTTCCTGCCCCCCAAGGCCGCCAATGCTCCCCGGTCCGGCGAGATCGGTAACAGTCTTCGTCTCAATATCCACCAACACGAAGTTTGAGCCTAGCCCGGCTACCAGCCTTGTTCCAGAAATCCATGTAAGAGTCTTTATACCACTGACGAGCGTCAGCTCTGCTGTATCGTTATCCAACTCCATATCCAACCACGACCATAGCAATATCTTCCTCTTAACCGCCACCGCAAGGCGCGACACGATCGACGGAACACCGGTTTCGGGATCATTGACAATATTCGACGTTACGGCAAATGTTGCCGCGCCCTTGGTCCGTGTGAGCTGTTCTTGGAGTTCATAGGACTGCAAGTCATGGATCGAAACGTATCCTCCCGATAAGGAGACCAGTAGCTTCGCCTCCTTGATCAAAGCCAGCTGCTCAATCTTATACCTAGAGAACTTCTCCAATTCACGCAGGAGATCCGTCTGCTTCACTTTCGTCTTCTGTGTCACATTGTTTGTCCCGTTTTCGCCGTTCTGTGTTGGCTGCCCACTCGTGTCGGTTGCCTCATGGCCATGGTCGGTGTTCTCCGTGGGAGGATGCGCATCGCGTTCGACTTCGTTAACCCGATAGATTCGGAGGTTTCCATTGTTCAGTCCAACAAGGACGCGGTCGCCGTATGCGAGGACCGATTCGATCCGGGATTTGTCTCGCGGTTTGAGCTCGACGAGTGGCCGAGCAGTGAATGCGGATAGCATGGCTGGGCTGCGAGCTACGATGGTCGTCGCACCCTTTGACCTTCAGAGCAACAAAATCGAGTCATGTCCAGTGTATAGACGACTGAAACTAGAAAGCGTAGCTTCCAGAGCAACCCGTCATACTGGGGTGTTGTTTCGGGTGTTCTGAGCTCGACACCCTGCCGCCAAGCAGGAGATCATCACAACGCTGAGTGGTGCCGGCTCATGTGACAGCGTCAGTACGTACCTTAGTTACCACAACCACAAGAACTGGAAATTATCTGGACCATTCATGAGAATTGATTAAGCTAAAGATATGCACTTTTATTATGTTGTTCTATCTATCTACATAAGTTTTCCGATGTACTAAAAAAGGACTAATTCCGCGCCCAACTATCAAACTCCTCCAACGGCGGGGAGGAACATGCAAGTGACAAAATGAGCGAACGCCTTTCACTTCGTAACATAATATAATCATCCAATGATGTTATCAGCCAGAATGTATAAAATAAGGGAAGAGGAGAGAAGAAGGTAAGACTCCGAACCGAACCCAGGCTTTTCACAATGAGAGGAGGGAGAAGAGATAACAAGAGGCGAGCATAACAACGGCAGTATAGAATGAATCTGCGAAACCCCGGTACTTATTCCCCACTGAGTTAAAGAAGGCGCAGCCTCCAATAGTGAGGGCACATAAGGACGCCAACTTGCATTCAAAAAGACTCAGAATCGAAGGACATATAAGCGTTGATCGACTATTGATATCGCCGGACATCTTAAGATTTCACCTCAGTGGGATAATCTTGATGCTTTGCAGATGTTCCCTTGGCACGCCACGTGGACACAGCAGGTATATCGGCCTTGAAACGCTGTTCATCCGTTTTATATGCGCGTGGAGTAAGCTTGATAAGCGTATGCAGGGGAACCTCCATCCACGGACTCTGTTCCTGTGGAACATTGAGGAAGTACGAGTAAATGCAACGTAGTACAGCCTGGTGGGTGACTATTATGACGTTCTCGCTGCGTTCTAGCTCCATGATAATGGGCTCAAGGCGAATCACGACATCGCGATACGACTCTCCCCCACGATAACGGTAATTGTATTTGTCCTCATCCCGAGCAGCAAAGTCTTCGGGGTATTTCTGTGCAATGTCCTCATACGTGAGGCCATCACAGACACCAGAGTCAAGCTCATCCAGGGCCTTCCACTCCAGCTTTTCAAATCCCGTCTCCTTGGCGAGAGGACGTGCGGTTTGGATCGTACGCTTGAGGGTTGAAGTCCAAATCACAATCTTCGTGTTATCCGGGACGCCGGACTTCTTGAGCAGGCCAGGCAATGCGCGTGCATAAGCTTCTCCACGCTCAGAGATGTTTGAATCTCCTCCAATTTTCCCCGTTAGGTTGTATTCCGACTCTCCATGCTAAATCAAGTTAGACCAGTTGAATATTGCAGGAAAGCCAGAAGGACAGACGTACCCGAGAAAGCCAAATTGATCGTGGCTTGATATGAAGGTTCTGGATATAGTAGACCAAGCGACTTGATAGATAGTCTTTAATCTGGTTTATGATCACGGTGGAGCCGACGTTGATAAGCTTTACGTAGGTATAGTCGTTCTCGTCATCACCAATACCCTCGTAGACCTTCTCATAATTGCGAATTCGGTTGCGGAAATCCACAGCGGCGACTTCGGGGTCCTGCCCCTTGTAGTCTGGCGATGTGGTTTTGACTTCTAATATATTGTTCATGATGAGAGATTCATCATCACATACAGATTCAACAAATAACGTTTCGATATTAGCGGCGCTACATGATTCGTAAATCCAGCGACGGCGCTGTTTCGTTGAATTGGTAGCATCGAGGATGGCGACCACGCCTTTGCCAGAATTGAACCAATTGACCATATCAGACATTGCCGCTTCAGCAGCAGCGCGCCTCATCTTCTCTCCTTCTGAGTTATGAGGATCAAAGAAGGTAGCGTTTGGCTGGGGCGTTGAATTTCTGCGATACGACCCCACGTTGAATACGCGAGCTGGGATGCCAACCCAACCAAGATATCGCATCGCTAGGTGCTGTCAGGAATGTACACACAAATTATATGGGGGAGCAGATACATACCTTTCCCGGCTATGAGACTCTTACCTCTGGCCGGTAGACCAACCATGACAACACATATCTTCGAATCATCTGACTACATACGAAGCAGCTGGTAAGCACTGAAATGTCAAGGGCAGCGCTCGCCATGCAGTGACAGAATTGTAGTACGAGTGACACGAGGATTGAAATGCTCAATGTAGGCCGAACATGCAAGCAAGACACAAGTGCATGGACAAAAGGGACAGCAAACTTACGCTGGCAAAGAAGGTCTTATGGCCGCTTCCGCGACCAGTGGGCGACATGCTGGGCAAACAAGTTGGTTTTCAGCCTCTTAAAACTCGGTAACTCGTTAATTCGTTAATTCGTTCAGGTCTCGGCCAGATTTCCCGACCGGAAAGACAGATGTTGGAGACGAAGGAACAGCGCGGGGTGTGTTCAGTGTTCAGGGCTCGGTTTGACTCTCCTTTGTTGAATATCTCCGAAACAAATTGCGATGCTTTTTCAAGTTCACCAACGAAAACTTAGGGAGAATATCACACGATCAATAACAACAGCTGATTTGGCTTGATGTCCGGACTAAGTTATGTTTAACCTAGCGGTGAGCGCAGACGTCATTACCGCGGGGCAGGCACCAACTCTCTGAGGGAGACGACGGGGGAGAAGCCACGAAGTGCTGTGTTATACAAAAACCACAGAGTCAGAGTCCAAGAGCTCGGCCGTCAATCTCTCACTTTTCAACAGTCCGGGAGATGAATTGGATTGTACTCCGTAGGCTCAACCTTTGGGGAGCGTGGTTGCCACGTGATCTATTTTTGGGATCGGGGGTCTTCGGGTCTGGGCTCGGCTCTTTCTTCTCCTTCCTGGTCCCATTATTATTGTCTGCCAGTAACTCCCACTTGATCCATGGATGGCAAAATTGTATGAATGTCGATTATTGGAACAATCAACCCCTTATCGAATTTATGCGACCAGCATTGGTACATTTGTCGCGGCGACCAGGAACGCCAAGTCTGGTCATAAATGCCTCTTATCGTGGTTTACATGGGGATCCCCGACTCACAGCCCACTCACCGGGATTCCGCAATGAGCAACGGAATTGCAGCTGAAAGCGCATGCTGAACAATTTCCGGGGGAGGTTTATGGAATTATTATTGCACCGTAGCTGGAGGAGATTTGCGACATTTCTGAGCAAGCCTTAACGGTTCAAGTGAGTTTGGATAACGTCTATAGGGGCCAGAGGAGAGTGATCGCTACGCCGTAGTTGATGTCAGTTGGCCAAGTCAAGCGCCCATCATGGAGTGAGCAATGTGCCTATTAAAGCCAGATACCCCTCACAATACAACTGAATATCCATATCTCCAAGTCTTGTGGGGCATCTCCAGGCTCTTAAAATGACGACCATTTTCAAGAACGGCCGTATATTCTCGCCTGCCCATTCGAGGCCGGGAGACAATGGTTTCGTTTCTTGCATTGTGATCGAAAAGGACCGAATCATCCATGTCGGTCCTCCCGATGCCAAGATACCCAGAGATGCCAGCATTGTCGATCTCCAAGGCCGGATCATGATGCCCGGCTTCATTGACAGTCACGTCCATATCCTTCAGTACGGGCTCTCATTGCGAAAGGTCGACTTAATAAGCTGTACCTGCTTGGAACAAATCAGAAAGGCCATTATATCCTATGCTGAAACTCATCCCGCCGTCCCTCGCATTCTATGCCGTGGCTGGATTCAGTCAACGATCGATGGGGAACCGTTAGCTGATTTGCTAGATGGCATTGATCCACGACCCATATATATCGAAGCAGCGGACCTTCACTCGATTTGGTGTAATTCTGCTGCTCTTGATGACATTCAGGCTCATACAACCCCAGATCCTCCTGGTGGTACTATACAACGAGCAGAGGATGGTCGCGCCACAGGCCTACTGAGCGAAGGAGCTGTCATGGACTTTGCCTGGCCTTTCATAGATACCGTTACGCCGAGAGAAGAGAAGCTCAGTGCTTTACGAACAGCTATCGAATCCTACTCGGCCGCGGGGTATACAGGCGCAGTTGACATGGCCATGTCCGAAGATACATGGCAAACCCTAAATCTCTATCGTCGCCAATATAAAATTCCGTTTCACATAGCTGTCCACTGGCTCGTCCCATTTTCAGCAGACCAGAAAGCCAACTTTAAATATGTGGACCGGGCAATCGAATTAAGCCACGAATTCAAAGATCCCTACTTCTGCATTGCAGGGATAAAGCTCATGTGTGATGGTGTGGTTGATGGATGCACTGCAGCCCTTCGCCAACCGTACGGTGGCAAAAGAGACCCAATAGAACCCATTTGGCCTACCGATTTAATGACGGAGGTCATTGAGCGTGCAGATGACGCAGGCCTCCAAGTTGCGATACACGCCATCGGCGATCAAGCCGTTCACCAATCCATAGAGGTTCTCTCAACCCTAAAGAAACGGGACCCAAATCAAAAACGCAGACACAGAATCGAGCATCTCGAGCTCACATCCCCCGAGGACGCCAAACGCCTCGGCGAAGAAGGTATAATCGCCTCTATCCAACCTGTACACACCGACCCAGCACACTTCAAAGCCTGGCCGGGCCTCATCGGTGTACACCGCTGTAAGCGCGCATTCGCGTACAAGGAGTTTCTAGATGGCGGGGCGAAAATCGCACTGGGAACGGATGCGCCGACGGCACCGCACCATCCATTCCAAAATATGTATCATGCTACGACAAGGCGATCTGCTGTCGAGCCGGATAATCCCGAGACGCTTAACCCGGAGTTCGGGCTGGAGTTTCTTGAGGCTATCGCGGGGATGACCGAGGGAGCAGCGTACTCGAGGTTTGCTGAATATTGGACTGGGGCGTTGAAAGAAGGCCTCAGTTCGGATTTCATTGTCGTTGATATGGCTTGGACGCCGGAGAGATTGCTTGAGGCGAGGGTTTGTCAGACTTGGTACAAAGGGGAGAAGGTATATGATGTCGAGGATGCATAAGACAAGGCAAGGAATGAGCAATCCATGTTCCAAATGTTCTCCTTCAATAGGTATCAGCCCGTATGATTCTTGTACACTTCTTTTATTAACAAATTAACACCACAATGGTCATTTCGTGTCTAGAGAAAGACATGGTAAATAGTTAAATCATTATAAAGCCCGATTATTTTATTGAAATTGATCCCTGACAATGCTACCTATAGCTCATGCTATGCCATGCCATGCCATAAACATCAATACCATGCCACATTTCATCATTTTCGTTTAGTGTAGTTTGTACAATCCAATTCAATGAATCAACTTGAGCTCACTGAAAGTAATGGATCTAGTGTTCCGACATTTTCAGCTCAGCAAGTACAGGAAGTTGAGTTGAATCACGCCTCAACCACTCCCTCAGTACCCACGGCTTCGGCTGCTTGGGCCCGAGTAGATGAGCCCCAGCGGCTCGCAGGCTTTCTCTCCTCCGAGCCGGAGCCAGTCTCCTTCCACGACTCCCCGCGTGCCCGCTGCACACGGATTCCAGAACCCCAGGGGCCGTCGGCGCCGTTCAACGCGGCCATGGCGTTTTGCGTTTCTTCAACGGTGGCGAAGTCGACGAAGAGGTAATAGTGGTTACCTGGTTCGAAGCGCTTCGCAGGGTGAGGGGTGAAGAGTTTGGAGACGTTTGTGCTGCTCATATTAGCAGTTGTACCCTTGGAGTTAAGTAAAAGGCAGGTGGACGGGAGGGTAGATAAACATACACATTATAGTCCTTAAAGAAATCCGTGATGCTTGTGGTGATATCATCCTGCTCCGTCAAGCGCGGCAACCCACCTACGTATAGCCGCTTGCTTGAGTCCGCGCTGCCTGTGTTCATGCTCTGGCCGGTGCTCAACTTGGTAGGTGTTGCCGGGCTCGAATTCTCATCCCGGCGCCATCGGTCCGCATTAAACGGCGATGTCTTATTTCCCCGTGGTGAGCCTGAGCTCGGCCCATCTCCGTTGCCCATTCCTAGTCCTGTGCGCGGCTGCTGCTGTTGGCGCTCGGAGGCGCTCTTCACGACACCTGGTTTGATTTTGACAGGTCTTCCGAGCAAGTCGCTTCCGTCTAGCTCGGTCATTGCCCGTTCGGCAAGCTCCTTTGTCTCAAGGTCCACGAAGCAGTATGAGGGGTTACGGCCGGAGAAGGGGTCAATTGCGATGTCGATACGTGAGCTATATCAGTAGTCGAAAACCCATCCGTTAATACCCCGCAACAAAGTTTAATGAGATGGAACACAGAGTGGGATAAACTTACGCCTCAAAACCTCCCTTGCTAAACAGCTCCTTTACATCCTCCATCTTCGCGGTATAGGGCATATTCCCGACATAAAGCCTCCGTCCCTCAGAGATAGCCGGCGGCACAACATTCTCCCTGGGGCGGCCAAATCCTCCTACTCTCGACGTCCTCGGACCCGGCGAGCTCTGGTCCTGACCCTGGCTCTGGCCCTCAGATTGAGAGGGACTCTCCTCGCGCTTCATGCGCCAGTTCGGCGAGTTGAATGCCCGGCCATTCGTTCTGACTCCACTTTGGTACTGCGGCTTTTGGGGTGCTATAATCGAACGTGTATTAGTACCGGGAGATAGAAGAGAAGTTCATGCAGTGGCATAATTGAACGGTAGATGCCTCGTTTGAAGCAGAGAGAATGTTGGAATGCAGTAAAATGAAATGGATTGGATTGGAAGCCCCGAGGAGCAGCCCAAAGGGTGTTTGTTTTCCTACACACTTTGTTGCTGCGATTGCGGTCTGGGACTCTCGGGAGCGTCGACCATTTTGGCGGTATAAGAATCTGAGGTGTTGGAAACGGGGTAGAGTTTGTTGTGTATGGATGATGATCACTAGAGAGAAATGTCTCTTATCAGCATCAACCAACAAGTCAATACACAACCAATTAACCGTTTATCTCCCCCCTTCCCCAGCCCGACGCGGGGGTGTAGATTGATAAAAAAAGGTGTAGAATACGCTGATCGTTCCATACCTGGCAAGACGTGCAATGGCACTTATTCCGACAAATACAGTCTGATGTGGCACCAACGAAACAGAATTCCGTCTCAGCGATGTCAGGATCCCGAACTTGCAAGGGAAAGGCTTCCACCAGGCACCACCTTCAAACCCTGAGCCAGAAAATTTAGAAATCTAGAATGACTTTGAGCAAAGCACGCAAACAATGCAAAGGACACAAACATGTGGAGACTCTTAGACATATATGTTACTTTTATTGGCCAAATAAGCGAATTCCATTCCTAATTAGATTAGCGTCTTTCTGGAGATTTAATGTCATCCTGACTTCTGTTGACATTTTTCGACTTTCTTCAAACAACTCTTCATCGTCTGCCAACCTTGGGCTTCTCCTCAATGGGGAATTCCGATGATAACCCTAGCGCCAAATATTTTGGTAATATTTTGTAAAAGGTATGGTATCCATTTTTTCTATTCATCGATTACCCAGCCAAAGGATGAAGCAAGATTTCACACAGACCTGTTCCGAGTATTTCCATGCGGATCAACAATCGTTCCAACTGCTGTCTGAAATGGCTATTCTGTCTCGCTTATGCGTGTTTCTCTTTATACGTATTCATGCTGACTGAAATTTTCCAGGTTCAACGTTTCCCTAGAACACAGGAATATATACCCCATAAACTAGCTAGCTATATAATGGACATAAACATAAACATAAGCATACAGATACAGATACATGACGGGTATATAACATTACTCATATACATACGTAGACTCGCTGCCAAAAAAACTCAATCCGACTTAAACCGTGTTAAATCCCACATCCGCCAAGTTAGTAGAAGAATTGTCTTGCTCGTACAAGATCTCCGGCTGTACTGGTTGCCGCAGGATGTATCGCTTCAAGAAATATGGAATCTGCCGTAAACCGTATTTGGCGTGGAACTGTGTAGATACCGAAAACACCTGGTCCAGCTCCTCGAGTGTTTTGCCCTTGGTCTCGGGCATGAGCATGAGAATCAGCCACCAGCCAACTATGCACCAACCGGCGTACCAGCTGAATGCCCCTTGAGGTTTGAAGGCATCCAGGAGTGACGGCCAGGTGATGGCTAGCACGAAGTTGAAGAACCAGGTTGTAGCTGTGGCCAAGGCCATACCATATGAACGGACGTATAGTGGGTAGGCTTCAGCGGAGTAGGTAAACGGGACAGGTCCCTCGCCGACGGAGTAGAAGATACCAAATAGATATGTTCCTAATGCGGTGCATCCGAGTCGGGCGTTGTTTGCCGTATCTTCTGGGATCCAAAAGCTAAAGCCTGTGAAGAACATCGCGAGAGCCATCAGAGGAAATGTACTCAGCAGCAGATTTCGTCGGCCGAAGGTATCAATTGAATACACAGCAGGAATAGCGAATAACCAGTTGATGAGGCCCCAACCCAGCGATGCAGTGAGGGCTTTGCGTTGGCTAGAGGAGGTCAATTTGTTGTCCGCGCGGTTGGTTGACAGGAAGATTTCGGACGAGTAATAGGCAAGCACGTTGACGCCGCAAAACTACAGGAGTTAGTATTCATCTCATAGTTTGAATAGTGGTGACGTACCTGCTGCATGAACATAACGAGCTCAGAGGCGATCATAGCGCGGCGATTACGAGGTACGTTGATCAGCTCTAACAACTTGTTTTGCCCTAGTTTCATCGAATTCTCGGCCTCAAGCAAGGTGTACATGTAGTACATATCACGGGCAGCCTGCACCTTATTGAAGCGCAAGCTACACATCGACTGATACGCCCGGTCGTAAAGATTCCGTGACATATACCAACGGGGCGATTCAGGGCACGTAAAGACGAAGCAGCAGACGATCACCGCGGGGAGCAGAGCAGATGCCAGCATCAGGCGCCAGTTGAGGCCGACGATGCCAGATGAATCAGGTACCTGATAGAAGGCTAGGTCGGCGGCATACCCTACTCGTCTTAGCACTAGACTCTATACAATATCGCCAAAGAGCTTACCGAACATAATGCCAAAGGCCGTCCACATTTGCCATTGCATTACAAGGGCACCACGAATAGCTGGAGGAGCAGTTTCCGCCGCGTATATAGGTACCGTCGCGGACTTTGGACCTATACCGAAGCCAAGAGCGAACCGAGCGATAAAAAGGTGCCACCAGGTATTGACAAAGCCCTGCCAAAGACATGTTGTAGCCGAGAAAATGCAAGTGATGAAGATGGTTCCCCGTCTGCCAAACCAAGAGTTGAATGGAACCGTCAGCCAGCAACCGATGACAGCGCAGCATAAATATGGTGCAGAATTCACGAGCCCCGAAATCCAATTGTGTCTAGGGTTGTCCACTTCCGCGATACCGAACTGATGCTTGTAGAATATCTGCGCGCCGTTCACCACGGTTTCATCTGTAACAATTAGTATTTGGACATCGCCCGGACTGAGGCAGTAGGCTTACCCATTCCCTGCACAGCGGCTGACAAAGAACACAAAACGATGACCAGGTACATGGTCCAAGGCTGTGACCAACGATTTTCAAATTCGTGTCGCAAGACGTCGAGTTCTTCTCTTGTCAAGCCAGGTACGCTTTCGAACTTCTCTGGCGCCTGAGCCAACATTGCGCCCAGCCCAAAAGCGCGAATATCTTCCTTGTCACCTATTTGATTTGTAACAGCGAAGGTAATACCCTTTTTGCGAAGCTCTTCAAGAGAATATCCGGCAAGTGGGTTCGCCAGCTTCGCGTTCATATTCCGTCGAGCACGTTCCGCAGCTGTCCCAAAAGTGCGTATTGGCACGAAACTGTCTTTCCTATCCCCCGCATACTCGAGGTTCTCTGTCCGGGGCTCAAGGGCGATGTCGCCCAAAGGACTGGTGAGGTCTTTGGCTTGCATTGTACAAGAGGTAACTTGGTGGTGGTGGTGTTTGAGGACGTGATATGGATGGAAGCGCAAAGCTGAGAGACCTATATCAGACAAATGACAGCCCCGGTAGCAGCTCCCAGTGACATTTACAACTCAAAGCCCAGATAGTTACCAGTCTCGGAAGTCGAAAGGCGCGAAGGCCGATCTCATCAAAGGCGACGAGAAACGAATCCAAGCTCCACTCCAAACTGGGCAATGACAGTTTCACGGACCACGGGACAAAGAATGTCAGCCACGCGATAACGCACTGGCGGTGCCCTCCCCAGTGGTTAGAGATGGGCAAAAAAAGTAGTTCTTTGAGTTGATTTCGTAAGTGGTTGCGAGACAAAGAGACTCGACAACCACGTGTAGGTAACTCAGGAAACGACGACGGGGTGAAGCACAAAGGAAGTGAAAACCGACAGGAAAGGCTGACAGTTGATGCGGAGAGGAGACATTGTAAGGACTGAGAAGATGTTGGAACGCGCAGGATTTTGTGTCGGCCACCTACCAAAAGCGCCCCGAACTCGGGTGATGGGCGCGGCGGAAATTAGCAGGCTCAAGTTCAACAAAGACAAGGGGATCATTCGCGAGCAACCAAATCCTTGGGAGCAGCGCTGCGGTCAGTGATCACCGAGCAGCTATGATTGGAAGGCCGGGAGAGGTGCGCATTGGAAGTGGCAGTGAGATTTGTGATCTGCCCAATGAAGCGACGGACGAGCCTTGGGAGCCATCCTTCTCGGGGTCGCAAGAGAAGGCTGTCTTGGGGGCCAAGAAGCTCAGGCCCGTGGCTGTGGACTCGGGCTCGATACGAAAACAGCATCGCCTCGACGGCGAGTCTGGGCCCCTGGGGTAGGAAACGGTTGCGGAGTGAAGAAATAGCGGTCGCTAAGTATAACCAGTTGTCAATAATATGTGCAACAATCAGAAATGGAGGAAGCGGCGTACGGCAGAAGACCCAGAGTACGGGGGTAGGATCGGAGCGTATTTGGTTTCATTTCGCATTCCTGTCGATCTTCCTTATGCTATGGAGAACTAGCCTGAAGCCCGTTATTTGATGACGTCCGAAACTCTTCTCCGGCTCTCTGCCAGGCGCTAACAACCCCAGATCTCCGCTGCCTGCCAGTTCCTTATCGTGTCTTATCGGGCCCTTATCAGTGCCCTTATCGTGCGGGGAATCGCTCTCATGGCGGGCGGTCCGCGCACCTCGACCGGCGGAACGCGCACCTCCCCAACCATACGCAAGCTGAAGCTTCCTATGGGCGATGCGTACGAGTATGGATGCTTCCGATATGAAGTCAGTTAGGGAGTTCGTCTTCCTAGCTTCCCACGGAACAATTCCGATCGGATATGCGGCACCTACATCTTGATATATAAACCGCCACAACAACCATTGTATTTCTCTCGCCACAAACGCAAAACAACAGTATTCTTACTTCTAGCCTCAAAAGACCCAAGGCATAACCTTCAAAATGCTCGGAAAAATCGCCCTTGAAGAGGCCTTTGCTCTCCCCCGCTTCGAAGAGAAGACCCGTTGGTGGGCTTCTCTCTTTTCCACAGACCCAGAAACCCACGTCAAGGAAATCACGGACATCAATAAGATCCGCATCGAGCATGCAGACAAGTATGGCGTCGGCTACCAAATCCTTTCTTACACCGCACCCGGTGTCCAGGATATCTGGGATCCAGCCGAGGCTCAAGCACTAGCGGTTGAAATCAATGACTATATCGCGGAGCAGATTAAGGGTAGACCGGATCGGTTTGGGGCTTTTGCGTGAGTTGCAGCCACAATATTTACTGCTGTCTTATCTTCCTCTCATCGTAAACAGAGCTAACTAGATTATGTATATATATAGGACACTATCGATGCATAACCCTGAAGAAGCAGCCGCCGAGCTCCGCCGCTGTGTCGAGAAATACGGCTTCCTCGGCGCCCTTGTAAACGACACGCAACGAGCTGGCCCAGACGGCGATGACATGATCTTTTACGACAACGCCTCTTGGGATGTCTTCTGGAAGACAGCCACAGACCTCGACGTCCCGCTCTATCTACACCCACGAAACCCCACAGGCACAATCTACAATAAGCTCTGGGCCGACAGGAAATGGCTCGTTGGACCACCCCTTAGCTTCGCACATGGTGTCTCCCTGCACACCCTGGGCATGGTAACAAACGGCGTTTTCGACAGACACCCGAAGCTGCAGATCATCCTAGGCCATCTGGGCGAGCACATCCCGTTCGACATGTGGCGGATAAACCACTGGTTTGAGGACCGGAAGAAGGTTCTGGGGCTTGCGGAGACGTGTAAGCGGACGATACGAGAGTATTTCGCTGATAACATTTGGATCACGACGTCAGGTCACTTTTCGACGACGACGTTGAACTTCTGTATGAGTGAGGTTGGGTCTGATCGGATCTTGTTCTCGATTGATTATCCATTCGAGACGTTCCCCGATGCTTGTGAGTGGTTTGATGCTGCAGAATTGAACCTGGTCGATAAGAGGAAGATTGGGAAGGATAATGCGAAGAAACTGTTTAAGCTGGGCGCGTATAAGGATTCTGAGGCTTAGTTTTGTTCATTCATCGGCATGCCGGTTAGAAACGGCGGCGAGAAAGGATGTACTGAAGATGGGAAAGTGTATTTGCTTGGACTACCTGTATACGACTTTGAGGACCCCATCAAATGGAAATCCTAACTAAGCTACCCATGATATCGCATCTGAAGTCCTGCTAATGCTGGTCATTATCGTAGTAGGTAGTACACAAAATGACATCCATAAAACCTATCCTTCCTTTCGTTGGATATCGTATCATTCCCTTATTTCATATTGCAATTCGTATTGATCAACTAAGAATTTAAATTGTTATTTATTCATTTCCCCTCTTTTTTTTTTTTTTTTTTTTTCAGTTTTTTTTTTTTTTTTCGTGTTTCCGGCTTGTACCTCTCCCCCATATGTGTTTGACTTGTACAAATAAATCCGACCTCAAGTCGGTCTTATGTTTGTGCCATGTTAGTGCTGCAGTATGCTCATCGGAACAAAAACCACAGCAGCATGTCCATAACAAACAAAGAAATGAAATTGAAATGCCCACTTATTTCGTCCATAGCTCAGTGCCAACGAAACATTGATCTTCAACCAACAACCAACAACCAATGACCGACCCCAACGATTCCATCAACAACGAAAAAGATAAGTAAGGAGGTACCATTAGAAGCCGTAAGACGATCACCAAGCTCTACAAGAGGAGATAAAGGGTCTACCTACGCCAAGAATAGCGCGCACCACGGCGTCCAGGTCTGGGAACGTGGAAGTCAGCAGGGTGCGAAACGTACCGCGGCTCCGGGGCAGCCTCGGTGTATGGAGGGAGGAGGGGAGAATAAGTGCCGTCTTCACGAAGAATGCCGCCATTACGTAGGCCTGACTCGTCCCGTGGGAGATTAGGATGTGCGACGTCCGAGGAGAGCGAGGAGCCGTGGGCTTCAGTGTAACCAAAGACGGGTCCAGTCTCGAGGTTATGGCGATAACGGGCGTGATTGTCAAAGATGTTAGGAGCCGTGTAATCTCTGTGGATCTCGGCATTGTAGTGAACAGGAGTAGATGGAATGGGGGTCTCGTCGCGAAAACGAAAGTCTGCAGGGAGTCTGGGGTGGCTGTAATTGTTGTTTTCGTAGGTGTAGGCTGAAGCCATTTGCTCGAGACGGTTGCCAAGGGTGGTGAAGTCCATGTCAAAGTGTGCCATGCCGGCGTTTCTGCGTTGAGCGTGGTAAGCGAAGGATTTCTCGCTCTCTTCCGGGCTGTCAGCGTCGTGGTCGTAAGGAAGCCAATCGCCATCTGAAGAGTTCAAATCAAGAAGGTCGAACTCGCTATTGAGACTTTGCTCGGGGGATTTTTCCTCGTGGTATTCGGCCAAAGTATGGTTGCTGTCATCTAGGGTGTTTGGAACGCCTAGCCTGTGATATATGTCGCTCTCGAGTTGCTGAGTCTGTTGGATGGTAGGAAGGCCATTAGGAAGTGGAACATCATAGGGAGAGTAGCCAACTGCCTGGGCCTCAATGGAAGTGTGGGAAAGGTCACTCTGGCTGCTCTGGTTGGCGTGATTGACGCGCGCATAGTAGTTCACAAACTCAGCACTAGACATGGCCTCAGCCGGGGCATATTCGGTTTCAGATTCTTGTAAAGAACCACTCTGGGAGTGCTCGACAGATTTATCCTTGAAGATGGAAACCTGGGCCGCGACACTCTCGGAAGCCTGCGAGGGTATCTCCTGATCATGGACATCATGGTCCTCAGTAGACTGGACTATGGCAGGTTGACCAGCAAGGCCAACGTGATCGGACTGGGTGTGATTGTGATCGGGGGAAGGGGTTGAGAGTTGAGTGCTTTCAACCCGACGAAGCTCGGAACGAGACTCGGATGGAACCTCACAGGAAAGCCACTGCTCAAAAACGTGCCGTGTAAGATAACACTGAGGGTCAGCGGAAGAACCATCGCCACTGGATGCCAGGTCTCGTTGAGATTCAGCTTCCCCGTTATTGTTACGGGGGCAGTGCTGATGATGAGGAGGCACTTCCGGATCCTGACCTTCTACCGCGGAGGGTGCGCAGTAAAAAATATCGGTGCAGATGCAGGGTCCATCAGAAAGCTCTTTCAGAACTGGGGTTAAGTAGGTTTTTCCAATATCGGCATTGATCTCGCCAAGCTCCTTGTACTCCTGAGCCATGAGTGCAAGCATCTGATAGATGGCAGTTAGAGTGTGCGAGGTCTGCTGTAGTCGGCGAGGGACTCCGTGCATGCTCTGCTCGACTCGGAAGTTGTTGTACATGACGTGAAAATCCTCATAGAAATAAACATCGTAAAACTGAAGGAGCAGCTCGAAAAAGCTCTGCTCCGCGTGGCGGACGCGCTTTAGGTAGCTTTGTGGCCAGCAGCAAAGTCAGTGTTCTGTGCTCTTTTTAGGGCTGATGAGAAGGACTTACTGTGTAATGAGCAGGGACATGCGCTGGAAGCGGCCGACCAGGGTGAGTCCACGCTCAGCCGCCACCTGAGCCACATAGTAACGAGTACGCTCTGCATTCTCCTTCTCGTGATTGATGAGGAAGTGCACATCAACAACTTCTTGGTGGATTTCACGTGCCTGCCGCAGAGTTCTATTAAGTTCGTCGATAGAAATAAGCCGTATAGGGTCACTGGGAAATTCCTTTCCACGAAAGAAAATGACCTCCATATCAGCAATCATGGCGCAAATTAAGAGGAAGCGTCGTCTAAAAGTGTCTGGAAGCTCCTCGTTCGAGTTGAGGAAATTATTGACCTTGGTCCAGAGCGTTTGCTTGTGAGTCTCATGATGGGCACAGAAATGGTCGTAATGAGTTACTTCGGGGCATGGATGGACACCTTCCAACACCGTCATATGGGTACTGTCTTCTTCAACCGACGATAGAGAGCCACGGAGCGCAGCTATACAGTCATTGACCTCTCTGTACCGTCGGTCTTCCGCTCCTACCTTTCCTAGAGCGTAATCGTAAGCCCGCTCTTGTGCCCAATACTCATCCGGGGGAGGATGGGCCTCGGAATCGTTGAGGTTGGGGAAAGGTTCGGTGGGAACACTGGGTGAACGAGAATGAGACCGAGAACGAATTAAGAGAACGGTCTCAGGCTCGCTGAGGGCAGGGCTTTGGATGGTAGTCTCGATGGCCTCTTGCAGACTTTCTCCAACCTGCGGCTCCTCGTCATCGTTGATAGTTGTGTGGTGATCGTGCTCTCCAGCCACTTCATCTATATCTTTTCCATGAGTATCTTGCTTCATATATTCTGGAGAGACTGATTAACAAACCAAAAAGACGACGTTCGCCCTCAGGGATACTAAACGGAGGCAAAGTAGGCGAGTCGGCGCGTGCAGCGGACGAACGAAGACCCCTAGAGCCACAGCTGGAGCTGGATCCAGAACCGTCGAACGACATGGCGTTCGCGGAATTTGAAGAGCTGGGATTCACCGTAAACAAGAGAAGCTTGTTATGTCTAGGCTATTTGGGCTTGGACACGGCAAGTCAAGAGCTATGGTTGGAATCACAAAGACAACCAAGGGAAGAAGCGTGTGAAGGGGATACTCAGCAGCATAGAAAAAAACACTGTCACAGGAGAAAGAAGAGACACCCTAAAGTGTTGCTCAACTACAAGGCCACTCATCCTCTTCGCTGGCTTGGTATAATTCACGCATCCTGAACTGCTAGCGCCGACCTGTCTGAAAAAAAAAAAAAAAAAAAAAAAAAAAAACATGCGCAGCACCCAGGCAGATATCAGATATAGGGACACCAAAGGTCTATATCCGCCAATGAGCGTTCAGTGTTGTGAATGCACTCACCCAGCCCTTTTGATATTGGGTCACTGGGTGGAGCCCAGTTGCTACACACTGCTGATAAAGCACGCAAAGAAAGAGCCGGCCACGTAATCTGAGCTTGAAGGTTCTGAATAGTGAATCCAGTTAAAGAAAAGGGTTGAGCATCATTACAAGGGTGGCATAGGTTGTGTTGTCTACCACAGCACTAGCAGCAAACATTGGCTCTGGATCCAGGCGTGACCCAGAAAGGCCCTAACTGTTGATTGTGTGTGCAAACGCAACAACAAAGGCAAGGAGCTCTAGAACCACACGCGAGACTGGTTTGACAAATTGGATATTTAAAAGTTTGTCTATTGACACCCATGGGTCACTATGGCTGACAACTGGTGTTTCTGAGAGAAATAGATGTTATTCATAGCTATATCAACCCAACTACATAACATGCGATGTACTGCACCTCAATCGAAAACGCCCACGGTGAAAATCACCCTTTGTGAGAGAAATACCCACTGTGAGAGCGCTAGAATTGTTCGGGGAAGCAGTTAAACCCTCCCTAGAAGTTCATCTGGTTGGACGAGGCAGAGGGACAGACGGGAACAGAACGTTCTCAACCGTATCCACCTCCCAGACTCCTCCGAGGTTAAGAGGGTCAGTGTCGTTATTCGCACGTTGACTAATTGGCACGTCATGGAGAGGAGCGTGACAACTTAAGATTGTGCGTATCAGAGATACAAATATTGCATCATATCGAACCGCGCAGCTATCAACCAATGGATACAGTTGAGTGCACTACTCTGTTTTGGGTCGTTCAGTCTGCTCATTCTCATCACCATCTTCGTCGTCATCAGGCAAGGGTACGTCCATCACACGCTCACCCGCCTTCTCTAAGGTCCTGCGGCTCCAGGCTCTTACGCCTTTGTAGACAGCCTAAAGGTGGTCAGTCGAAGAAAAGCTGAGATCTACGGATATTCATACCCAGAGAAAACTGCCAATGCCGAGCACGATGACAATCCAACTGAGATTGGACACTCGGTTCCTCCCAGTGTTGACGCGGCCACGAACAATGGTAGATGATCGGACGTTGAACCAGTGCCACGGCGACAGACCGTAAAGGACTTGGATGAAAGACAACAGCCCTAGCGATGCCATCCCCTTCATGAAGTGCTCAAACCAAGTAGCTTGCTTGTTTCCAGATAAGCTATTGCCATCCCAATAGTCGGCATAGTATATCGTCTCCACGGGGTCAACGTAAAGGTTAATAATAGGGTCAGCAATGAAACCAAGAATGAAGACGGTCAAAATCAGGACGACAAAGGTTAGAATCAATTGAGTCATGGTGCTACTAATCCAGCGGGCCCAAGTGAGACGTTCTAGTCGGTATTGAAAACCGCATGTCGGGCAATTCCAGTAGTGTCTCCTGCCATAGCTCGGGTCGGCATGTCGCCAGGTCTGGAGGCATCCCTCGTGGACATAACGGGAAGAGCCTTTGCATTTGCAGGGTCGAACGAGACGACCAAGTTCTGGGTCTTCCGACTCATAGACGACTCGTGGCTCACGTTGGAGAAAGCCAGGCACGTGCTCCGATGGAGGAATAAATGTGGGAGGCACGGACTCCAGGCATATGCGACATACGCGATTCGGATAATGCTTTTTAGGAGGCTCCGGCGGGTTACCTGAATCCCCAGCCTGCTGGGTCTCTTCAGGGTTCTGATTTCCTTCGATGTTTGTGGTATCCGCACGCGAGGATTGCGAAGGGAATTGCCAGGTTGGCGTATTCAGCCATTCCATGGTGGTCTAGGTGTTTAAAAAAGCCTCATAGTATGTAGATATCATAACAGCCAAATACATAAATGGCCGGAGTCTCTAGACGCAGCAAGAAACCAACAGCAGTCAAGTCTAGTGAGGCAGGTATAAAAAAACAAAGAAAAAAAGAAAACGACGGGGAGGAAGTTGAGTGGGCTCAAGTGGAGAGAAAGCTCTGGGTTTACTGCCCCCTCACCGCCCTCCAGCTTGGCGAGCTGGCCGGAGCTGGGCCAACTCCCAAGGCTAACGTAACATCCTGCCGCCTGCGTGCTATCTATCCTCACGGCCTTCTCCCATCTCAGCTATCACTTCTCCTTCTTTTCTTCAGTTTCTTGACATTTGTGAAGCTTGTGGAGATAGAAAAACGTCCCGATGGCCGACAGATACTCTTTCTCCCTCACCACCTTCTCCCCAAGGTAAGCGGAGCTCAAATGATGAACGGTCTCAGCTACTAATACACCTCACAGCGGGAAGCTTGTTCAGATCGGTACCATCCACCCAATGCATTACTTTGAGCGACTATGCTAATGATGTAGAATATGCATTGAACGCGGTCAACCAAGGCGTAACTGCCCTCGGAATCAAAGGTAGGTGTGCGGAGGAAGCTCAGGTAAACACAGCTGCTAATTGTACTTCCTTCCGTCAGCTACGAATGGAATCGTCTTGGCTACCGAAAAGAAATCCTCCTCTCCTTTGATTGACCCTCCCTCCCTCTCCAAGATCTCCCTCATCACACCGGACATTGGCATGGTCTATGCTGGCATGAGCCCCGACTACCGAGTGCTCGTCGACAAAGCCCGCAAGGTCTCCCACACCGGCTACAAGCGTATCTATAATGAATACCCGCCAACTCGAATATTGGTGCAGGATGTTGCTCGCGTTGTGCAAGAGGCAACCCAGTCTGGTGGTGTCCGACCATATGGTGTCAGCTTGCTGATGGCGGGTTGGGATGAGGGAGTTGAACCCGAGTCCGAGGAGGCTGAGAAGGAAGATGAGGACGAACCCAAGAAGGCCACAGGAAAGACAGGCGGCACCCTAAAGGGTGGACCTAGCTTATACCAGGTCGACCCTAGCGGCAGCTATTACCCATGGAAGGCCACGGCCATCGGAAAGCATGCCACGAGTGCAAAGACGTTCCTTGAGAAACGTTACACTGAAGGGCTGGAGCTTGAAGACGCCATCCACATTGCTCTTCTGACCTTGAAGGAGACAATCGAGGGTGAGATGAATGGTGACACGATAGAAATTGGTAAGCTCACAAGGAGACATGTATACCGCGCATCGCATACTAATTGTCGGTATTAGGTATCGTCGGACCTCCCGCCGACCATCTACTCGGCTACGAAGGTGTTGAGGGAGCTCGTGGCCCCAGGTTTAGAAAGTTGACGAAAGAGGAGATCGAAGACTACCTGACCAGTCTGTGAAGGATTCGCTCATGTTATCCAGCCGGGAGAACTGTAGCATAATAGACGCCTACTAAGTCTGACAAGGACCTTTGCATATCTCGTTTCTACATCCGCGCTACTTAACCTTGAAAGTATCAGCTGTCGACTGTATGATACGCTCGCCAGCCCGGCTGAAACACAGAATCCACGCCAACCACTGGCGATCATTAAAGAGCCAAGCATGAAATGAACGCACCTTAGTCTCATAAAAATGAACGGTATTCAGTCCCACAACAGACGACTTGTTTCATGCATGTACTCGGTATCGTAGTCTCCTGCCAAGTTGCGATCTAACCACCAAGCAACGTGTATGAACAGCCAAGCAACTAACCCCGGACTTGGGACTGGGACCTGTTGTACCATCCCAGCCATCAGAACCAGCTTGCTACATTCTGGTGACACTGTCCAGGAGGACTTACTTCGTGGCCGGCGATGCCCAGCGGTGTAGAGTAATCATGCGAGCCAGGAAATTGGGCTAGGCTAATTCCCCTCCCAATGCGTCATGAAGTCAGAGGTCAGACCAAGTGCCCCGCACCCACGGGCACTCCCATCCGCGCATTTTCTCAGTCAAAGGCAGATCGACATGACGGTTGTCACGCATACCAACCCTGGAGTTTTATGAATGTGTTGTTTGAATATGTTTCGTCGACGAGCATAGACGATCTGTCGCGTTCAGATCCCAAGGCGCAGTCTTAGTGGCTGAATCCTTGCCGCCGACCCTGCCCAGCCCCCCAAATCGGCAGACTGGAGACCACTTAGTACTAGGCTGACTCCAACTTGAAAGAAGCGTTCAAGCGAGCCTCCAACTAACCTCGTACAGCCCTGCTGGGGCAAAACTCTGTTTCCTTTAATAATTATTGACCAGGAAACCTCTTAAACTTGGGTTCCCCAGATCATCCCATCCACAATCGACGCTCGGATTCGATTTCCAAGGGCAAACAGCAAAAGATTTGCGCTGCGCTTGGAGGGCTGGGCAGGCTGGAGCTGTAACAACTAACGAGCATCACCTCCTCATCCTCGCGGTGCTCTGGGATTTTCCTTCTTTGACCACGCATCAGGGATAGTTTCGGGTGGTTCTGTGCGACTTGAATTTGGATATCCTGCCATTTCCTGCTAGTACCCCTGTCACGCTGTTTCATCGTCGTGCTGTTTTATTTTTCTGGCGGCCCTCTCGATTGCTCTGTCGTCGTCATCGCTGCCAAGGAGGGGCTTCAAAGTCGTTGGATATGGAAGGGAAGCGACGCGTCACCTCAGATCGGTCACTCGGTATCTACCCTCGCTACGGGCGTTGAAGGTTTTCAGTGTCCATTGTTTGTTTGCTATTTGGTCTGGTCGGGATTAGAGGGGGGTTTCCTGGAGAAAGGGGGCGAAGCGGAGCGGTGGCTATTGTGTGCATCGTCTTATTACTCTGCGCTGTATAAAGCAATTGCTGGGGCCTGTCGGGGAGGCCAACAGCGGCTACCGGTGTTTCTGTGCTTCTCGAACGGTTCCGATTCGAGGTCGGATGGTGGGTGCTTCCCTTCAGCCTGCTTTGAAATTTCCTAAGGTCCATATGCTGGGATCCTTTTCCTTCGTCTCCCGTTGAGAACGACGGGGCTACTCGACCTTTTGTTCCTGTGGTCCTTATGTTGACTCGTTATCTAGATGCCATTATTGTCACGCTATGTCTGTGTCTGATACTGAAGATGTCTATGATGGAATCTCTGGGCAGCTTAGCGGTGGAAATTCCGACGGCCTACTGGCGATATTGGTGATATTTATTTCACTGTCTTGCTACAATGTACTTGAACTCGTCATCTTGGTGCTTTCGACCTTTCGACGGTGGGGAGGGCTGTACTTTTGGAGTCTGTTAACCTCCGGAGTACTTGGGGTCGTGCCATACTCGGTTGGCTTTCTGTTGAAATTCTTCAGCCACGTGAATTCAACGCTCTCTGTCAGTATCCTCACCATTGGCTGGTGGATTATGGTCACAGGACAATCCCTTGTCCTGTATTCACGGTTACATCTTGTGCTTCGAGATGAGCGTATTCTCCATCGTGTTCTGTACATGATCATCGCAAATGTCTTTTTCCTGCACGTGCCAACAACAGTCTTGACTTATGGCTCGAATGTCATCAAAAACGATAAGGAGGTCCGCTCTCCCTGGGTGGAGGGCTATAACATCATGGAAAAGATCCAAATGACGGGGTTCACCATCCAGGAGGTTATCATTTCGATACTATATGTTTGGGAAACCGTCAAAATGCTCCAGCTTGGCTCCAGTCGCGAGAATCAGAAAATCATGCGTCAGCTGGTGGGAATAAACGTGGTAATTGTCCTCATGGACCTGGTGTTGCTAGGCCTCGAGTACGCCAGCGTATACGCCATCCAAATCACGCTGAAAGGCGTCATCTACAGCGTGAAGCTGAAGCTGGAGTTCGCGGTGCTTGGAAAGCTCGTTGACGTTGTCCACGGAAATCAACGCTCCGGATTGATCGGAAGTCCGATCCACTTGGGCTCGTTGCAGGCTTCGAATCCCCCTGGCGGGGAGTCGTCGGCAGTACGGGGCGGGGTTAATTTCGGTCGTGGATCGGTCACGAATTCTGTGTCGAGGACCCCTCAATCTCAGCCAGACATGGATATGCCGGGGGACAAGATATTGGCGATGACTGAAACATGGGTTGAGCGTCGTCATCGCGACGACTTTTAGGTTTCATTTCAATCACCTCACCATGTTTCTTTTGTCCAGGGATTTCGGATATTCGTTTGGGTCATATAATCGGACCATATATTTGTAATATAATATAGCCAGCGCAGGATATAATTATTGCCATTATTGCCATAATTTGCTTTCTTTGAGTTCACTTCTCGAGAAGGCCGGCATCCTCGTCGACCCATCCGTATTCGGCATCGGAGTCATCTTCATCTTGACTGTCTGCAATTTCATCCACCTTTCGTTTTCTCTGTATATTTGGGTCTTGTCCCTCGTCCGGATTGAAAGCGGCCATAGGAGGCGACGGATGATTGCCTAAGGCTCGCAGACCGTCCTTCTCACTGTAAGCGAATGAAGAATTTGTAGACTGTGAGAGCTTACCGTCTCAATAACGAATGGAATAATGTTCTCCTCCAAACGCACGGCCAATAACTTTCCGGCTCTTTTCATCACTTCGGCGAACCGAATGCTGTCAGACGCGTCCTCGGTGGTATAAAAATCGTGGTATAAAACGAGGCGAGTGTTTATACTGCTTTCCCACGATCCACCGGACAAGACAGGACAAAGCGTCGCACGTGGCTGACCCTTAATTCGAGTTCTAGTCTGATTTATAGCAAGGACTGCCATTTGGTGGGTTGTCGCCAGTTTCGTGAGCTGATTTGCTAAGTCGCTTGTGACGTTGGCATTTCGATTCATAAGCCATTGAACTTGGGATTTATCGATGGTCTTCGACTGCGAAAGACGAGCTTTGAGCTCAGTTGGGTTGGGGAAATATGACGGGAACGGTCCTGAGGCAGAGTCGACGACTAACAAGGTGCAGCCCTCGGGTGGGAAGTTCGACGGGCCGTGGAGCAGGAGCGCAAGTAGATGAGGTAGAGATTGAGCTCTAATGTGAGTTAAGCTTCGGACTAGCTCCTCTACAGTCTGAGACGATTTGGAGTGCTGGATACATCTTTGTAGTGTTTCACGTAGACGCATCCGCGGCAATGGAGACCCAGTATCTTAAGTCACAAGTTAGCAGAATTTCTCGTAGGATACATTGGGCCTCGTACCAATCCAAACCACTTTCCCGCCTGCTTGTAGAGCATTTGAGGCAGTGCTCAATCTGGACTCATGTTAGGCTTGTAATCATATGTTGGCTAAAAGACAACATACGCAAGAGACGTTTTCCCAACTCCAGGAGGACCAAACACCTCCGTAACCTGCCCTTGAGGAATTCCTCCAGGCTCGCTGTCGCCGTCATCTCCTACGAGCGGCGGACTGATTGCATCATCTAGTTGGGGCAGACCGGTGGAAACCGCATCTACATTGAGAGACGTCGACGCTTGCAGTGATTGCGATGCGGGAAATGAGACAACCGCGCCTACATTAATTAGTATCCGTATTAGGCATTGGTTTACTAGGGAAGGCGTACGAGGTCTTTGGGTTGCAGGGCTGAGTAATTCTTGCGTGTTCATCTTGAACAAAATACGCGATCAGTCGACAAAAAGCCTATCACTTCGTCTCATTTCGAGTTATATGGCACCAGAAATGTACCTCGCCATATCAATTTGCAGAAACACCTGCGTCGGCGCTGCTGGCCACCACGATATACGTGATGATTGGGCTGAAGCTCGCAGGCGCGTAGTTACCCAAACAGGAAAGTCGCGCTCTTAGCATCACGTGGAACAGCTAACAGGTGACTATAAAGCCCTAGACCTAAGTCTAACCTCAATATGGATGGCTCATTCAGCCAATAAAGAGCCGTCAACCAGATTCATTTGACCGGAGCAAGTGTTCCGGGAGATGAGGTTGATGGCATCAAATATTTGTATATAAACCACCTAAAGTCCGAGACGACTCTTACCTAGCCGGTTCAGAGCAAGCCGACCAGCTGCCACCGCTTCGTCACTGATGGCAATGCTGGGATCCCCTGGTGATCAGAATGCCACATTAATCAATACCATCCTTGTCACAGCAGGCGCTCTGCTAATCACTTTATATTCCGTGATCCGGCCCTTCGTTAAAAGCTCATATACTCCGAAAGGCTGCCGCATCCTCGGGCTCCTAACAAGCCAAACTAATCTACACGATGAATTCCACCCAGAATACAGCCAGGGTGTTCCCGAAGGCAGCATAGACGAGCAAGGACGCCCAGCGTGGCGCGTGAAAGCACTCTTTACCTATCCTCTTAAGAGCTGTGCAGGCGTTGAACTCAATGAAGCCGATGTCATCGCCACAGGCTTTGCCTTTGATAGGCAGTTTTGCTTTGCAGAGGCGGAGCCTTGCAAGGACCCCAAAGATGGGTCGACTTGGGTAGCCCGTACTCTTCGCAATCGCGGCTTTAACAGGCTTGCTCTCGTTCGTCCGGAGATTTGGATCCCTGATCCAGATGCGCCGGGGTACAGTCCTGAGCTTGCAGAGATTAAGTCACGCGGTGTTATGGTGATATACTACCCCCGTGTTGGCCGCAACTCGCTACATTCGGCCATTATCAAAGCCGGCACTTACTTCAACGTCATCCCAAGGGAAACCTCATTCATGGTGCCCCTTCATCCTCCCTCTTGTCGAAACCAACAGCCCACTTTACCACTTACCCCTGTCAAAATATGGAAAGATAATCCCCTAGCGTACAACTACGGCCAATTCATCCCACCCTCCTTTCACCGTTTCATCGTCCCGCATGAACCAGGTCAGAGTCATGACCGTCATATAACCTTGTTCCGTGTAAACCCATCCCACACCAGAGAAATCTATCGCAACGCCCCTCGCAAACAGGATCTTGGCTTCCAGCCTACGACCGGCTTCGCAGACGCATACCCAATTCACCTCCTTGGCCTCGCTAGTGTAAGAGACGTTAACTTGCACTGCGTGGATGATATCCAGCATTTGAGTATTCGGCGCTTCAGAGCAAATGTTATCATCCAGGGTCCTGGGGCGTTTGTGGAAGATGATTGGAAGGTTATTCGCATCTCACCTCCATCAGCAGCACCATCTGCTACTACTGCAAAAAAAGTAGTAGGGGACGATACCTCGGAAACCAAAACCAACGAATCCAACAATTCCAGGTCGGGATTGGTGATTTACACGGCCTGCCGCACAATCCGGTGCAAACTCCCCAATGTCGACCCGGATACTGGGATCCGACACCCACGGGAACCGGATCGGGCGTTGAAGAGTTATAGACGCATCGACAAGGGCGATCTGACAAATGCTTGTTTGGGAATGCAGGGGGTTCCGGCCGTGCAGGGTGAGTCCACCTTGGCGTTCATGGGCTTGTCTAACCACATACCTATGAAGCAAAACCTTCCCTCCCCTTTATTTATGTTGTTTGCTGGAATTGTGCTAACAGCCGAACTGTAGAATCCCGGATTCGGGTTGGAGACGCAGTATCTGTCTTGGAGACAGGCGAGCATTGTTATATTAAGATGCTGAAACCAGGTGAAGTTGTGGAGGGGGTTTAATTGGCTATTTGTATATTTTATTGGCTCATTAATCTGGTGATGTACGTTTATCCAAATGATATATGTACATATGTATTATATAATGTATAGTTAGAAAGCCCAAATGGTTCAAAAACGGATGTATAATCAAACCCCTAAGCCGGCCCAAATACGCAGTTATATCCTATCCTTCACAGTCAAGATTGAGCTTTAATTGTCGGGTCCCCCGACGATCCTGCGTCGGGCTCATCATCAGCCGAAGCCGGCCCATCATCCGACTCGACAACAGGAGCTTCATCCTCAGGGTCATCAGGCAGAAGTAAGTTCAAAACCAGGCCTAAGAACCCCGTAACGGCAAATCCATTCGCCATAACCAACTCAACGGCCTGGAGAAGACCCTCCAGCGCATGGTTATCGCCCTTGTAGGTGAAAACGTAGGAGAACCAATCCGGCACCAGCGTCGCCGCCATACCGACAGCGAAGGAGGCAGTCAGGATGAATCGATTTCGACGCGTCCAGTCAACGCTACACATGATGCGGACACCGGAGATGGCGACAGACGAGAAGAGGAATGTGGTCATGCCACCGAGGACGGAAGAAGGGATTGCGACGAGAGCGGCCGCGAATTTCGTGAAGATACCCATGATGACGAGGAAGAAGCAGCAGCAGTAGCCGGCTTTGCGGTTTGCGCAGCGCGTGAGGGCGATGACGCCGTTGTTCTGTGCGAAGACGGACATGGGTGTTATTGTGCACAGGCCTGCGAGGAGGCAGGTGATACCGTTTCCTAGAACGCCGCCTTGGATGCGAGAGTCGAAGGTCGGGCCGGAGACCTGTAGCCTTGAGACGTCGCAGGTGGCTGTGATGTCGCCGATGGATTCCATCATGATGACCATGTATACGGCGAGGAGTGGTAATATTAGTGGTGCGTATATGTTTAGCGGGAAAGTTCTGACCCAGACAAAGGAAGCGACGGGCGCAGCGTCGATACCGGACCGATCAAAGTAGCCACAAGCGGCGGCAACGATGCAGCCGACAAGTAGGCCGACGATAACGGCACAGGATTTCATGATGGGCGAGCCGAATCGCTCACAGAGGATGATAGTTACAAAGACGAGGAAACCCAGTCCAATAAACTCGGCGCTACCCCAGGGTAAGGCGTGGGGAGCATCTGCACTGGGGCAAAGTGACCCGTCACCAGGGTTGCTGCCGCATGTGCCAGAACCACCGGCCCAGTCTTTCATTCCGTTCGAGATCAGACTCGCCCCAATCAGGAAGACCGTAGGGCCTGTCACGATGGGCGGGAAGAGGGCTTTCAGCAGCCTGCTGCTCATGAACGAAAGCCCGATTTCTAGCAAAGAACATAGGCAGGAGGTGGCCAACAGCGCTCCATATCCTTTGGGACAGGGCAATTTTGCGCCTGAATCGTCTACCGGACAGTACCCAGTCGAATACATCTGCGCAAATGTACCCGTTGCTACTGTGATTGTGGCAAACGAGGTTCCCACCACCGAAACCAGACCCGTGCCGACATAATACCGCGTTTTGTGTACGTGCAAGCGAAGCATCTGTATCGCGGAAAGAAAACCGGAAACGATCAAGGAGGTCGAGACGAGGTACTGTGAATCCTCGGGGCCGAAGTTGGCACCGGACGAGCCAGCTAGAAGGATCGGAGGAGTGATCACTAACAGGATAAGTATGCGACAGATTTCGAGTGAGAAATAGAAGTACCTCCAGCCAGCATCGCCAGTGCATGCTGCAGTCCCAGCAGTAGAGCTAGGACTACAGGAATCTTGTCCTCGAGGCCGAAAAACGGCGCAGACCTCCTCTTTTGCTTGACAAAAGGAAGCCTCGGCGTGAAGAGAAACGCATAATCGTAGTCGCCAATCAGTCCATCTTTGGTGGTGAAGGCATTGATCGTCCGTCGCAAACGGTCACGGAGCGTCCTCTTAGGGCTGAGGTCTGGCCCGATCTGATCTGGGCCATCCATGATATCTCAATGTGTGAATAAAGATAAAAAATATACAAGCAGCTGCTGTGAGGCCGGGCAGAGCTAAACTCGTGCGGGGATCGTCTCGCTTAGCTCGGGGGGTGAAAGTTGGACGTCATGAGCAAGCGCTCGACCGGATGCGACACTCTATATAGAGCTGACCTTGCGATCGCGATAGAAAATAATATGTCAGAGCCATGTGTGAGGGAATGAATCATCTCAACCGTTATCGGCCCCAGCTGGGCTTGAGATTAAGGGAAATTGAGATTACGGAGAAGCCAGAGATAAGGGCAGCTGGGGTCGGCGCCCCCAGATTCTTATCAGCAGCAGCAAGCCAGCAGCGACGGGCGGCGCCGATATACTGCGACCGGAGCCTGCCACAGTCCACACCTTCGGCATAAGCAGTGGTTCATGTCTCTACGAACTGGTGTCTTAGAGCCGCTTGATCTTTCGAGACTCCTTCTTTGCATTGGCCTTGAAATGCAGGCGTCGAACTTTAAGCAGAGCACGGTTCAAAAGCATGACACCACGACCAATCATCTACTGATGTAATGATGTTAGTCAAGGGCTTTGTCACCAGAAATTCTAACGTGTAAGTTAACTCGTAGAACAAGAGCAGGGACTGCAGGGTCCGTGATTGCATCCAAAGTACGCAGTAATACTGTCGAGCGATCTCTGCTAGCCGAGGTCTGGGTGTCCGAGTGCCTTCATATTCACGAAGCTTCTGGCGTGCTGATTATTGACTGTTGAATTGCCAGGAATAGCATTATGAATCATGGAGATGTAATGATCGCTGGGCTGGCGAAAATCCCTGCAAGGAGGACCGGTTTATCCTGGAATAATACAGATGACTAATTATGCAGCGGGCGGAAGAGGCATCCACACAGCCACTCCCGAACAAACTTTGCGTTGGCTCTCACGCCACCGCCCTGGCCCTACGACCCACGTCTGGAACGTTGAGGAAACGCACCAAAATAGCGACCCACCCGCCAATCAGCAGCGGCCATTATTGTTGAACCAGCGGGTCCCGATGGGTTGCAGCTAACTGGATGGAGGTTCCTTCTCGCCCCAACAAGTCCAGCTCGCCGCATCCATTGGTTGGAGGAAGAACTTCGAGCGATCTTCTGGAGAGAGATTCTGTTGCTCTCACACATCCTGAAGCCGTCTTACCTCGGAACTTTCTCTCTCGCATGATCCGGGCTCTCCAATAAGGCGCTTGGCCACTCTTTTGTCAGATTCCCCGACCCTCCTTTGCCTTTGTGCTCCTGGCATTGATGCCGCCGTCCGCCCGTTAGGACTCCCGATCCCCAACATCATTCCGTGGTGGGCCCCCAGTCGACCTCGACCTTTTTTCCAACTCTCCGCTTTTCTACTTCCTTTCTTTAAATACCTCTTTGCCCTCCTTCCCCCACCGTCCGTCATCACATAGACTCACGATTGATCCGGCACTTCCATACACTCAGGATCTGCCATCATGTCTGCACAAACGGCGGACGCCCGGGCTCGCGCTCCGGATGCTAAGAAGGTCCATATCGCCGATACGGCCATCAATCGCCACAACTGGTACAAGCATGTCAACTGGTTGAACGTCTTCCTCATCATTGGAATCCCTCTGTATGGGTGCGTCCAGTCGTTCTGGGTGCCTCTGCAGCTCAAGACTGCCATCTGGGCCGTCATCTACTATTTCTTCACCGGTCTCGGTATCACAGCAGGTGAGCAGTACTTTCTCGATGAGCGTTTCTCGATATCGAATGCTAACATGAACAGGTTATCATCGTCTGTGGGCTCACTGCTCGTATTCTGCCACCCTCCCTCTTCGTATCTGGCTCGCTGCCGTCGGTGGTGGTGCAGTCGAAGGTTCCATTCGCTGGTGGGCTCGTGACCACAGAGCTCATCACCGCTACACCGATACCGAGAAGGACCCTTACTCCGTCCGCAAGGGTCTGCTCTACTCCCACCTTGGCTGGATGGTTATGAAGCAGAACCCCAAGCGTATCGGCCGCACCGATATCTCCGATTTGAACGAGGACCCGGTTGTCGTATGGCAGCACCGCAACTACCTCAAGGTTGTCTTTGGCATGGGATTGGCTGTGCCAATGCTTGTTGCTGGTCTCGGCTGGGGTGACTGGAAGGGTGGGTTCATTTACGCCGGTATCCTGCGTATCTTCTTCGTTCAGCAGGCAACCTTCTGCGTCAACTCATTGGCCCACTGGCTCGGTGACCAGCCTTTTGACGACCGCAACTCGCCCCGTGACCACGTCATTACCGCTCTCGTCACCCTTGGAGAGGGCTACCACAACTTCCACCACGAGTTTCCATCTGATTACCGAAACGCTATTGAATGGCACCAGTATGACCCCACCAAGTGGAGTATCTGGGCCTGGAAGCAGCTTGGTCTCGCCTACGACCTGAAGAAGTTCCGCGCCAACGAGATCGAAAAGGGCCGTGTCCAGCAGCTACAGAAGAAGCTCGACCGCACGCGTGCTAATCTCGACTGGGGTACTCCCCTCGACCAGCTCCCTGTCTTGGAGTGGGACGACTATGTTGAGCAGGCCAAGAACGGCCGCGGCCTCGTTGCTATTGCTGGTGTTGTTCACGATGTGACCGACTTCATCAAGGACCACCCCGGTGGTAAGGCTATGATCAGCTCCGGAATAGGCAAGGATGCCACCGCCATGTTCAATGGTGGTGTCTACTACCACTCCAACGCCGCCCACAACCTTCTCTCTACCATGCGTGTCGGCGTCATCCGTGGCGGCTGCGAAGTCGAGATCTGGAAGCGCGCTCAGAAGGAAAATGTCGAGTATGTCCGGGACGGCTCAGGCCAGCGTGTCATTCGGGCTGGCGAGCAGCCCACCAAGATCCCCGAGTCCATTCCCACCGCGGATGCGGCTTGATCTTGGTAGCCTCCCGTTTTCTTTGTCGATTTAATTTTATTAGCTTAGCATTTTCCTCCCTCTCTTTCGGGTTCGCGACTTAGCACACTGGCGTTCTATTCTTTTTTTTTTTTAAGATCTGGAGTTGCGGGTTTTGGTCGATGTCTGGCGGTGCAGTCGAACCATTAGTATAATACGTCTACATAAAAGCGAGACTTGAATGAGATATGCCATGAACCTACCTACCTTTTTTCCACTCTCATCTTCTGTAACTGTCGAATCACTTCTCACTCCTTTTGGCATAGAAAAGGTATTTTCCAAGAGATGCGGTCAGGTTAAGCCGGGTGGAGAAAACTGCTCCCAGCGAAAAGTCCACCCACTAAGTTTAGTCCCAATTGGTTAGTCGCATCACCTGACTACCAAGTGATATTGTTCAACGAGATAGATCTCAATATTTGACATATATATCTGAAAAGTTCGGTGATGGTGAACCGGTAAATTTCATTCCAGCCCAGCCAGTTTGAAGGAAGATATTTGGCCGTTGTTAGTGTTACCAAGCCGTTCTTCCTAACCATATCAAGCCTATACCTTAGCTAGTACTGGGTAGATCTGCATGTCAGTGAAAACACCACAAATACACGGCTTTTCCGAAATAACTCTTAAGGCTGCGTTTATTCTTAAGTGTGCATATTCTTATGCCCTTCAAATAGTACGGCGCCTTGCTAAATCTGTCGATCATCAGCTACCTTGCACCGGATGTCGAGATATCCGACGGACCTCGGCGCCCGTGTCGAAAAGACTATAGTTATTCATACATTTTGACTCAGACTGATGTCATTGCTGGTAGGATATTCGCAATACTGTGAAGTGTGGTCGCCCGCATGTCGAAACCCCTCTATCATTCATGGATGGCTTAGCTCCACTTTCCCCTCCACATTCGCCAATCCAAAGCCCTGGAGCTTAATGCTGACTGCCAAGAGCGGCTGGTTCGAAGTCCATCCATATTGTCTCGTAGCTTATAGTTGACAGTGTTATATATGAATTCCCACGCTTTGCAAAGATGTAGACTGAAATGTGAATAAATAGCTATCTACGATAACCGAAAATGGGCGGGTTCTTGTCATTATCTGCTCCTCCGTTGACGGAGGCCAACCTCCAGGACCAGGCTGGCAAGGTGAGCTTTCTTTAAAGTGCAGTAAACAGTCTGCCCGAGTTACGTTGACAGAACGACAATAGGTATTCGTAGTAACCGGTGCAACATCCGGGTACGGCCTCCTCCTAGCCAGAATCCTCTACCAACGCAACGGCAAAGTATACATCGCAGCTCGCGACACCGCGAAGCTACAGCAAGTCGCAGACAATCTCAAACACGACTTCCCCAATTCCACCGGCGAAGTGCACTTTTTCCACCTTGATCTCTCCGACCTGTCAACCATCAAAGGCTCCGCAGACGCATTTCTGGCCAAGGAAAGTCAACTCCATGTACTCTGGCATAATGCCGGAGTCATGATCCCTCCCCAGGGGTCCAAGACTAAACAGGGCTATGAGCTTCAACTTGGGACAAACAACATCGGCCCATTCCTGTTGACCAAGTTCCTGTATCCGGCTCTGGTGAAGGCTGCTGCCGGTTCACCTGCCAACTCCGTCCGTGTTGTTTGGGTATCATCTAGCATGGCCCCCAGAGCTCCCAACCCTGCTATTGATTTCACAAACCTTGATTATCACAAAGATGAATGGGCCTGGGTAAAGTACTCGCGAAGCAAGGCAGGAAACGTGCTCCAGGCGACAGCGCTAGCTCGACGTGCTAGAGACGATGGTATCGCAAGCTTGGTGAGTGCAGAAACACCGTCATCGACGGATATACGCCCTCTCTAATCCCGTCCTTAGGCACTCGACCCGGGAGTTGCCATCACTGGCCTGCAGCGTACCATGTCAAGTTGGTTATACGTCATCATTGTGAGATCCCTTGTCCCGAGTTATGGACTGTGGGAGGGGGCCACCCTGTTAACACCGTAATAGCGTCTCATATCGAACAAGCCGGAGATTGGGGCGTATACCCAGCTCTATGCAGGCCTCCAACCCGACCTTGACATCCAGAAGCCTAAGACATGGGGTAAGCCAGGAGATTTACATTGTAGTGTCAGTCCACTAACCAGTGCGGCAGTTGTTCCCTCAGGAAAATTGGTAGGTGGCCGAGCGGACCTCTTTGATGATGAGGCGAGCGAGAGATTCTGGGAATGGAACGAGGAACAGGTCAAGCCATATGTCTAAGTCGAAGAGTGTTCCAAGTGTGCGCAATCCATGTGATATAGTAGCTCGTAAAGGGGTTAAGATCTACCTCCGTTTATCTCCGGGCTGTTGGCGGCATCTCGCGATGCAGTCAAGCATCCCATCCATTTGCCCACTTCAATCTGTCAATTCATTTCAAATACTAGCGAGACAATATTAAACTATGGATTCAGCCCTCATTGAGCACTGGAATAAAGCTCGGCGGCGCGAGCAAAATGCAAGAGCACAACGACACAGCCGTAAGCTCCCCAGCCACTGTGGACAAGGCGTCACCCTCTTAACCCATGAATTCTCTGGCCAGGTGCGCGCCGACGGGAACTAGAACAAACGATGAAAGGGTCCAATGTATTCAGTCATCGCATCATAGCGTAAGTGCATATCGCTGACGCCTAATGCCGGATGGGGTGTTCACACAAAGTGCCAGCTCTACCGGCTGCAGGGGCAAAACAACATGTCCGCAACCACAGTTGGGATTTGATAGCTTTTTGTCCTACTTTGCCCGCGTATCCGACATAGAAAATGTGGCAAGAATACTAGATGCTGAGGGCTTGGATATCGGGGCCATTGCAAAGTATGGCCTCATATCCATGGGGTACTGTATAGATGATACCCTGTTCGAGAAAAGGAAAACCCTTTGTCTTGCATGCTGGTTCTCTGAGATCGAGCCGCGGATAGACTCTCGTTTTGATATTGCCACGGTTGTCCTCGCCGGTGTTCAGGTTTTGGCTCGATTGAAAGGCCCTGCGAGTTGGTGCTTCCAAGCCAGCAACAGTTCTGTTCCGAGGATGCTACAGTTAAATACACACGCATCCGCTTTTCTTGAGATAGCCCGACACATCGGCCTGACATTTGAGCAAATTGCAGATGATGACGCAGTTTCACCATTCACACTTACTCGTCTAGATGTGCCATGGTGAGAACTTCATATTACACATATCGAGATAGCGTGTAATTGACGGAGTGATTAGGGCAACACCAGGGAAGGCCGCTAATTTGAAACCAGATCTCCAGCCAGTACTTGAACAGGTAACAGTTGACCACCATCCGTACCTGGACATAATTCCTTTCCCCTCATTCCGCTCCCGTGCCCTGTCGGTAATGGCTAGCAGTGAACGAGCTTTAGATGAAGATGCGTTGTGTTTTGATTTAATGCACGGGGGCATGCAATGTAACAGTTCCCAAGATGTATCTTTACATGGACGTGGGAATGGAGTCCCCTGGGATGCTCGCAGCTGGGAGGTCACGCCATGGTTTTTCCGGAAATGGGGCATGCTTGTTGGCGATGAGAGCGAGTTTATCTATAAGAACAGTGCCTGGTGGTGGGCCCGTAAGTATTTCTGAATCTGAAACTTCTTATCCTCCTGGATAAATGTCTACCCTAGCACGACATCATGTCCAGCGCTTGGAATTACCTTATCATGTTTGCTATTGTATATCTAAGTATAAGTATAAGAGGCCGCATGACAGCGATTTTATTTGTTGACGCACTGACAGTGGAAGGTAAAATTTCCGCCTCTCTCCAACCTAATTTCTAAAGTATTATGAATTATTGTGATCTAGCTAGGCCGATAAAGCTGGAGGATATGAAGGGTTGGAGATTTGGAGACTTGAAAGTTGGAGACTTGACGTAATATCCAACATCCCAACTGTAACCCTAGAATATTAATATGGCGGCGGACGCGAACATTTGAGGAAGCCAGCCAAGTTATAGCTTCTTCGAAGGCAACACCTGGTGGTTCATAATTTGAAGTTTTCCTAACCGGCGAAACTACCATACTATGTCTGTCGAAACTCCTCTGCGCACCTCTGGGTGGCAACTACATGGCACCGGGCCTAGCGACGGTTCTTCGGCTCTCAAGTGGTCCTCCAACTTAGAGCTGCGTCAGTTGAAACCTGACGACGTCCTCGTTGAGTTCCGTGCTTGGGCTCTCAATTACCCTGATGTTAGCAGTATGTATCAGCATCCTCGCCAGATTCATATCTCAGTAACAGTTAGCCGACGGGAAATTTAGTCGCTAATGGAACATTTCCGTGGATCCCTGGCAACAAAATGACCATGATACCCGGCTTCGATGGCGCTGGGGTCATCATTGCCGTTGGATCTGGCGTACAGGAATTCAGGATATCAGATAAAGTGATTCCGCTATACTACCCAACCTTCCACGTTGGAAAAGCCCCATCGCTCGAACAAATGTCATTTACCCCAGGGTCTTCGCCTAGTGTTCCTGGAACATTCCGCAAAATGGGCGTCTTCAAGCAAGAGCACGTAATCGCAATGCCATCAAACTTGAGCTTTGACGAAGCCGCAACCCTGCCTTGCTCAGCGCTCACTGCGTGGAATGCACTCCACGGAATCGCCCCATTAAAGGCCGGCGAATGTGTCTTGGTGCAGGGTACCGGCGGGGTCTCCCTCTTTGCTGCTCTGTTCGCCCTTGCTGCAGGAGCGATTGTGATAGCAACGACGTCGACTGAGGAAAAGGCTAACCGGCTCCGTGAACTTGGCGTGCACCATGTGCTGAATTATAAAGAGGATCCAGAGTGGGGTGCCAAAGCAAAAGAACTTTCACCCAGTGGACAGGGATGCCACCGGGTCATCGAAGTAGGGGGGCAGCAAACCATTGCCCAGTCATTCCAGTGTGTTGCGCGCGGTGGTGAGATTGATATCATTGGTTTCCTGACGGGACAGAGGAAAGATGACGCAGGGCTTACATATTTGGAGCCTTTGATTCGAGCTTGCACCGTTCGGGGCATCGAGGTTGGCAACCGGGTTCAGTTTGAAGAGATGGTTAGGGCTATTGAGAGGCATGATATCAGGCCTGTCATTGATGGCAAGAGATTCGCTTTGACCGAGCTCCAGGATGCCTACCAGTTCATGTGGAGCCAATCGCAAATTGGGAAGATCGTGCTTACGGCCTCGAATTCTGTGTAATTATGATCGTTTCGCGGGGGCGTATTATTAAGATAGATACAAATAGTTACATAGGAACCGACTTGCGGTCAAGCCAGCATGTGCCTCGGCTACGATGTGGATCCGCAAGACCGGGCGGGCCGAGTTTCTGCAGCATGAACAATGCGATTGTTACGGAGTATGTTTCCCAGCACGAACATTACTCTGTAGTGTTCTCTGAGATTACGGTGCTGTTATATTATGGGCTTTATAGTGCTACTTACTTAATGTAAGCGTCACAGCCACACTCAATACCAAGGACCCCGCCTGGTTTTGCTGTTAGGAATTATATAACTACGGGACAACGCTGGATTCACAATACTTTGTTTTATTTTTTTTTGGTATACTCCGCGGGCAATAAAGCCGTCTCACTCGTATGCAACCTGCTCTTCAATATATCAAAGTTATAATATTATGAGGGACTTGAATCAATCGACACTTCCTAATTGGGTGTGGATATCTTACCCAGTCAAGTGGGTCGAAGGAACGAATCTCGCTCGTGGCTGCAAATAGGAAAAGTAATCGCTGGCCCCTCTAATCACGTTTTTACACTGGTGGGGGCTAGGGATGGAGGATTCCATGGCTTGAAGTGCTGATTCCCACCTGAAGTGATCTGACTGTCTTGGTCCATAGTAGAATCGAACACCCTTCGTCCATGATAGCAGAAGACATGGCTGACACTGCCCTCGAGAACCCACCGATTCACTATCGGTCCATCCTCCTCTTTATCGGGTACCTCTCTCTAATAACTTCCTTGGCTTTACGGTGCTGCCGCACCATCTATTCCCGGTATCAGGCACGGCAGAGGAACAATGACTGGGCCAATAGCCAGCGGCGAACGCACCTGTTTCTATTTCTCTTCCTGGCTGCTATGAGTCTTGGTACTACATGGTACTACATGATCTCGCTATTTATCCGCACGTACGACAATTGGGCGACCAGCCCGCAGGGATTTCCGTATGCAACCGAAGAGACGCCTCTCATTACCCGCATGGGCCTCTGGTTGTACAATACGTACATCTTCCAAGAGGCCTGGGAAACGGTGTCTGAGACTCCAGCCCGAGTCTGGTGGAGTGGTCAGATCTTTGGATGGACGATTGGCTGGAGTCTTTTCCTGGCTATCACAGGTATCTTACCCCCAATCGCAGAATTCACCGGTTCCATGAGTAACAAATTATAACAGGTCGGAGATATCGCATACCCTATGTTTGGGTTTTTATGCTTCTGGCCCAGGCTGTCAGTGTCGCATTTTCTGCAAATCTTTTCTTTGCTGCAATTACTGTATCTGCACGACCTGACGAGAAGAATGTTTCCTTTTCATGGTACCCACCGCTACTCTATGAAGCCGTCCCGGTTGTGCTCTCGCTTCTCGACACCCTCGCCGTCCCTATATATGCGTACCAGAAAAGTTTTATGCTGGTCCTACTCGCGCCTCACTTTTTGGTCTTTGTCCCTTGCCTATTGGGCCCAGGAGGCTCCTCGCCGGTGCCCACTGAAAAGTCGGAGGGACAACGACAACTTGCTACCTGTACCCAACGCTATGTTGTCTTTATGAAGTGGGTGGCGGCAGCTTCGATTCTTTTACAGGCCTACTTGACTTTCCTGGCGTCGGAAGAACTCGGCACGGACCTGTCTTATGGCGAGTTCGCGAAGAAGTTATGGGACACTGTATATGTTCACCCTGCTTGCAGTAGTGTCAGCTGGGATGCAATCATGTGTGCTGTAAGTGCATTCTTCTGGGCATTCGTGCATGATTTCAACACGGATAAGATGGTTGGTGGACAGTGATCGAGGTGGGTGGATGTTGTTATATCATACGTACACATCATATATATAGGCAAGCACGTCACGCACGTTTACTGCCAAAAGCCTGTTGGAAACTGAGGGATGGAGACTCAAATAAATAAAATATGTATATATTGTCTTGGGTAGTCGATGTTATATAACCTAGCAACCATAGATAGAATCTAATGATATTCTTGTTAGAGTATAGTGATATGGTATAGTTTGACCGATAGCTACTACTTACTTCGATCTGGCCTTCCATCAGAGAGGTGCGTAAAGGAAGAAGAGGAATTGCTGGGGGCCCAAATTATATAATCTCACCTTGATACTGGGACACCGTCTTTGTCAATACTACCTATAGAATAATCGAAGTTTGTATGAGATCCTACATCAATAACAGGACAGCCCTGGGATATCGAAGTTCTATCCACTGCCAGGAGGACCGGCAACCAGTATAAGATAACTCTACAGTATCACTAGGCTGCCCCGTACTTTGAATCACCTTCTTACTGCAACGCTCGTAGGTCTCCCCCACTGTGGAGCCTGTACCCTGAGCATCAACATGTCTTTCCGTGAGGTAAATTTCAACAAAAGCTGTAAGCTGTCTAAACAGATCAAAATTCTTTAGTCTGAAAGCGGTCACCTTCGCATTGAGTTCTTCCACAATATCAATCTCCATGGTTTCCGACTATACCATGGTTGCTAGCATTACTGATCCCGCAGGCTGGGCAGTTAAAGAGGCATTGGATTCTGCACCTGGATGCCCATGGACTCCTTCGTTGGGAAATTTAGGGTTATTAGCACGCCATGTATGTTGACAGTCCCCTGCTTGGTAGTGGCTATGGTCTGAAAATTCGAAATAGATCCCGTGGAACTTAATCTCGGTTGTTGCCTGGCCTCCATACTACATAAGTGGACATCAATTCCAGTACTGTATAGAATGAGGCGACTCCACTATACGTTCCGCTAAGGTGTTACAAGAGTGTTGAAGCAGGGGGGGCAGTTGTCGTTGGTCGGATGATATAGGGATGAGAGTAGGTAGAGCATTAATATATCAATCTATGTAAGAATATCCGGCGTGAAGCGAATGCTACATTATTGTGGCTCACTGGAGTGCCTTAATATATATGCGTTGAACATAGTTGCCACCAAATGGACCTTTGGTGGTGAAAATCGATTCGATACCGGAAGAGACTTCATTTATATAGCTATTCCATATCCTGGACATTCTCCAAAGGCAAAGCTCCTTTTAAATCAATATTATGGCGAGGAAGAGAGAATCAGCACGGCGTCGAGAGTGAATGAAGGCTTATCGATAAGAGCAGTGATGACAACTGCAAAACTCTCCACCTCCAATTCCTCAACCTCAACTCACTCGCTCGCTCACTCGCTTCAAGACGATTGAACTGTTCTTCCAGTTCCACTCTAATCCCAATCTAAACATCAATCTCTACCTAATCAAAATCCAAACCTGAAACAATTATACTTCCACAAAGGAGCGGGTCGGGGACCAACACCACCACAATGTCCACCCCAACACCAACATCAACATCAACAACAACAACAACAACAACAGAACCCAAACTAACCGCGCCCTCACCCTCCACCCTCCCAATAACGACCCACCACTGCCGCTTCTGTGCAACGCTGCTAATCGCCACAACACGCGACCTATCACGCCTCCCCACGCGACAAAAGAACGCTGCCGATTCTGCCCGGATCTTACCACTACGCAACCACACATTCCCCTCATCCACGACCACGTCTACACAAAATCCAGAAGATGCACAAGCCCAGACTGAAAGTCAGGAACCGAATGGGCGGCAGGAACACTACACGATCCTCCTCTCTACAAACGCGCGGGACCGGAAGCCGACGCTGATCAGACGGGAGGACGGGTTTGAGAAGAGGTTCTTTCTGCGATGTGGGCGGTGTCGGGTTACGGTGGGGTACTTTTTGGATGAGGTGCATTTTCCTGCGGAGGGGGGATTAAAGGCTCTGGGGAGTGGGTTGAATGAGGCTGGGGAGAAGATTAGGGAGGGGGATGAAGGGCAGAGTGGAGAGGACAGGGCTGTCTATTTGCTTCCGGGAGCGTTGATGGAGACGGGGATTATGAGTGATGAGGAGAAAATGAAGAGTGTGGATCGGGAGTGGGCGGACTGGTTTAAATGATCAGTCTGGGGCTTGCGATTTAGGTGTAGGCTCATGTATATCTAGGTGAACATTCTATGGACTCATTCAATGGCTAGAGCAGTCTGTGGATACATCGGGAGAGGTTATTGAATAGGTAGATTATGAAAGTACTGTAACATCATAAGAAGAATCATGAGGACGTAAGGGTAAGGGTATCGTGTAGTTTAGTTGGCCAGGATGGTGCGAACGAGATCTAGAATATCATTAGTACTACCATCGCAATCTCCACATGGGCAATAACATACCGGTGTAGTTGATCTCCCCGCTGCTGGTATCAACAGCCTTGAGCAGCTCATCAACCTCGTCATCGGTCATCTTCTCGCCCAAGTTTGTAAGGACTATCACCGAAACCCCGTTAGCACCGAATCACCAATAACGCCAGGACAAGGCGCAAACATACTGTAGCGCAGCTGTCCAACACCAATAACACCCGTCATATCCTTATCAAAGACCTGGAACCCGCGACAGTACTCCTCGGGCTCGCCAGGCTCACGGAATCCACCAGGGCGGTTAAGGACCTTCAGGAACGACTCGAAATCGACTAGACATAGCACCAGTTAACAGGCGCTCATTTATCATTAATCAAGTTCAAACGGAACGTACAGTCACCGCCAATATTCTTCTCGAGATCGGCAACTTCAGAAAGGGTTGGGTTCTGCCCGCAGGCGCGGAGAAGGTCACCGAGGGACTCGAGGGCGACACGGCCGCTGCCGCGCTTGTCAAAGAGGGAGAAGGCTTCCTTGTAGTTTGTTGAGGCCTGCTCATGAGCATCAGGTGAGTGAGATGATTTATTGTTGCGGGACATTTTGATTGCGCCGAGGGAAAGGGCAGCAGTAGCAGAATGGGAGATGGGAAGATGAGGAGGAAAGGAAGTTCACCAGTGGCTGGCTGCGTGATGATGCGAGCGAGCGACGGACTGGAGAGCAAGCAATGTTTGGTTTGGGAGGGACGGAACCGCCACTGAGCCGACCACGGCTGAATTCAATTCAACTTCACCAAAACAATGCGGCAGGCGCAATCCAGGGACTGCAGTGGCTCTGAAACCAAAGCAGCTTTTGCTTTGCTTGCTCTGCTCATTGCGAGCGACTCCGTCCCTCCTTGCAGAAATAATCGAGGGGATAGGAAATGATGTTCAGCGACCGGGGCGACGTACCATGGTGATTGTTTTGAAGCGGATGTGGAATGTATGTATCGAGTTCTTGGTTTCGGGAGAATAAGACCGATTCGATTTGGGGAAAGAGGAATGCAACTGGGAATCTGGAAGACCGACGGTGGAATGCAGAGAAAGGAGGGACAGTTTTGAAGTTGGGGAGATCGGCCCAAATCTGGTTGTTGTGGTAACGGCTCCGCTCTAACAACGCCAGCTAACCACACCATGTTTCAGGGCCAAGAGCACACCAGACAGCTTCAGGATTACTAAAAATAGTTAAAGGGCGTGAAATCCGTCAATTCATGCGTATAGAGGATATATATACTCGAGACTGCGGCCGTAGCGCATGCAACATATCAACAAAGAAAAGAAGAGAAGAAAATTGTCCATCCAAAAAAAAAAGTCCTCCATACTCCAGGTCCGGCCAAGCCATATGGATACAAAGTCAAGGGGTATATATAATGATTGATATCTAACATTGTGAAAGTCACTGTGACACTCCCCTCGACTTGTCAATGCAACTGCTCAGCAGGTTTGCGGCCTCCGCCAACAGCTCCCATCGGGCATTGGAAAACCCATCCCGCAGGATCATCAACAGTCCAAGACACCGGTTCCGCCCTTTCATTGATTCAAGGTCGCTCGGCTCACGACAGCCGCCTACATGGCGCAAGAATGCCTGCATATCTTGCCTCTGTTCCTCGACCGTCGATAGTTCCGGTGCGTTTGGTATCGGGCCCTCAAGGGCGTACCCGTAACACCAGACGACGAGGGCGGCAACGTAAATCACCCATGGCCGGTTGAGGAGGTAATCCTCGCGCCCACAGTAGAGCTCTCCTTCAACATCTGCGTTTCCGTGTTGGTTGTCCAAAAGGCATTCGGCGAGAAATTTCAGAGCGTAGAAGGTAGCGTCGCGGGCAGATGCCTTGGTTGCCCAGCGGTCTACCATCTTCTCTCGTGCAGCGTTGTAGTCTCTTGGAGTGATAGACCGTCCCATTAGTCTTCGAGCGCCAGCAAATATCTGACAGTCAACGACGTCAACATGCGAAGCCATATGAGCCAGACCGTGAAGTACGTCGCGCGATTCAAAGACATTGTCCTCGTCTAATGCGTACCGGGCACGATATACATTAGGGAAAGAAGTTAGGCCTGGTTGTCCGAGCGCCTCGTCGAAGTCGCGGCGCCAGTTATCAAAGGCACGTAACAGCGCAGACCTCCACTTGTCGCGGCCCCCGAGGGCATGGGCGACACCGAGCGAGCTGACCTGCAAGTCACGCTGGTTCATGTGCCAGCTCACACTAAGCAGACCAGCCATAAGAATCGTCCTTCCAAAGGCGTTTGTTCGCACGCGCTGCCCGTTGAGGGTCCTTTTAAGCCCGTCTAGGAACATCACCGGCCTGAGGCCGTTGGCCTGAAGACTCGCCTGTACTCGAGCAACCTCCGTGGCGCTGGTAGCAGACCACAACGCTTCATCGCAAGGAAGCGGTAGACGTAGTTCATGTGCGACCATCTTCGCCGAGTGTCCGAACATCGTGGCATGAGTTGAATCCAGAACGAACGCTGCAAATGCAACTCGCCGAGTGGCCTCGGTCTTAATCCAATGCGTCCAAGACTCGTCGGCTGCAAAGTCCGGTGTCATTGCCGACCCAGAAGTCGACCGCGCCTGCCGGTCATCTCTCAAACTCGCAGGGGAGTCGAACGAGTGACGGCCTATCAGGGAACTACCGCGTCGCATCAACGTCAGAGTTGTGTCGTGGTGGATGTGCGCCCGCTCATGAAGTGCTCGAGTAGAGTACATCTTCTCGTAAACCTCCAGGAGTAACAGTGACTGGAAAATCCAAAGTTTGGCGGGCGGTCGGAAATCTCCTTCCATGAAGATCTCCCAACGCAGATGCCACATAATGAAGTCAGCTAGCTCTGATGCTGTTTCGGTGACTTCTTGCCCGTGGATGGTATCCAGGGTTGCTGCGCCAATCGCCATTACAGCCAGCAGTAGCAAATTGGGCGCCTTATCGGCTACAAAGGTCGGCCGATGCAGGATTGGCAGCTGCACATGGAAGTGGTACCAGTATGAACCAATGTAGGTTTGCATTTTGGACAGGCTAAGAACGTGGTTGTCGTCGTCCATGTCCCCGTCCATCAAAGCATCCTTGCGCTTTGCAACTGCGGAGTATGCGGCCTCGTTGAACCGAGTGGACATGAGGTCTAGCAGCTCCTGGCGCTTCTCCTCGGACATGATCGCTCGTGGCGAACCAGGGTCAAGGATGCTGGTAACACTCATTGGATGGGATGGAACAACACTGTTAAAAAGGCTTCCGTAAGAGGCATCACTCATCAGAAACTGGTTCTGCATCTGCGCATCCATGTAGCCGGACACCATCCTTGTTGCCGATTGATTGGCTGCTGACGACCCAGGCGCCGGGTCGCTGAAGAGCCATGCTGTGAAATCGTCACCCATATGGAAGGGTGAACGATTGCTTTCACCACCAAATACAGGATATGCAGAAGAACTCATTGAGTCGAATTGCATATCCCCGACCGTTGAGCCTTGGGTCATCATTCCTGCCATAGAATCTAGGACTCCCAGACCGCTTGCTTGATCAAGTGGGGCAGATGTTGATGAAGCTACTGGTGCTATACTGATGTCGGAGTACCCATCAACTGGGATGTGCATACCCGACTGTGAACTGTAGGCGGAAGGGTTCATTAAAGACCCATGGAGATCAGTTGAGGCGCCATAGCCTGTACCGAGATCCTGTGGCCTGTTGGATATAGGTGCAGGCTCGTCCATGGGAACTGAGCGCGGACCTGGCCCCAATTCGTTGGTAGGTGAGCCATTCACGGCATGGCGAGTGTGGACACCGGCATGTAATGAACGCTGGAGGGGCGGGGAGTTGAAGGCCATAGAGGCGGTAGGCGAGCCCATATCTGGCAGCCCGCCTGGCTGAGAAAATGGAGAGTCCGCTGTTTCGAGAGCATGATGTTGAACAACGGGTTGGTAATTGAAGGGCCGTCCGAAGCCGGCAGCGGTTGAAGGCGAAGAGACCGCAATGCCGGTCGTACCGATATGTTGATCCGGGCCTGTAGAGCCCTGTTTAGAGTCCGGTGGTGAAAGGACAGGAGGAGACTGGGATTGAACTATTTGTGCGGTATTATGAACGGCCTGGGATTTCGAGATCCCGCTTGTATTTGTGGAAGCGGCTTGCGCAAAGTGATCGCGTTTCTGCAGTTGCGAGCCCTGAGTTGTGTGTCGTTCGCGATGCCGCACGCAGAGGTCCTGTCGCACAAAAGAACGGTAGCATTCAGGGAAATCACATCGGTATATCTGCTTTGGGGCATCTAACGCGGTGAAGGATCAGTATCCATGCTAGCGGGAGTGGGAAGAGCAGGGAGCTAGGTGTGCAAAGCATACGGTTCAATTGATGGCGGTATAGATGCTCCGCGCGTGAATAGCTCTTGCCGCATCCTTCGAACGAGCAGTCGAATTTACGATCCAGCTGCACCTTGCGAGTCCTTTTCCTCTTGCGCGGAGGGGCATTGGCCTCATGAGTGTCCGGACTCTCTGACCCCAGGTCCGTGTGCAGTCTGCGTGTGCCCTGGTCCAATGGCGCCATAGTCGTGACGGCGAAGGTCATCCTTAGCCGGATATGGTTCCAACTCCCAGTTGCGTATTATAATTGTAACTTTGTCTGTCTATGTGTTTCTATTGCTGTGTGCAGCAGCTCAGCCAATGCCCTTGAGGTAACCAGCGGAGATTCGGATTTTGTCAAGCACGCTCATCAATCAAGCTCGAATAGAACAGAGGGAACGAGAGTTTGCGACGATGGTAATGCGGTGAGCGAATGCCATGGGCTCTGGGAACTGCGTGTGTGTCGTTGACTGCGAAGCCCCGTGGGGAAACCGACGATCGGAGGATTATCGGGGTTAGGCGATAAGAATGAAAATTTCTCCGTATCGGGAGTCGTTATTGTAGGAGAGACGGCGACCGGAGGGATGGTGTCTGATGTATACGAAGAAGGAGAGAAGTAGGAGGGTGAGTCTCGTACCGGCGATGGTCCGATGTCAGGCAGTCGGTGGTGAGGGGGAGGCGGGAGTGGGAAGAAGCTAGACCAGGACCAGGTTGAACCAGAACCAGAGAGGACTCTGATGGAAAAGACAGGCGCGGTACGACCTCTAAATAAAGACAGCCGACGGTTGTATCGTGTCTCTGCGAAATGAAATCCAGGTGCAACAAGTCCAACGAGGTCAAGCAGAGCAGCCGGTGGGGCCGGGCAACCATCGCAGGGAGCTCCCAAAGCGGCTAGAATGAGGCCGAGAGGGAGAACGACAGGGAAGTCGCATCCACCTTGTCGGACTCGCCCAGTGACCCAGATCCAGGAAAGAGGAGAAACGAGAAAAAGAAATGCAACTGCAAATCCTTGCTCAGAAAAGCATGGTTGAGGCGTCGTCTCTGGGCTGATGAGTGCGAGGAAAGGAAATGGATCGTGTGGCAGCAAATTCACCGGCAGCGATTGGACTGCGACGGCGGACGGCGGCGGAGTACCAGTCCCTGGCACGAGCAAAGACCAAGATGCTCCCGTCAATGTGTCAGAAGACAAGAGACAGAAGGAAATTCGAGAAAACTGGCGTCGGAGACAGAGCAGTCCTAGCCAATCCGGATCGTGCAATGGGTGCTGGGTGAAAATGCGATGCGGCAGCGGCGGTTAACATGGTTCCTCCACCAGGAAGCCGATGGAGCCCTCGGACTGGCTCCTGCAGGCTCCTGCAGGCTCTCGCAGGCTCTCGCACTTCTCTCGGGCTAGACCCGAACTCAATCGAGCGATCCAAGTCCCTCCATGCTCCCAAGGCTTCACATCTCGAAGGCTCAACAGCCACAGTGCGGAGAAGTGATCTGCGGAACTTGCTGCCCTGGTGGACTGCTGCACTGGGGCATCGTTGTCTTCAGTCAATCAAAAGCTCGTCTTAGCGAGGATGCATGATGATGATGATGCCGGTGCACCGGTGACCGACAGGCCTTCCTGACTGTGCAGAATTCTCAAACGCCTATAGGGCTACTGGCATTTTGCGTGCGTCGATCGAGTGCAGGGGTGTTTCCCAGCACCTCATCGAGTCATGCTATCCCCAGAACCTCACCAGAGTTACGAAATCTCCCGACCTGGCCATGAGCTGATGGTTACCTGCCGGTGATGGTAACCTGATCATTCTCGTCCCACCAGCCTAAACAGCGTCTCTCTGGCGCCTCTCATAGAGCTCCACTAGGTGTGGCGCTGTCTGCGCCATTTCCAACTACGTAACAAGACATGAATATCCTCATTTTCGGCGCGAGCCCAAAGCGCAAGCGCAGCCAAGAGGGAAAAGCAAACATCAAACCTCAAACACCTTTCAAGCCACCTGACGCCTGTCGCCCGGCATTTGGCGTTCTCCGCTGGTTCCCCAGTATGGGGCCCGGCGCCGCGGAGAACAGAGATCGCTGCAGTTGATTTGCACCAGTGTGCAGGGATCCGCGGGCTAGTTGCCAGGGGCACAGTTGCACAGGAAGAACAGCTTGGAATTCGAAACCAATATCTTGACTGATAGTGTTGGCTGACCAGATCCTGGTCAGCCTCAACTACTACGGTATCACTGCCTATGGGAGGGAATCTTCCGATACTGGTTCCCAAACTATCGGAATCAGGACTATTGAAGAAATCCCGGCTGCTGGATTTTGGGTTGAGTGATCCTCTCTTGGCTTCCTGCTTCTATTTTGATATCACATCCCCATCAGCCATCAGGATCACGACGCTAACGATCGAATTAATTTCGAAGCCGTGCCAAGCGCTCGCGATCGCCCTGATCCGTATAACAGAGATTATCATGATTATCTCGAGCTTAGCCTCAGGTCCCGCAGCTGGGGCTGGCCTCGCAAAACCCCATTCAATAAGGCTAGCCTGCTGCATCGAAGGGTCGTCAAGACCCCATAGCGCCAGACTACGAAGCGGGCGGCGGCAGCCGAAACAAGCGACTCGAAAAGAGTTGCAAAACGTGCCAATGCAGGACCAAGTTGGTGCCGCATCATGCATGCAGGGCAAAATGGCTAAAACAGCCGAAACAAGAAGGGTTGGGCAACGACAAGGCAATTCTATTAGCTAACAAGGACCGGTCAGACCCAGCGCAAGGGTTGGGACGAAAAAGCAAGTATACATCCAACACAGCGGCCTCCGCCTATCAGACGCTCCAGATCGAGAGGCGATCCGATCTAGAATCTTGATCTGGCACGAGCACTGCGTTGTGGGAAGAGGGGGTCTCGGAATTACGTAGACTTTGACGCTCCCGAAGGTTAAAGAAAAGAGGAGCTTGGAGCTATTCTTGACTGCCGACATGAGTTCCAGCCGTGCTTCTCGTATAGAGTGAGTGGCTAAGACTGGCTCCTGGCAATTATTATTATGGACCCCCCGCCTTAAACGCTCGAAAATCCGCCCCAGAGCAGGATCACCACCGCGTCAACTGATTCAATCAACTAAGAATAATTCCTTGTCTTCAGACTTCATCCCAAAGCAAGCTGCGAGGAACATCAAACCCTCTCGCCCGAGATCGTCCAGTCCAAGTTAGTTCGGCTGATCAGCCTCAAGCCCCAACCCGACCCAGTCACCCAGCCCAGAATTTTGGTCCTTGCCGGTTTAACCTCGACGTTAAATAAAAAGGAAAAATAATAGAAGGTTAGAGAAAAGCTTGGAAGGCAATTAGGATCCCTCGTCTCAACAAGTGAGTGAGTCAATCAAGCCAACCAAGACCAGGGTCGCGAAGGTTGCCCTCCCCGAGTATAGTTCGTACACTCGAGTCCGAGAGCAAAGTCCCAGCCGATCTCGCCCTCCACTCCACGATACCCAATCACCGAGAATAGTGCGTGTGATCCGATCAAGGACGGTGCCTAATTTCTTGATCATGAATCAAGCTCCGATAAAGGAGGGTAGCAGTCGGGCGCCTGAGTATACTCCTCATTCTCCAGACCTACTCTAATGCATGATAATCAGTGGGGAGGCGACGAAAACTCTTCTTCCATCCTTCCTTCGTCCTTCGAGAGTGTTCTAGGGTGACACTGGCGTTCCTGTCAGATTAGCCGAGATATGTTTACTTTTTTTTTCCAGTAGTGGACTGGGCTTATGTTTTTTTTTTTTTTTTTTGCCGCCTTAGTTGATATTATTTTAATTTGCCTTTGGTTCGCTCTAGGCCCAATGCCTTTGCCCCAGGGGCAAGACCTTGACGCAGGCTACCAGCCAAGTGGTAGTTTTCGAGTACTACGTTGCGCCTACTATTGAATAAGGGCTGTTGGACAAAGAATCATACCGTCGAGGAGTGTGAGTAAGTCTGAAGCAACCGCGGGCGATCAGTGGGACTGCCATAGCAAACCAGATGCAACATCTGTCCATCTGGACATGCACTCGACGACTAGCTACGCCCTAACGACCATCCCGCCCCTCCTGTACCTGACCGACACCGCAGGCTTCCCGCGGCCAGGGCAGGTCTCGGAATTAGCAGATGATGCAGATCAGGTTACGCTAGAATTTGGAATGAGCGTGGAATGAGCGTGGAACGCCCGAGAACGCGGGGCACCAAGTTTCAAAAATGATTTGCAATGGTCATCCGCCCTCGACTAGTTGCCAGACTAAATTCCCTAAACTATAATTTCGTTTGATACACGCAGGGAACCAGCGGCCTCGGGGTGGATATGGATGTGGATGTGGCGCCTTCGTCATCTTATCTCCCCCATCTCCATCATAGTGCATAGTGGCTGCTCTGAAACAAGGTCCGCGAGCAATCACGATCACCCCGAGAGGCACGGCAAGAATACATGATTGGGTATGTGATATTCGCATAGGTTGGAAGCTGCACGAACTCATGCCATCTCACCCGCGGGCTGGGTCTCATGACGTGCGCGATTATGTATAGCGATAGATTGCTGAGGATTTGGCTTTCCCCGCCACAGGAGCTGAGAGTCTTTTGAAATTCGAGGGCGGGTGGTGACGAGATTTGAACGGTTCACCCCCCATGTATGTCGGTGTTCCCCAAGAGCTGCCCCTGACCTGTTCAGTCTCCGTTCCGCCTCCTCCATCCCCCCCTCTCTCTTCTTTCCCAAACGAAATGAAAAAAAAAATAGAAAACTGGCAAATTTATTAGGACAGAAAGAAGGAATCTACCCGCTAAACCTGAACCGTGTGGCTTCCAATCGGCCTAGGCCTTCCCTAGGTGCCACATTCCGACGTCGGTATGAGTTGGTGAAGTCTATAACATACGTTAGCCGAGGGAAAGTAAACTATACGCGGGCCCATGTTCATACCTTGAAGGAGAACGCGAATCTTGCGCGTTTCTCCTGACTGGACTTTTTCGGAAATCCCACTCAGTAGTCGTTCCGCTTCGCCCGGCTTCATCGTACCCGTGGGGAGCATCTGCAGGGTAGACTGCACCCAGCCACCGGCATCTGGAGGCATTAATTCAAACATGGACATTAGCAGACTTGACGCATCTGGGAAGCATTCCCCTGGGAACGTAAACATCATTCCGGTGAGAATACGCTGTACAAGGACTTGTCCTTGCGAAGCAATCAGCTGCTTCACGGCCTCCTGTATCTCTGGAGGGTTAGTGTAAGTCTTTCCATCCGGCGCGGTAAAACTCGACACGGCAGGCTTGTCAAAAGCAAAACTGAAGAGGTCGTGGTAGTAGTGCAGCGTGGCCATAAGAGGGTCAATCTGCTGTAGGGTAAGGGAGCTCAGCGCAGCGGAGAAGATCGGCACTGAAAGAGAGGAAGCGAGGCACTCTTTGGGATAGAACCGGACGGCATCGGAGGAGAGACGGAAGAAGTCCTCAATCACTATTCACATGTCAGAAGGATTAGAAACAAGTTAATGCGTGAAACATACCATCAGGTAGGTTTTCTGGTGGCAAGTCGTTCAGAGTGCGGAGGAAAGCTGTGGCTTGCTGCTCGTAAAACTGGAACACTGCTCGGCTTGTTGCAGGGTCAACGTATTCGGCGCCCTCAGAGAATTCTCGTACGACGGCATCAGTAGCCCACAGGAAGCATCCTTCCTTTGATACTTCGAACCCACTCGCAAGGCTCTGGGCAAGCGTTGGGAGCAGAGGGCTCATGGCAGTTCTGTAGCTGATGATCATATTTCTCCAGCAACGACATACGCGCTCCAGAATTGGGGTGGATGTCGTGAAGTTCATGACAAGAGTTGTCGTAATAGGTAAGATTTCACCACAATACTTCACTGCTGGGTTCTCCAGGTCTTGAGCAACAAATGGATTCACGACCAGAATAAATATCGTGATCAATTGCAGGTGATCTGTCGTAAGGTTAGTATATGATAACCGTATATTGTAGGGATATACTTACCGGCAACGGCTCGCTGACCCTGCTCGTCTTTGGCGTTATTGGCCAGGTTCATGATGCGGGACATGAGGGGATCGCAGAACAGCTTCATAGTCTCATATATCTTCTCCAGTGGCTGCACAGCAACGACAGCCGCAACACCTTCCGTGACTTCCTCTTGGCTGCTTGGCTTCAGCCTGTCAATGACAGACTCGTAGAATGAATGAAGCTGCGCAATGTGCCCTCCAAGGAGTTTTTGACAATCTGTTCCTAGGAACTTGAATGCCAAGGCAGAAGCCTGGACGACTTCCACAGAGCTGTGCTGAAAGCCGGAGATGACATAATTCAGCTGTGCTTCGAGGGTCTCGGGATGCTGCGCTGTCCATTCCGTGTAGCGCGCAAGTGCCATAATAGCCTGGAACCGGACCTTCTCTTGGTTTGGAATTTGAACAATTAGGGGAATGACCTGTGGTAAGACTGCATTTTCTTCCGGGTCAACCATGCGACCCATTGCCCTCAGGCTGAAAAGTGGCGCTTCAAGCTCTTGCCAGTTCGGAACGTGGTCATCCGTTGATTGCGAAGCATACTGAGAAATCCATTGCTGGATAACCTGGTAGGCTTTCGACAAGCATTCCGTAACTCCGATAACAACACAGCAATCCTTGAGGACGTCCCCCATCGCGTGCCGGAACTGTCGGAACTTCTCTTCTTGCTCTCGATCACCTCCGAAAAGATCGGTTTCTCCTTCCTCAGGGCGCGGGTACTGAAGGTGCTTGATCATGATATCCACCAATTTTGAGAAAATATCGCCATAGACCGCACGCGACTCGGCGTATCGTTCCAGTGTGACGTATTGTTTCAGCTCGTACCAGAAGATGAAGGTGATAGAAACCACATCACGCTCCCAATCCCGTGCACAACATTCCAGCACTGCTTCCACTAGCTCCCGGAACTGCGCAGGCTGACGCGCCATCAAGACCACCCATGCTTCACCAGCCTCGGCAAATAACCTTGTGATACCTCTGAACGCTTCTGTATCCTCCGCTTCGGCGGTTTCGGCGATCTTATGGCGGAGAGACATGACGCGTGGGTACAAGGCTTGGATGATTGGTAGTGAGTCATCGACTTCACGTGTGTCTCGGTATAGAGTACACATGCTGTCAACAGCAGCGTCGAATGATGCATCGTCATCCAGGGCCTTCACAATGACGTCCATCAGAGGTGAGTCGACAATTTTCGACGCCGGGATCTCGCGCATCCAGGACGTTATACAATCGAGAAGGCGGGGGTTCGTAGATGCCGCAGCTAGAAACAAATGCAGTCAGTAGCGATTATATGAAAGTGAAAACGGAAAAGGACACGGACGGGATGATTGAGAATATTGAACCAAGAGATGCATGACTTGCTCAGCATTGTCTTCCAGCAGTTCTTTCGTCCTCAACGAGAGTTCATCTTCCTAAGGCGAATGTATTAGATCCTGAACTATGGCCGCGCAAAGAGTCGTCGCTGGTCGATGTTGTAAACATGGGATGCTGAGTTTGCCGAACATACAGATAAATTGATTTTGCGACCTTCCGTCACTTCTTCCGGAAGGATTCTGAGAAACTCCAGCACGCAGTCGCCGGCGTTGCTTCCGAGGGAAGAGCCGACAGTAGCCAGAACGTCCTTCCACTGGATCATCTGGATAGCAAGACTGGCAAGACACACGCAAAGCTGTGTTTGGATAGGTCGCGGTCCCGAGCCGAAAGCCACCAGGAGATTAAGAACTGAATCTCTCAATGCAACCACGGACTCCGCGGGCAATTGGTCTAGGTCAAACATGATCTGTCAGAGTCAGTATACCAGAATGACTCCACGGGATTATTCTCCGGCTTCACCTTTCCCTTTAATGTTGTCGCTGCGAACAATTTCGCCTCCACAGGAACGTCGGTCGACTGTAACATTTCATGGGTAATAGTCCACGCCTCGACCTAGATGGTGAGCCCAATCGATCAGTATAAACGCTTCTCAAACACGCGATGGTGTGCCGTGGGGACAGGTGAGGGGCTAGGGGCGAACGAACGGATTTCTGAAATTTCTCAAGAAACTCATGAGCATGAGCCTTTTCGGTGCGCGGAACATTCCCTTGCATAGTAGCGACCGCTGCTAGGACGGGCCCAAAGGCCTGTCCTGCGGCGTCTCCTTTGCTGGCCATGGTCGAGGTGGGAAAGCTGTTTTGGTGTGAATGTGCTCCGTGGGAGTCGGAAAGAGGGGTCAACTAGGCCGGGAGGCTCAACACGAGTAGGTCTCAGTCATGAATCATTAAAAAATCATAAAAGAAAGTAAGAAACCAGAGAGCTGGGCTGTGAGGGGCCGCCGGTTGTGCGCAGACTCGGTGTCAAACGGTCGTCAATAGGAGAGGAAGTGGGATAGTGGCTGATGATCCGCTCCCAAGGAAAAGTTGGTGAGCCGCAACGAGGCCGACCTGACTTGGAGAAACCCGCGGCCTGTCAAGCTTCACATTATCTTTTCACCTCCCCATTCAGCACCACTCGCCGCCAACCACCTCTCCTACTCGGTCTATCTCTATCAACTGCGCCCTTGGCTTACTTATTTTATTTTACTTCTTTAATTTTCGCAAACTCGCGTCGTCGTTATGACTGGCAGAGGAGGTGGTGCTGCTCGCAAGACACTGCTTGCGCCCATTCACTTTATCTTCAAACTCCTCCAGCAACGCTCAACAGTCTGCATCTGGTTATATGAGCAGCTCGCATTCCGTATAGAGGGGAAGATTAGGGTATGGAAGTTCCTGTTTTCTGCTTAATTGTGATCGCTGACCGAATTGCTAGGGGTTCGACGAGTTCATGAATCTGGTAGTCGATGACGCCGTGGAGGTTAAACTGGCCACAAAAACTGATGAGGAAAAGAGAAGACCATTAGGTATGTGGCGGCTGCCCAGTATTTATCAGTTGCGACTTCCAATGCTGATGAGTTGTTTCGAATACAGGTCAAATTCTGCTCAAGGGCGACAATGTCTCCCTCATCCAAGCGGTCCAGTGATCGCGAGTCACACCTCGTCTCCTATCTAATACGTCGTTAATTCCAACAAAAAAGTTCTTCGCCGTTTCCTGTTCTACGAAGATCTTAAAGACTACTATCTACGCTGTGTCACTGGAGGATATGGATGGAATAGATATATCTGCGGACATCTGAAACTGTTTTTGGACTTTCCGATTATTGTTGGCGCACGAGACACCGGTCATCGCCAACTATCACGACATCTATCAGCCAGTCATGATTTGTAACGGGTACTTCTTCGGGTGGGGAAAGCGTTTGCTCCTTGAGAGAGAGGGCGACTGTGATCTAGTCAGGAAATTTATTGCTCTCCTACATTTCGGATGAGGTTCTCTCTTACCAAGTAAAGGCATTTTTCTCGTTTCTGCGCCTCTTTCAGCTTCCCATCTCAAATACCTTGTCAGAAAGCTGTCATAGTATCCTTTCCCATGGCCAAGTCTATTAAACCCGGTATCGAAGGCCATTCCGGGCATCACAATCAAGTCTAGCCCGGATGAGTTAGTTGTAGTATCTTTAGCTATCGTTGCGGCTAGGCCAGTTCCGCCGAAACAGTTCTTCTTTCTCAACGCCTGTGCTTCCGTGAGGGACGGAATTCCCCATTTGTCGCGCTCTAAAGAAGTGAACTCTTCCATTGAGTCCAACGCGAGCATATCCATGACTGATGTCTTCTGCTGCGTGGTCGTGGTTTCAATGCTATGGATGTAAGGCACGAAGACCTCCTTGTGACTTTTCAAGGCATCTTCCACTATTGCTGTTGTCGATAGCTCGCCTGTCGGCATTGACAGGTAGACGCCTATTCTCTGGGCCCTTTGATATTCAGGGAGAGCAAAAAGTCTGCTCGCAACCGCTCTAGCTGTACATAATTAGCGACTTCTGCCATTTGAGCCAGAGATTAATGGTGCTAACATTGGTAGCTGATAGAGTCAGCGGAGATTCCCCGGAGGACGTCCCGCATTCTTTTGCGGAGATCCTTTTTGGCTGTCTGTATTCCCGCCATAATCTCCAATGGTTAGAAAAGATGGGAGAATAAGAGGACGCGAAGTATTATATTTAGTAAAATTCGAAGAAGACGGGATTATCCAAGTGATTCCTAGGAGGCTCAAAAGTTGAAGCTCCATGGAGGTGGCTGAGAGTGACTCCCGGGCATATCACAGTGGAGGCTTGGCGTCCGCATTGCATTCATCATTGTTTTGGTTACATGGCTGGATCGACAGGGCCGCCAGCTCCCTTCGAAAGGGCAACGTGGATTGCGCCCTTGAGTGAGAGACCCTTCTCTTACTTCCACTCGCCGCGTCTTGTCTCCCAACCTGTTCAACAACTTCACACAATAATGCTTGTGGTATACCTACTTACGAGCCTTCTAGCCGGTGTTGTTAGTGCCGGCAAGGCTGCCGACCTTGTCGGGACTTGGACCACCAAATCTCGCAAAGTCGTGACAGGGCCAGTATGTTTTGATCAATTGCCAGTTCCTTACGGACGATGCTGATACCGCTTCTTTGATAGGGATTCTACGATCCACTCAATGATAAATTAATCGAGCCTGATCTTACGGGCATCTCGTTCTCATTCACCGACGAGGGCCATTTCGAAGAAGCGTTCTACCGTGCTATTTCCAACCGTGAGTATATATTTCTCCGACACGGATGGCTACATGCTGATGACAACCCCGATTTACAGCACAGGACCCATCATGCCCCAAGGGTATTATGCAGTGGCAGCATGGTACATACACTATGGAGGCTGATGGCTCCCTGCACTTGACTCCGATAGCTGTGGACGGTCGCCAGCTGCTTTCAGATCCGTGTACAGAGGAGACCGGGATATATACTAGGTACAACCAGACAGAGCTGTATAAGGTACATTTGACCCTTTTACACCGCCGAAGAGTTGTCATTAACACCTCTAGTCTTTCACTGTTGGCACCGATCCATATCATAAAAGTACACGGCTCGATCTCTACTCGTTCGATGGTTCGCCCATGCCTCCGATGTATCTTGCCTATAGGCCGCCGGAGATGCTGCCCACCGAACCGCTGAGCGATGTAACGTCTAAGATAAATAAACGCCATCTCAGTGGAGAGCCTGGTAAACGCGTCGGCTTGGAAGGCCTTGTTAGCAAGGACAGTCTTCTTGATCCGGACCGTTGGTTGTGGCTGGGCGTAGTTATGAGCGCTGTTGGCGGCCTCACACTATTCTTCTCTTAGATTCAACGGCCTTCAAAGCCTCATTGAACAACTCAATCTGGTGTACGGTGTTTGTTCTCCGGGGTCGTTAAATGTTCTGCCTGTAGGATACGTCTTTGGCAATCCTATTATGCCTTGTAATATATTCAATTATCAATGTTTTTGAAATCGGAGCGTGATGATTGCCGCGGGAGCCATTGGATCAGATCGTGATGAGAGATGTTCCGTGTGGATCGTATAATGATACAAGGTTAATATACAGTTGGAGTCCATCCCATATAATACATTTAATCAAGCTGCAGAAACAGCCTCTTTTGCGATTTTCGCAACCTCAGCTCTCTCAGCAGGCTTGCCATCCAGGGCACCCCCGGGCGCAAACAGGGTTTTGAGGACCGTACCGATCTCCAGTTTCTTGCCACCCTCCTTCAACTTTGTTACCTCGCCTAAGACAATTTGCTTGATCTCGTCGACACTCATTGTCTGCACTTGACTTCCATACTCCTCAAGGATCGCCTGAGCCTTATCCTCTTTCTCCTTGAGGTCCGGTCGCTCAGCATCGAGAAATTGCTGTGCCGAGTCCTTGGAGGCAGAGGCGCGCTTCCGGATCAACGCCAATAATTGCAGGTCTGTCTGGATGGGAGACGAGGTTTTTTGCGAGTTGTTGGTCTCGGAGATCAGTGCTCGGAGGACGTTCAGCCTGGCAGTAACAGTCGGTCAGTATAGAAATTTTAGATGGCAGACTGGGATCGTTAATGCAAGAGAATAAACATACCTATCCGTATCCTTTGACCGCATCGCAGTCTTCAAATCAGTTCTCAATGTAGCCATTAATGGCGGTAGCGATGGGCTGGCTGTCGAATTCCATCGCGCTTGGTAGAGACCAAGGCGGGTTGTTTGTCGCAAAGCTCGGAGCATCGCTGATATTTAATGAAGACAAAATAAAAGTAAAAGAGACCTGGCGCAATTAAAAGAGCCCAGAGTTGCTAGAGTGATCAGAAATGTGTACGTAGTGAGTCGTGTTTGTGAGGCAGAATCTCTGGAGGCGGCGAGCTTGGGTGCACGGGCCCGATCCATGATTTTGATTATTGCTTCTGTTTCTTTGAATGCTCCCAAGCTTGCCGTCTTCGAGCCCAGGACAACACACCACCCGAGGAACATAACACCTCATCAATTCATGTTCCTTCCCCTCGCTTCTCGATCTTCCGATCTCCTCTCCCCCGGCCCTGCTTTTTCTTTCGAAATTGCCTCACTTCCCCGGCCCTTGCGCTGAAACGAATCTCGTCCACGCCGGGGAGCGCCATCACCTCCACCGCTCGAGCGGTTTCGAAGCTGCACCATGTCCTACCCTGTTCTTCCACCAGTGACACCTCAGAAGCCTCTGCCTGGTGCTTTCTTCCAGACACCCGCGCCCGGCAATGCGCTGAATCCGCCGCAACCAACACCTCCCCAGCCGGCGACACAGCCCGCAAATGCGGCGGCGCAACCTGTGCTTCCCAGGTTCCCTCCAGCCTTGAAACCGGCACCGGCCCAGAATCTGAATACGGAGGAACGTGCGGCGCGGACAGTCAATGATACTCTCACACAGGAAGCTCGCTATCCCGACCTTGATAGCTACTTGTCTCGTAAGTGAAATTGAGAAATCACGCCTATTAGTACAAACTGACAGTTTGATCGTAGAGGGCTTTTCATCCGACTATGACATTCCCGTGTCGCCAACATGGGCGCCGTTCCAGAAAGTCAAGATGTACAACATCCCCGATCAAATATTTGACCAGTATAACCTAGCGCAGGTATCCACCACCATGGGCTTGTTGGCGGAGTTGAATCACGCGTGGGTAGCGATCGATAACGCGCTGTACCTTTGGGATTATACGCACCCCAACCCTTCACTCGTCGGATTCGAAGATCAGCCCAACAGCATTAACGCGGTCAAGCTAGCCAAACCGCGCCCGGGGGTGTTCCTCCCTAGCATTACGCATTTGCTCGTCATATCAACAACGGCGGAGGTGATACTGCTGGGCATGAAATGTGAACCGACTCCCGGAGGTGGTCGACAAGTAACTTTATACCAGACGGGGATGTCGGCATCTATTCGTGGATTGGATATCAGCATTTTGGCTTCCTCGGACGCGACTGGCCGTATATTTTTCGCCGGTACTTCCGATAACGATGTTTATGAACTCACGTACCAGCAAGAAGAAAAATGGTTCCAAGGTCGATGCTCCAAGGTGAACCACACAGGCTCTCGCATCGCTACATTTGCGCCTTCTCTAAGCTTTACGCAACGGCCATCGGAACATGTCGAGCAAATGGTAGTTGATGACTCTAGGCGGCTTTTGTATACACTGTCATCATCATCTACCATTAGAGTATTTCACTTGAAAGTAGATGGCTCTGTTTCTCTCGCAATTACGAAACCAGCCCATGATATCTACGCCAATATTGGCCACATCATCGCCTCTAACCAAGCGCTGAACTCCAAAGTCAAAATTGTGTCAATAAGCCCCATCCCGGCAGCTGAGGCGTCAAGGTATCATTTGATGGCGACTACCGCTACAGGTTACCGCATTTATTTGAGTGCCACTGGGTCCTATAGCTGGTCTCCTGCGCCGAATGGCGCAAATGCCCCAACAAGCATGCAGGCTCATTATGTCAAAACGCCGCCATTTGACAACCCAGCTCCTGTGTACCAAGGTCAATCGCGCTTCCAGCCCTCAATGGCGGCCTCTAAAGTTCCGATCCACACACTCGATCCAAACAGGTCATCAGCACGATTTCCTCCGGGCTACTTCTTCTGCTTCACTTGCCAGGACCTGACACAAAAGTCAGATACATTGTTTATATCTGCTCCGGACTCAGGGCGCGTTGCCCGCTCGCAGGAGAGTGTCATTCCCGGAAAGGCCGCGGAAACCGGTATATGGCTCTCGTTGGGAAGCAGAGCTGAAGATATCGGACTCAGCTCTCCTACTACGCCGGCTTCGGCAAGTCCGAGTGGCTTTGGCAACGAACTTGCTGTTCAATTTGAAAACCCGTCCGCTGAGGTTGCCATTTTGACAAACACCGGTATTCATGTGTTCCGGAGGAGACGACTTGTTGACATCTTCGCCGCTTTGGTGCGCAATGGGGGTAGTGGCGGCGACGAGGGTCTCGAGGGCGAAATAAAGAACTTCATTCGTACCTATGGACGCAGCGAGACACTTGCGACTGCGCTTGCGGTTGCATGTGGCCAAGGCGTAGAGGTCTCTACAGATTCACGACTCACCCAAATCAACGACCCAGATGTTCTCGAATTTGCCCGTAAAGTATTCATAGACTATGGCGGCCGACCCACGCTGAACGAAAATGCCGTCGCCGACAACTCTACACCCGCCATTGACACCGTCGTCCCATCACCTCGACACGCTGGAATCGCCTTGTACATCTCAAGACTACTCCGGTCGATATGGCGGAAGGAAGTTGCTGCAGTCGCTGGTGCCCCCGGTGGACCTCAAACGATTTCGTCCACAATCCCAACGCCCAAGTTGCTAGATATTCAAAGGGATTTGTCTGCTTTACAAGAGTTCTTCAAGACAAACAGGAGTTTTATTGAAGGACTAAGCGGTCCCGAAGCCCTTGCGCGCGTATCAACAAAGCAGGAAGAAATTGAACTTCAAGCAGAGCATCGGGCGCTTCACTCGCTCGTACAGCTGGTATCCCACACTATTGAAGGAATTTCATTCGTGTCGGTTTTGTTTGACGAGAAGGTCGAAGAAATCGTCGCCCTACTACCGGATGAATCAAAACAACGGTTCCTGAAACTGACGTTCGAGGAGCTT